AGAGCCATAGAGAACATTGGTGAAAACCAAGAATATGTTAAAAACAAGCCCACAAGTGCAAAATAGAGTCACTGATGCTAAGCCCCACATCACCAAATAAAGACTTAATTACAATTTCAGGTAGTAATTATAATGGAATCTTAAACATCAGTCAGGAATAGCCTGATTGATGTTAATGAGGTAGTGAGGAGCCTGACAGACCCCAGCCATCCCCTAAAGGGAAGTAACCTTTTAATAACTAACCTACTTTCTGCCTAGTATAACTTCCTTTTCCCTGCTCCCTTCTGCCTATAAACACTTTTATAGAGCTCCTTTCTATCTGCCTAGATAGGATGCTGCCCAATTCATGAGTCTCTGAATAAAGCCAATAAGATCTAAAACTAAGTTAAATTTTGTTTTTTAACATGTGCTAGGGTAAAGGGAGATATACGTAATTTTGGAGGTAGGAATAGGAAAGACACTTGTGATGATTAATTTTATGCATCAATTTGTCTGGGACATGGGTGGCAGACATTTGGTCAAACATTATTCTGAATATGTCTCTGAGAGTGTTTCTGGATGAGATTAACATTTGAATTGGTAGGCTGAGTAAAGCAAACTGCCCTTCCCAGTGTTGGTGGGCCTCATCTAATCAATCGAAGCCCTGAATAGTACAAAAAGCCTGACTGTCCCTGAGTAAGAAGGAGCTCTTCTTGCCTGACTTTCTTGACTTGGAACTTCAGTCCTTTCCTGCCTTCTGGGTTGAACTGAAACATCTGCTCTTAGATCTGGGTCTGCCAGTTTTTAAACTAGAACTGAAAAATCGGCTGTCCTGGGTCTCAGCTTGCTGACTACAGATTTTGGTCCAACATATATATATATATATATATATATATATATATATATATATATATATATATTATATACAGGTTCTCTACAGAACCCTGGCCCATAAGGCATTGAAGTAATTTGTGCCCATTCATACCTACTGTCTTATAAAAACAGAGTCAAGGTCATCTGCTGAGAATTATTTGTGAAATTATTGGCTCCATATATCTCCCCTGCAAGATTATAAATTCAAGGGGTAAAGATTGTCTTTCAAAGATGGAGCATGGTTTTCTGTTGGAGCCGTTTGCTTGGGTTCTTATCTCAGATTTTCTATTTTCTAGCTGCGTGATCTTGGGCGAGATACTCAACCTTTCCACTCCTCAGATTCCTCATCTGTTATTACTTCATAGGTTTGTGGTAGAAAATAAAGAAATCTTGAGTGCAGTTTCAATGGTGACTGGCAATAGTAAAAATCATGGTCATCTTGGCCTCAATCTGCCTGAGCACTTAGCACAATGTTTGGAATATAGATCTTGAATGCATGCGTTAGTAGATGGATGAAGACTATTCTTTGGTGGCTTAGCCTCTACAGTTAATGGTTACCAATTCAGCAAAATTTCCACCCTATTCTATAATCTTCTCTGCAGGTTGAGGGAAGATCCTCAGAACTAAATTCTGGAATCGCTTTCCAGTGGAGCTGTGTTAGATTCGGCCAATAATAAGTGTTTGCCCAAAGTTTGAAAGGGAGAGAGAAGGAAAACAATTATCTGTTCAGAAGCAGCTGGACAGTGTGTAGGACTTTGGCAGAAGACAGATGAAGGCTTTCATGCAGCTACATCTGGGCATTATCCATAGACTTCATTGCTACATGAAGCCAAACCCATCAGTGACTGCTTGAAGTTCTGATTTCTGCACTATGGGTTTCTTCAAGGCAGGAGCAACTCCCTTACCTTTTTTTTTTTTTTTCTATTCCAACATTTATATAAGTTTCTAATTCCCTTCTTTAAATGCTTTTCTGCTTAAAATATCTCATGGGTTTTGCCTTTTGGACTAAACCCAATTGTTAAGTGCTGAATTGTGTCCTCCCCAAATTCATAGGTTGAAGCACTCACATCTGGTACCACAGATTATGATTGCATTTGGAAACAGACCTTTAGAGTTGTGATTACGTTAAAATGAGGCCGGTTTGGTGGGCTTAACCAAGTCTGACAGATCGGACATTTGGATACACAAGGAGACACCAGGGATGCACTCGCAAAGAAGAAAGACCACTTGAGGACACTGCTAGAAGGTGGCCATCTGCAAGCCAATGAGAAAGGCCTTAGTAGAAACCAGTCCTCTGAGACCTTGTGGTCAGGTTTCTAGCCTCCAGCATTGTGAGAAAATAAATACCATCCTCCTGGGGTACTTAGTCACATGGCAGCCCTATGAAAAGAATATACCAGTCTGAACAGTAACTGGATTGTTAGAACGATGACTCTAAGCTGTCCCTCTGATTCTTTGGGGTGAGTCAGTGTGGTTGGAAGGATGTTGAAGGTATCGCATATTTGTGAGTCACTTGAAAATTTCACGCAAGGCCCAACTCACCCAGAAGTTGCTGCTATACTAATGCCATGAAAATTCTGAGTTCCGATCAACACTCGGGATAGAGTGGTAGAGTGTGGATGTCATGCAACATGGTCATTCAGTTGTTTCTGCACACCCACAGAGACAGCTAGTCTGTTCCTCCCACCTCCAGGTCTTTGTGGCAGCTCTGCTGGACTTGTTGCTGGTAGAGAACATTCAGTAGGGGAGTTTGGCGGCTTTCTCTAATTCAGCAGTCTATTTTGAGGGTAAAGACAAAAATGAAAGCCTAAAATAGTCTGTGCATAGAGTTTGAAGAAGAGATGGAAACCAGAACTGAATTATGAAGGCCTACTGAGAAAAAGAGATCCTAAAGAATCCTTCCTCAGAGTAGGAAGGGAATGAAAAGGCTTGATTGACAATGACTGTCCTGTGAGCACCTTAGAGGAAGTAGTTAACTTATACCTTCTAAACTATCAGGGTGACAGCCTTCAACTCCCACCTGGAAGATCACCCTTCCCAAAGAAGTGGAATGTCACAAATATAGGTCCATATATCATGGGCTCTGAGAACACACAGGCCCCTGTGGCACTTCCAGATTAACAGGATGACGGAGTGGGGTAGGGGGGCACGGGGGAAGGGCTTGCTGCCCTTCCCTGCATCTGGTATGGTGAGAGGGTTCTCAGGCATTGTTCTCTTTTGTGTTACTGATGAGGATTCCAGAGGGTAAACTTGCACAAAGTCACAGAAGTACCAATGTAGCTGGATTGATTTGAATCCAGGCTTACTCCAGGATCACCTACTGAACAATCTTGTTGTATTGCTTCACCGAAACACTTCCAGGGCTAGCAGCTGAACATTTCCAGCAACTGAAGAGATCTGCTGGAATATTACAAATACCATCTTCTGATGCCTCTGTCCACCAAATATGGCAGCTCTACCCACAGGATACTCATATGTAATCATCCATTCCACTCAGAAGAGCTAATTTAAAGCAAAGGAGTACTTTTATTTTTCCCAGGGAGTCAGTCTAACCAAAAAAAATAAATAATTTGTGTGTAGGAGTGAGGAACAAAGGTTTTTCTTCAGATATTTAAACGATTTTCTCAAATGTTCCATTACTACAGTGAAACAAAAGTTGTGTTACATGTTTACGTGGGTGGTTCATTCTAAGATTGTGATTCTAGCTTTAGTTAGATCAGAAACAGAAGTAAGACCTTGACTGAAGGAAGAGAATTCAGTTCTTAAGCAGAGTGGCAACTGAAGACAAAGACATTTAAGTAATTATTTTCTCATGGTATAATGAAAACAAGCTGACCATCTTTTGCCATTACTCAAGAAAACCTTGTGATTTTGGTTTTCATTAAATATTTGGTTAGCTTCTCTTCATCTGTCTTATTCATGTGCCTGTTTACTTACCCACACCCAGACCCTCCATGCTGACATAAATTGAATCATTCCACTAGCAACCAAAGTTCAAACTCAATTTGAGCCTGTTTCAATGTACTTATATGTGATTTTCACCTCTTTGTATCTAATTCATTTATGAGATGTGCATACTCTTCCCTCAATCTGGAGGGTTCGCCCCACTTTGTATTTTAAATATGTTCCTGTAAAAGGGCAGATGAATCACTGCTCATTTTTTAATGGCGTTTGTACAGCAAGTCATTACATCACTGTAAGAAAACATTGAATATTCCCTTAGTCAAACTCAAAGCAATGGAAGCCTAGAGTTCCTGTCAATAGAAAGCACAGCCCATGAGAAAAATGGGAGGAAGAGGATGGTCACATACTATGGTCACAACCTACTTTGGGATTTTTTTTAACCTAGACTTTTTTTTTTATTATTTTGAGCAATAATTTGTATTTTAATTTCGTGAGATCTCCTAAATCAACTAAGATTTAAGATAAACCAGATCCAGTGAGCTTCACAGCTCATGCTGGATAGGACTTAAGTAAAACCTATTCGGTTTCCTAACCATGCCTTCTTGTACTGTTTTTATGGTAAAAAATACTATAGTAGCACTAAAGGGATTTTTCATAAAAACAAAAACAAAAAACTCTCCAAATACAACTGATTTCAGTTTTGTGTATTTCTGCCCTTTTGTTACTCATATTAATGTATCCATTTAATGTTTAATTCTCAGGCCATGAGATAAATAACACACTCACCCACCCCAGCGAAATGCTATTTCCCAGAGGAAGGTGTTTCTGGAGCACCCCTGCATTAATAAGCGAGAACCGAAATGGGAGACTCCTGCCCAATGAGCCTTAATGTCCTACCAATCTCTGGTTCCCCTCTCCTCATTGCCCCCAGCCTCCAAATTCCTATTTCTTATTTACTAATGATCCCGAAACTAAATATAAATCTTTGTCTTTCTCCTTTTGCATAACGAAAAGTTTTGAGGGCAAGGACAAAAATCTTCTACCCATTTCAGTGCTTATATACAGTGTTGGTTATATAGCATACTCAGTCACTAAATAAAAATTAGAAGGGAAAGAGCATTCTGTGCCCTTTCTGGCTTCATACTCTTTAATAATTAATCCTTTTACCTATGGTCATCTCTTTAATAACCTCTTATCTCATGAAATCACAGACTAAGTGATAAAGAAGAATAAATTACTGTTGCCACATTTAACACTTGTACATTTTATTTAATTAAATCAGCCATTGTACACATTGCAGCTATGTATTGTTAGTGTTGTATTTTTTTTTCCATTAACTAATACATGCCCTCATAGATATATTCAATTAGTGTTATCACCATGGGAACAAGATGCTGATTCATCAACTGAAAATTCACTTCTTCTCACAGTATTCAAGTTTTTTGATTACACAGCAAAAATCAAAAATCAAAAAAAGGTGAATAACCATTATGTTGTTACACAGACATCATCTGCACTGCAAATAACACAACAGAAATGCTTTTCTTGAGCTCCAGTGAAGGTTTTGACAAGAAGGCCATGGCGTGTCTCAAAAAGTTTCACCATGAGCCGCTCTCATTTTGGCTGCCAAAGAAAGCTTTATTTCCTATCCAACTGCCAAAAAGTGCTAGCATTTGAGGCTTAAGAGATTTGGCTTGTGGGAAACCTCCCTCCCAGGAAATTTTCTCCCTTGGCAACATTACTTTAAATGATGAAGTGCCATTGTTTGTCACATTTGTTTTTGACATTCGGAGCAATGAGTCATTTTTGCACAACAGGAAAAGACCAGATAGAATTGGAAAATGTTCAATCCCTGGAGGATAGACTCTTTTTTTTTTTTAATTTCATCTTCATTGAATATACTTTTCTTTAACAAATAACTGATTCGAAATGTATACTGTTTATATGAATATATTTGTGAATATATATATATGTTAAAATGCTACACAGCTTCAACCACTAGAGGAATAAGGAATAGGACATGGAAATCACTCAGATGATTAAAGTTCCTTCTTTGAAACAAAAAAGTGCACAAATGCACTTCAGAGTTTCCAAGGGAGTTTGGATTTCAAATAAATAAATCAAAAATTTTAACCAAAACCAAATTGGTAAGGATTTCTCAACCTTGTCTGCAAGCTAAAAAACAGACCTAGCGGAAAAGTGAAAAGTGCTTGCTCAGGGTCAAAAGAATGAAAACCATCAGTGTGATCAGAAGAGGAGTTTTGACTGTGGTTTTGATTTTTAAATGCTACATGCAGGTATTAGAGAAGATATAAACCCGGGCGGGGGGTCAGGGGAGGGGAACCACTCCAACATGGTGAAGGAGTTTAACCTTTTGCGTAGAGGGTAAATCTTGTTTCCAATGAATTATCTACAGTGCAGTGGCCAGAAGAAAGTACCACCAATAAGACAGCGTGGTTTGCTAAAGCAGCAATGAAAACTGGAAAACTACAGTAGTTATAGCTTTTAAAATACCCTGCCAATGTGTCCAAAATCTAAAAGACCTGAAGATGCTAGAACGCCACCAGCTGTGGCTGCTAGCAGCTGAATACCTCATTGATTCCTTCCTTTAGCCGTCTGCTCCCCTTCTCCCCTCCCTCATAGTGGCTGTTGGGAGAATCCTAAATCAAGGCTGGCCAGCACCAGCAGTAAGTGCTTAGTTAGGATAGTTCCTTGAGGTTATCAACCCATCTTTAACTAGGAGCAATGGCTACTCTGGAAGTTCTAAGGACATGGTAGGTCTGAAGTGCTTCTTTTGCAGTAGAACTGTATTATTCGATTGTGTTAGCAATATCTTAATTAACCATTGTTCAGCAATTTCTAGAGGCCTTTTATTCCATGATGCCCAGTGTAGTTAGGATAGGCAGTGGTTTTAATTTTAATATGTTGTTCATCTGAGCATTTTAGCTATATACATGGTATAAGGATATCCCCTGGAAGGACTCCTAGATAGCATCACTTGAAGAGGTCTGTAGGTGAAGTTCTTCTGATCGATGGATTTTCATGGAGCTTGTGCAGGAGCAAAGAACAATGGAGGTGGCCAGTTCCCAGTTTAGCACAGACACAACAAAGTAGTGGATACAGCATCCAGTCTGAAGGATGCTATCTTTGGTCACAAATTAGCTTACAGTCAGAGAGAGGACGGGGAAAAACTGAAACAAAATGCGGTGTGTATTTGCTCAAAGTGGAAGTGTCAGGGTATCCCATGAGGCCGGTTAGGTCACTCTGCTAATGACGCGGGAAGTTGCATATTGAGTGAATGTGTGGTTTCTGGTGTGAGGACTGCGCAGCCCCTCACTTGGCCTCTGGCTTCGAGTCCTCCTTGCAGAAATGCCGAAGGAGTTGCTGGAGGTCGCGCTGGAGGTCATCTTGGTCTAGTGCTTCTGGTACATCCTCCAGGTGCTCCAAGTAAATGCGTTTTCCATGCTGGTCCTTCACCACAGCCCTCTTCTGTGTACTGGCTTTACTCATTGTTGTCCTGGAGGAAAGCAAACAAGAGAGAATTATGCTTTCTTAAGAGACAGCCACCATCTTTGGAATGGGGGTAACCGTGACATGAAAGTACTTTACTGTCCTACCTCCGGGTAATTCTACACTGAGCTATTAGTTGAACAACAGCCATCTTTCCACATCTGTCTTTGAAACATGGCTTCTTCTATCTGATGTGAGTCATGAAGTGTTTTAAAGTGTTTTGGAACAAAGAGTATTTTCTAAAACTTAAGGAACTATTTCAAATAAATAAAACCATGCTTTAATGTGATTCTCTCCAAAAGTAACCATCCAATCATTCATGTTTTGTTCAAGGCACACTGATTTGAAAAGCTTGGCTTGGGGCGCCTGAGTGTGCAGTTGGTTGGGTATCTGACTCTTCATTTTGGCTCGGGTCGTATTCTCAGGTTCATGGGAATGAGCCCTGCATAAGTCTTCCCACTCAGTGGGGATCTGTTTGAGAATCTCTCTCCCTCCTTCTGCCCTTCCTGCTCATACTCTTTTTCTAAAATAAACAAATCTTAAAAAAAAAAAAAAGAAAAGAAAAGGAAAGCTTGGCTCATCCTGAAACAGGGATTCCATATGTACTTCTTGACAGGCTGAGAATAGTTCTTGATTTTTTTTTTTTTTTTGAAACACCTTCACTGCCAACTTACTCCTTAGACTTGCATCCTGTTCTAGGAAAATTTTTCCATGGACACAGATCTTTAAAACTGGAATCCTCTTCTATCAACATAGAGGAAGGTGACTACCAGTGAGAGATGAAGGTCTGCCCAGATATTGAAACCCCATCTGAAGATGGTGGGGAAGAGAGAGGAAAGAAAAAAAAACACCGAGACAAATTCTTCCTCCATCTGCTCAGATCTCCATGGACTTTGCCCATTTTTGGTCTTCTATGCCACTGAACAGTCTGCTGCTTTCTTGGTTCCCTCTTAACTAGTGATTACTCGACAAAGGGGCTATGATGTACTGTGATATTTTGTACTATTTTCCTGTATCCCTACTTGAAAACGATTATGCTGTAATTTGTACATCCTCTCTTCTTCTCACTACTTCTAAATATAATTATTCATTTCGTAAATATGTGAACATTTTTATGTGCCAGGCACTATTATTATAATGAATAAGGAAAATGAATCTCAGAGATTTTAAGCAATGCTCCAAATACAAAATAACAGTATAAAGTGGGGCCAAGACTCAAAGATTCCAGAGCCTGAATCCCTACCATGATGCCATGCATCTTCATTGAAAACCATGGAAGAAATGAGCAGTTTTCATGACTTTACCCAGCATTTTTCTTATTGATTCCTAGTGTTAAAGAGCTAGAGGTTCTGCTCTCATCATTATTCTGCCTTCTAACACTGTCATGCATTTAAGATCATTTTTTATTTATTTTTTTAAATGACTTCTATTAGCTGAAATGTTTTCAGCTTTCTTTTGGGCATCTTTGTTCCTTCTTCTTTTCCTCTCATGTTCTCTTCTTCTCTCCCTTCCTTTGACACCACATGAATTATTTTGTATCTGAAAACAAATTTGTTCCTTTAAAAATTATTTATATATTTGAGAGAGAGAGGGAAAGAGTTGGGGAAGAGGTACAGGGAGAGAGAATCTTTAAGCAGGCTCCCCACTGAGCATGGAGCTCAATATGGGGCTCAATCCTGGGACCCTGAGGTTATGACCTAAGTCAGACACTTAACCGACTGCGCCACCCAGGCACACTAAATTTGCTCTTCTTAATAAAAGGTCAAATCTGGTTCCAATGGTTGACATCAGATCATGTTTTTTTTTTTTAAAACTATGTAGCACCTATAATTTTTCTTCTCCCAAAAGGCAAATATCTGACTATTTCTGCCAAGAGCTAAGAGAAGCCTTCATGGCACTGGTGTGGGGGGATAAGCTTTATTCACAGGACAATCCCTGATATTTTGTGCAGATATGTGTAGATGAATGTGTTTATGAGTATGCATATGCATATTCTTCAAGCAGTGAAATGAATCTACCCATTATGCAGATCAGGGGAGCAGTGGGCATCATGAAATGTCTTCAGCGACATACAAGATAAAGTGTTATACATGACAAATACAGTTCCAGAACTAAATAGCTATAGAATTTAAGTGAGTTATCTGTATCTTTGGCTTCAAATTCACCAGGTGTAATTGAGAACTTTGGATTAACTCATCTCTAAATGTATTCCAATTTAAACATCTCATGATGCTAGGATATGTACATGGTTTATATGGCTTTTCTGAGTAACTGAATAAAAGACTTAAATGTTTAGAGTACAGGAGTGCCTGGGTGGCTCAGTGGGTTAAGCGTCTGCCTTCTGCTTAGGCCATGATCTTGGGGCCCTGGGATTGAGCACCACATCATGCTCTCTGCTCAATGGGGAGTCTGCTTCTCCCTCTCCCTGTCTCTTTCTTTCTCAAGTAAATAAATAAAATCTTTTTTTAAAAAAAGTTCAGAGTATAAAAGCACTTTATCCTTAGTTTATGTAGCATTTTTATAGTTCTCTTGGCAATTAGACCCTTAAATTCTTAGCTGCTGTGGTTGTTCATATGTGATTGGAGGGCGGAAATGTGATAGAACCTTTAATTCACTGTTCTAATTATTATGTTCTACAGGCTAAAAATAGCTTTGTAGAGTACTATAAATGACAATCTTTTTCTTCTTTACAATGACATGGAAAGCACAATAGTAACTTGAATTTCCATTGTGTCTTTTCACTGAGAAGCAGAGAGCACTTTATTAGCATGGTGCTGCTAGAGGACCAGAGACAAGGGCCAGGAGACAAGGCAAGGGTACTGAAGTTCATACATCAAATTGGTGGTAGGGATGGGCTGACCAGAGAGTTTCACAGCTGGTCCCCTTTTATAGGTGCAAAAGTGAGCTGCTTACTGCTTTTATGATTCTTTCTTAACTTAGTAGATTCCCTGGTTTCAGTACTGCTAGGTACATTCAGGTTTGTTGGTATCAAACTCATGCTCATGTTATTTGCCACTCACATGCCAGATCATGAATTAGCTCAAAGCTTTTAGAAAGAGCTAAAAAAAGAAGAAGAAGAAGAAGAAGAAGAAGAAGAAGAAGAAGAAGAAGAAGAAGAAGAAAACCTTAAGCATGTACCACACAGTTATGATTTGCTAAGATTGAGCTGAAGGCAGCTGGTCACAAGATTAATTTGTGAGCAGTTCATTAGATTCCTCTTCATATGTGCTCCAAATCTATCAACACAATGGACTATCCCAGGCAGTTGGCCTCAGCAAAACTGATGACTTGCTAAAACCCAAGGAGTGATTGTGTAAACAGGTGTCTCATTCTCAAGCCTTAGTATTACCTTCAAAGCATCTATAGGTATGACACATTGACAGATCTACCATTTGACAAAAGTATACAATACAGAGAGAGTTGAAAGTTCCCAAAGGATGTTAGGGTATATGTAGGGGCTCTGTTTTTCTTTTCTTAAAATTGGAGAAAAATTTAAGGTGTTAGTTGGCAAAGCGTAACCCCATGCTAACCCAAACCTTTTAATTATTGATCCATCCTCTTTCAGGATTTCATTCTCTACTAAACTGGGGAGGTGCACTTTCATGTGGCTACCTGTATAACTCAAAGCCTGAAGTAAGAAAAAAGAAAACAGGACAAAACCCATCATAAACCATAGACTTAGAAATAATCTATTACTTTGCTTAATTGATAATAAGTATAAAAATATATATTTGAAAGGATAAGTAAAAACAATAATGGATCAAATGCAAGTATTGAATTTTATTTAAATTTCTTCCACTTGTGAGGGACATGCATTATAATGCTTCATAAATGCTGGTAAATAATAGCTGAACTGATTGACTTTTAATTTTCTCCTCATTTCATCTTCCTTCCTTTCCCAGTGGAGACTCCACTGGTAAATATAATGATCAGAGACACAATAAGCAACAAATAAATACGGCCTACAGTGTACAACTCACATAATTAATCTTTTGATTATCCAAGGTCAAAATGCTTCCCTTAAAAGTATTTCATTAAGGTATGCTTTTCAAATCCCAATGCATTCATATATAATCCTAACGCATACCATGGGTATAGATGAGGACACACATGTAACATTTAACTTCAAAATGTCTCAATAGCAAAAAATGTTTGGTGGATGTTTGCATATGCCCACAATCCCTTAGTCAAAACCCTTGGGACCAGATGTGTTTCAGAATTTTTTCTTTTTGGATTTTAGGAAGGTAGTATGATATACACAATGTACATTCTAATACCCCAGAAGGGGTTGGGACAGCATCCTGCAATCAAACTCATAAATAAACAAATAAACAGCAAAACATATGAATATTCATTCTAGGTAGGACAAAGAAAAAAAAAAACCCTCCATGTCAGCTCATCTTAAGTTTCACTGCCCAATTAGCTTGCTACTAACTTACAAAATTTGTTTTGGTTTTCATAATTTTTGGATTCTTGTATCCTAGGAAGGATCTGTCCCCATAGACTCATTTCCTAATTATTGGAAATTAGAACTTAAATAATTAAAAATGCTTATTTTATTTCTAGGTTTAAAATAAACCTGAACTTTCTTTAATGCCTATCTTTGGAAACATTTGAAAATATCAGCTAGTAATGATAATTTGCAACCTATTCATTTCTTTCTCTTAGTAATTGGGAAGTCACTTCCGGGACTTCCAAGCAAGATGTAAGATCATGACCTAATTCTAAAGATTCTGATTCTGATTCAGCTGAAGTCAATGTTGGTCATCTTGATATTTAAAGCATTTATAGTGGCACCAATGAATATCACAAGTTATGGAAACATTAACTCGCTGTAGAGTTACTCAAACAGGAGTTCTACTCTTGAATTAGTCTGTGCCCTCCCATGAACACATATATGGAATGACATAATGATAAACCATTTTCTTTTTAAATGCAAAGCAAACATAAAACACACAACACAAAACCAAAAAAGTGATAATGCTTCTATACCTCTTCAAAGTCATCTTTGGCTGAAGGAAGATCAGTGGCTAAACTAGAATCACCCAGATGTTTCTCCATCCTCTCTCCATGTACCACAGTTGTTTTAACAACTTTGCTGACTCTACGGCCTTCCACTGGTTCAGCCTGAAATTGTGAAGTACTGGACAAAATGCTGGGCTCAGACAAAGTTACCTAATGAATGAAGGACACATGATACACAGTTTCTGACTGACACAATGTAACAGTGATGAATTTTCCTATGTAGAAAAACAAAAACACCAAAACCCTATAATGATATATATTGGTCTTCTAGAAAACAGTATTTTGGAAAAGAGAAGCAGTTACAAAAAGCATCAATTGGTAATACTGCTATAATGTACGCAGCACCAAACCAACCACTCATGAGTCACTTGAAAGAAAATTTGTCAGGAAGTATTATGAATGAGAAACCGATTGCTCAGTGCAATGTGGACATAACAGCTTGTAGATGAACCCTCTCTTTCCAAGTTTAAATGGTTTTGACATTATGAAAATAAAATTAATTCCCAAAGGAGAAACTCTCAAAGATATGAGAAACTGAAAAGTAGATTTCTAGAGAAATTTTGTGTATAATAATAAAATTTTGAGGATATGAATGAATGCAAAACAGTGAGTATGTCAGAAATTATATGTCAAAGAGGTAAATGTTCCTTAGAGAGAAGTAGAACAGAAAGAATACTATTGATCAGGGATTCTTGGGATCCTGGCTTTAGTGACTCTAAAATGCATAAGCTTAACTCTCAGATATTTATCTATAGTGCCTTACAGAAGGCTGCCATCCCGCCCAGGGAACAAGCACAACAATACAACAGTAGGCGCTTTGTGTGACATTGTTTGCCAGCAAATGAAAATCTGGTTTTCTAAAATTTGACTTTGGATTTCTGTTGTATGTACTTGACTATGAATTAAACAGGAAATAGAAATAAGAAGGGCCAAAGAGAGATAATGACTATAATGGCTATAAATCTCCTCTATGGCTATTTTAAAATTCCACAAAATCATGAAGAGAAAAACGAATGTGAGCTGAAATCAGGGTGCCATATAAGGGGCCAAGAGAGATAAACAACTGCACCCACCTCTTCTGACTCTAATTTATACTTCTCCATAAAACCAGGTTGGAGAATCAGATGATCTTACCTCTGACTGTTCGATGTCACTCTTTAATACAATGCGCTTCATGACTTTGGAATAGCCATCTCCTTCCTCAATGCTGATGGGTCCCTGTGCCGTTCCCTGCATCGTAACCTCCTCTTTCTCTGTGCCATCAGAGGATACATACCGCCTAATGATTTTTCTAGTGACCTGAAAGATATTTTATTCATGCAGCTCGTCTTTGAGTGGCAGTACCGGGGTACTGGTAAGTTTGACATCAACCACATTAGATTAATACCTTCTTTACCACAGTGTGTCCGTGCTCATCAATGTATTCTTCTTCTGTGACTGTTTCTGGGGGTATGTCAGGCATATCATCTCCCTAAATGGTTGAGAGAAAAGGGTCACTTTGGTGTTTGCTACCAATTCTGAGAAACTACTCCCAAGTGCTTATAATGTGAGCCATGTTAGAAAAGGAAGGGAGCTACTAAGAAGCACTGCTGAGATGCCAAGTCCTGTCGAGTAGTATGTTTAAAAGAAAGGAAAAAAAATGGGTAATAACATGCTTAGGAGAACTGGACCAAAGTTAGGTGTAAAACAAACAAACATACGAACAAAAACAGACAAGCGAGGTGAGGTGGGTGGGAGTGAGGAAGCACTCTTGCTCTTGCTGTTCGCTCTCTTGGAGGTGGGCTGCCAATGTCATCACTGCTGCATTTTTTTTTTTTTAAACAAACCAAACTTAGGAGAGTTAAAGGATCTGCTTTTGAATGGCCATGCACTACCTAAAGAGCATGCCAAGCCCTCAATGCTCCAGGTCTATCACTTTCTGAGGGCTATGGGGACAGAAGCGTCCCAGACGTGCAGTAATGTAACTGGTACCTGAATAATCACTCGTCGGCGGACAACCCTGGTAGTTACCATCGCCTCCTCATCTGAGCTGGCCTCCAGCTCACCTAATTCCTCTGTTAGCTCCTGGTGGAAGCATGGAAGCATTGTTTTGTTTAACATGCTAAGGAATGTCTTCACTACTGGTTTCTGCTTTAGTTCACACTGTTTTCTCAAAGTCTCATTCATGGAAGCTTTGGTGGAAAAGCCAGCAGGGCAAACAGGTGTGTGCCTATCTCACATTTTGATAAGAAGATAGTTTTGTGTTCGTGAATGAAAAAAAAATCTGGAATTCTGAAAGCTATCTGAGTACCCATCTGTCAAAATCTGTCAGAAGAAATAAGCAGCTTGTCCACATCACTTCTTGGACTTAAATTCCTGATAAATAACTAGATGTAAACACAGAAGTTAAGCAGCACAAACAACACTTGTAAGCCACTGACACTCAGGCTTAGTCTTGAAATGATTAACCCACAGGTATAGAAATAACTTATACTTGGAGCACAACTTTGTGCAAAAAGTCAGTATTTCCTAATAGTTGTTATCTAGCCAGTAAAGCATCTCCCTGGGAACAAAGGAGGCAGGCTATGAATATGAGACTCATTCTGCAGAGAAGTTAAGGTGCACTGGCCAGTCTGATATTATGGGTCTGGCCCTGAGTCAGAGATGGAATTTAAAACATAATTTTAGATTAGAACATATTTCTTGGGAGCATTCTGTCAATGTACTCTTTCTCAAGGGGATGCTATTTTTTTTTTTTAAAGAAAACTCAATGAAATTTTTCCAACATATTTTTAAATATCTGGTATATTTCTATATGCTTTTCCACTAAAAGAAAACATGTAAAATCTAAGCCAAATTATACTTTAAATATATTCAGGAATCTACTGCCTAGAAATATGATCAGCAAGAAAACTGATTGAAATTGGATCCTCAAGATAGGGTCATGAGAAGTTAAGGCTCAAACTAGGAAGCATCACAGAGATAACTGGATATTCATCACGAATAAATGGAATGGGTCTGTATAAAGTGGAATATAGAAGGACTTATCAAAATTTCTTTATGTGCATTGAAAAAGTAAATGAATTATCCAAATAATTGTTTGAGATCTATACTTCATTTAGCCAATAGATTCTTAGGCTAAATTTAGTTAACTTTTAGGTCCAGATAGCATCTTTGAAACATTTTTACTAGAATTCATTTAAGATAAGAACTTGGGAGATGAATAATTCTATGTAAACTTAAAATAAAATTCCATTCATGGGATGAATTCATTATTTAAGATAACTGCCAAAATTGGGACACAGTTTTCATTCGTCTGAACCTCTCCTAATTTTAGTTATGATTTTAGATAAATCCTGCAGATTTATGAGCAGATGTCATCCTCACGGTGAACAAAAATAAATGTGAGCCTTCAGCCCGCAGATAAGTTGTACTCTTTTCCTCAAAGTTTCAGTTCCTTTATATAACTCATTCTCTACTACTGAGACATATAGTAATGCTTTAAAAACACTTTGATGTAGAAAATGTTTTTGGATTCTAAAAGGAAAAATATAGAATTTAATTGATATTAAATTACGTTTAACGCAAAAAGATCCTGGCACTTTCTTCTGTGCATGAGAATCATCTAGGGAGTTACCTAAAATACAGATTCTGGGTCCCCCTTCCCTCTCTGAGGTTTATTTCGATTCACAAGCTCTGAGGAGGGCTCAGACCCCGCCAGTTAATGCTGAGGATGTGGAGAGATTAGAATATGTTTTGAGAATAAATGGTTTATGTGAATTTCTTAATATGGTCTCCGCCTCTCTTCAGAACATCAAAACTCATTTAATGACAAAGGAAAGGGTGTGATGCCAGCTCCTGTTCCAGTCAGGTATTCTGATATTCTCAATCAGCAAGAAGTTGAGGAACAATGTCCTTTTTTTCAAAATAATTTTAAAAACAGATATAAGGAGATCTATTTTGGAAATCATCTTTCCTTTAATGAGAAAATTTTGTTTGAGGAGGTAAATCCCACTAAATATCCACAATCTGTGTGCTCATCAGCTGACAGCACAGACAGATCTAATCAGAGTCTGCCTGCCACACGTTTCCACGGCTGGCACTTACCTGAGGCCCTGTTCATCCCTCTTACTAGTCTTCAAGTCCATGGTTATCAATTTTGAAAAGTTACATCCAGGTATCTTGTTTCACACCAGGGTTCATTTTCCTTAGCAAATGGTTTTCCAATTAGAGCTCACGATCAAATAGCTAGAATTGGAACGTGTATCATTTTTTTTCTAGATTCTCTAGTCCCCAGGTTTTAAAAGGGATTGAGAGGTTCACATGACCCAGGTTAATTTTTTCAGAGAAAGCATAAGCCATCAGAGAAATGGAAACTGGGGAAGATTTGTAGCTTCACTGCCTGTGGGCAAGGAAATGGAGTAGATTCTTACCTTATGGAAAGCTGCATCTTCATCAAGTCTTTCAAGTATCTGTGACTGGTCATCAGCAGATTCCACTATCACCAGGCTGGTTTTCCGAGGACTCTCCTCCCCACGTTCTGGGGGCTCTTCGGGTTCTTGTATGATAGGAGAATCTCCGTGCTCGCTAGATGTTGGGGTCTGGAGGTATGGCCTCTCCTCCTCAGGAGGGGTCCTGATTTCTTCAGGTGTCTTGCTGGGAGAGGCAGATTCAGCTGTAGGCTTTTGAGTCTCTGACACTTCCGTCCCTGGGGTTGTCACACTGAAACAGAGAAGCCAAGTTATAGCATGAAAGCATATGCATTTTTCGTCCTGCTGAAGCAAGGGAATTGGAAGGAAAGATGGAATTTACCTTCATGGTCCAGGGAAGTCATGTTAAGTTACCGCACATTGATCTAGCATTGACTGAGAAAGGTGTATTCTAGAGATAAAAAATTATCCTAAAATGTATTACCATTTCCTAATTTCTACAAAGTATATAAATTATAATTTCATCTTTTCTTTGATAACTGAAGGTGAACTTGAAGATTTGAGAAAGTTTATATAACAAAGATCTGTAAATAATAAGGTTTTCGAGGCAAGAATCAAAGTTTGGGAAAAAATTTAAAAACCAATATATAAACCCCATGTTAATATCATTATCATAACTGTAAATATATAGAATCTTATTATACCTCTGGAAAACTATATGACTTCATGGAAAGACCTGGTTAAAACTTTTTCTACTGTTATAATTTGGAGTTACTCCAATGCAATCTTTATACTCCGATTTTCTAAATAAGAAAAATCTCTTTTTTTTTTAAACTTACTGTACATTATTGTCACTCCATAGATATTAAATGCCCCAAGTGCTTCTCTGATATGCCCTCTTTGCTTCCCACCTGTTTCTTTCTCTTTCTTTTTCTTCTCTTCCCTAAAATCTAAAGGTAGTTGGGAGGGTGGTGGTTCGGTGGAAATAGAGATGATTTTATTATTCACTTCACTCTCTTTTCAAGTTCCAGTGACCCCAGCACAAAACTCACTTAATGACAAGAGAAATGCTCTGATGCAATCTCCTAACACACTGTTCTCAGATTTCAGGGCTGGGGACACAATTTCCTTTTGCATAGTCTGTTTTCTTTCTCTAAATAACAAGTGCCATTTAAACAACTCTTTCTCCTTCGCTTCTATAAAAGCCCAGAACTTGGGTTCTGAGCTGCCTGTTCTGTAGCTTCCTTTGGTCGGAAGCTCTCCCAAAGACTTTCTTTACTCCCACTCTGATCCCATCCCACCTTATTTTAATAGTCTGTCCGTGTGACACACATAATATCCGTGTGAATAATCTGTGCTGTGTTTCCAATTTTACTGCTGGCCACCCCATCGCTTTGGTGAAACACACTGAGAGCTGCTTCACTGTACGCTGCCACTGTTCACACTCTCAACAAGCCAGGGACAACTGGCACCTGTCCAAGCACTACAGAGAAGTGAGGGGCAGTACTCTAATGAGTAATAAGAATGAGGTCCATATGAAATTTTAGAGTTGAAACAATGCTTTCACGCACACATTCTTGACCTGTGACCCTATGAAATGAATAAGGAATATATTAATATAACTTAGAGAGGTGGAAAGAAAAATCAAAAGGGCTTTGGGACTTGTCCAAGGTCACAGGACTGGAAGTTGGTTCCATCAGATCTACCACATGAGGCTGTCACAATTTAGGTCTCAACTCTTTTGCTCTTTTTCTGTAGTTCTGGCACTTGTTATTGGTGAGGTTATTTGAAAACCACCTGAAAACCATACAGCTGTATATGCCTGGGCACACTTGTCACACTGGCTTGTTTCATAGAATTACATTTGATGGGCTTTCTTTTGACACTCACAAGTACTCTTGCTGACATTCAAGAGATGACTCTTCAGGCAGGCCTTGCGTTTTCCCTGAGAAATCCTGTTGAACTTGCTCCTTGTGAGTTTGGGGAAAGAGCTCTGTTGCCGAGCTGTCTCCCTCAGCTTTGGGGATGCAATCCTGAAAAGTGGAATACCCAACAGAAATGTCTTCCTCTGAGACAATGGGAGGGTGATCACAGGACTCGCTTTCTTTAGAAGCAGCTTGCTCCTCTTTCTGCTTGTGCTGTGCAGTGTTTAGCTCCTCCTGAAGTACTGAGAAGCCTACAGGGGAGAAAATGGAAATTAAGCATTGAATTGAAGCTCACTTATTATTAAACAGGTATTTATTGAGTAACTATTAATGTGCCACATCCTGTGATAGACCCATGGCTACAAAGCTGACCTTCAAGATGCAGATCATCTAGCAATGCTCAGGCAAGTAAGAGTCTATTAAAGTGCAGAGTGACTGGGCCACAGTGCCAGTCAATGAATGCAGGAGCACCCAACTCAGGGTTAAAGAATTAGGAAAGGAAATGCAGAGGGTGTGACATTTTAAGGAGACCTAATGATAAGTAGGCATTGACTGGGATACTGAAGCACAGAAGGTAAGTAGTAAGAATTAGAGTTTAAGAATAATTAATAATAGCTCATACATTCTAAATTGATTATGTGTCAGGCACTGTTCTAGGTGCTTCAAGAGTATTAACTTATATTAACAACACTCTGAAGTTTAATACCCTTTTTATGGAGGGTCTCTCAAGCCAGGCTAAGGAATTTGATTATGTCCAGGACAGTGAGGAGTCACTGAAAAAATTTTAGCAGAGTTATGACTGAGTTATGTCACTCAACAGATACATATTGAGTATCAACGATGTGTTAGGTGCTATTTAGACGTTAGACATACAGCAGTGAACAAGATAAAAAAAACTCCTCATTGAAATCTGATTTTTGCAGATAAGTATTTATGACAAATTTTAGGAGAAAAAGAAACCAGGGTAAAAGTATAGAGCAAATAGGGTTAGTATTTTAGGTAGACTTGTCAGGAAAGAGTCCTGTGGGAGTAGAGGAAACAAAAAGGAGCAGAGCCCCAAAGCCTGAGAATACGCAGCGTGCCCAGGGAACAACAGGGAGGCCAGACGGGATTTATGAAAGAAGGAGAGAGATAGGAGAGGGGATAAGCTTTCACTGAACAGTGACACACATCATAATTTAAATCTAGGAAAAGTATGAAGCTACAGAAAGAAACCAAGGAAGAATAGCCAGTAAAATAGTGGGGAAAAAAACATGAAGGGAGGCTATCATGGAAAGTGTGAAGAAAATACTATAAGGAGAGATTATTTTTTTTGTCAAATGTACTAAGGGGTACATGAGCTAAAGACTGACAAATTACTCACTGTATTTGGGAGAGAAGAAATAATTGGTGAATTTTATGACTGTTTTCCATAGGGTGGTGATGACAAAAGTCTGGCATAGATTCTAGAGATAGTTCTAGAGAGATTAGGAAGACATGAAGTAGATACAGGAAATTTAGGCTATACTTTTAAAGAGATTTTCTATAAAATGGAGAAACAAAACAATCATACAAGGAAGAATATGGGATGAAAGGAGTTGATTTGTTTTGTTTTTAATGCTCAATGCTGTTGAGCACGGTCTAGTTGTAGGAAGCTACAGGGGATAACTATAGGAGTGAGGTCCTTAATTGGATAAAAAGGGGACAAGATCCAGTACAAAACAAGAGATGATGGTTTTAGCAAAGCACAGACATTTTATACAGGAGGGAAAGTAGAGGATAGGCATTGAGATGCACTTAGAGATGCAGATTTTGTGATGAAAGAATATGGGGACTCCTGGGTGAATCAGCAGTTGAGTATCTGACTTCGGCTCAGGGCGAGACCCCAGTCCAGGGATCCCACATCGGGATCCCTGTGAGGGGCCTGCTTCTCTCTCTGCCTATCTTTCTGTGTCTCTCATGAATAAATAAAATCTTAAAAAAAGAGAGAAAGAATATGGACATTTGTTTAGGACGATCCTTATTTTTTCTAAGAAGTAGGAAGCTTGGTCATCAGATTTTAATACAGAGAAGAGAAATGCTAGAGGCTTGAAAGAAGAGAAGGTATAAAATAGAGATAAGAGAGAGAAGAAGAAAGAAAGTGGGTGACCATATAAAAAAATAAGAATGGACTAGAGAAAACTTTAGTAGGTGGTAGGGCCAAAGGCTAGTAGTCCCAGTGGGTTTGGAGAATTGTTGGTGTGGAAGCAGAAGAGGAAGTAAGCATGATTCTTCAAGTTAGGACGCAGAAGTAGTATGGTCAGTGGTAGTAATATAGTCTTGGTTGTGAGCACTGAAGTAGATAGCTAAAATAAAGTGAAAGACCCAAGTATCAGACGTGCCTTTAAGGAACTGAAAAAAAGGCACTGGATAGGTCATCCATGTTGTTGTTTGTATCCCCTTAAGACTCATGTGATGAAACCCTAATCCCAGTGAGATAGTATTTGGAGGTGGTGCCTTTAGAATGTAATTAGGTCACTGAGGGTAGAGCCCTTAATGGGACTAGTGCCTTTATAAGAGGAGGCCAAAAAGTGAGCTAGATCTCTTTGCCCACGTGTGGACAACAGCAAGAAGATGGCCATCTGCAACCCAAAGGAGGGCCCTCACCAGAACCTGACTATACTGGCATCTTGATCTCTGACTCCCACTCTCTAGAACTGTGAGAAATAAATTTCTCTTGTTTAAGCTACCAAATTTATGGCATTTTGTTATAGCAATCCAAACAGGTTAGGACAATAGTGAAATAATAAAGAATGAGCAATGGTTGGTGAATGAGCAATATGGGTACTTATAAAATGAGAAAAATGTGTGATCACCAAAGTCCACAGACCACCCTCTAAATAAAGGAAGATCTGGTCCAGTTGCCTGAATTAAACACAGGTACAACACACCCACACACACTAATTGTTTGACCTTCACTATGATCCAGTGCAATTGTCTGTTCAATTTCTGCATAGCTATGAGTGATGCGCTCCTGGAGAGGCTCTGTGCTGGCCTCCATGAGATGAACAATATCCATTCGGTTGATCTTAGTAAGACATTCAATGAGATTGGTATCTAGAATATCAGAGAAAAAGCATTTAAAAAGTATTCCTTCTAAAATGTCTTTCATTTAGTTGCCTTACTAAAATTTTAATCTTTGCACAGGAAACAATAAAACTTTGTAAAAAGAAGCAAACAGAAAAGATATATGTATGAAAAAGTGGGAAAGCATAGGCATAAGCCCCAAAAGTAGAGTTGCCAGATATTAAACAGGACACTGTCAAATTTGAATTTCAGATGAAAACCCAAACAAATTTTAAAGCATAGGTATATCCCAAATACTACGTGGGGATATACTTATATTGAAAAAGTATTTGTTGACTTATTTTTATTTGCCTAATCTGGCAATCCTACCTAGAAGAATGGCAATAGAAGGAAAGGCAAATGTAGACTGGCTATAAATAAGGGAGGTCTCTAGGTAGATCTTTAGAGAGACATTAAAGGAAGTAGCAAATTTAGACTAGCTGAAGAATGGGACAAAGTAAAGGTCTTTACCACTTCTCACTTTATTTGATGTGGCCAGCATATTACATACAAATCATTATAAAGAATATCTTCTTGACATCTTTCCCTCATTTAAGTTATTTAGGAGTAATTTAGGAGTAAAGGAAGTAGGAATTGAAGGTAAGGCACTACCAATAAAACAATGACAAATAAAGTAACTGTCCATTCTCATATTTAGAAAATTTTAGGACTTAAAAACATTCCTGTTGGCAGCCAATGTTTCCACTACTTGGCCTTGTTCAGGGGAATATAGGGTAAGAATTGTCAGCTTATTTTAGAAATGTCATAGCTTGTTCTCACTTGTTTACAGTAGTATTTCAGATGGATGGCATTCATTATTTTATTATTTTACTGAATTTGCAAGAAAGGGTTGGTGAATAGGCCTTATATCTCAACCTTTAGTCTAATGCTTTTTACATACAGTTCCCCACTTACCTGTAGCATGTTTGCCATCCCTTTCTAGCCAGTACTTCAAAAGCGCATGACTCTGGTCTTGGAGAGAATTAGGGTTCTCAATTCGAATTTGATGAATTTGTTCCTCAGTGAAATCCAGTTCTCTTGCTAATTCTAGAAAAGAAAATATTACTCCATAAGTACCTTAACTTCAAAGTTTGAGTCTCCACACATGGCTTTGTGATTCAGTAAATGATGCATTCTTTGTATTACCGTAACAGGGTTCCTTTTTTCCCCTATGTATTAGAAGTGACTCTCAACATGACTTTGTTCTTCTAGACCTAACTGTAGATGGTTTCCTTAAAACTGGTTATAGAATTGATCACTTTCAGAGTGGAAACACTAAGTTTGAGGCAACTAATGATAAAACATGTATAATTCAGACCCATTTAATTCCAAAGTGCAGACTGGACCATTAATACAGGATTATACTCTTAACCAAGGTAATGGAAAATAAATTACTGAAAACAGGAGTAATAGACTTTCTCACTTTTAATCATCATTAAGTAACATTTTAAGTACTATAAATCCTATTTCTGTATACTTGGATAAATACTGCCTGTGGTTATATTATGGTGGTTGGATAAACTCCTTTCTTTGATTTGATGTCACATAAATAAAAGCTCCGGGAAGCATTAATTGACGTAGGGAAAAAGCCACAAATTTTTTCTTTAAAGTCTACCATTAACATTGTATGTGGACACTTATATATTGTGGTGTGTGTGTATGTGTGTGTGTGTGTGTAAAAATAAGTGTCTTCTTTGGAGGGCAATTGGCCAATATCTTTCAAAATTAAAGATATATATATCCTTTATGCAGATATTCAATTCTATTTCTAGTAATATACTCTATAGAGACAGTCATGAAAATACACCAATGCACTAGGATGTTTGTCATTAACAGGAAACAACCTAAATATCCAGTAATAAAGGCCACTGATAAAATTATACTTTGATACAGTAAAATTAAATAGCCATTTCAAAGAATGAGATAATATGTCTATGCTGATGGAATATTTATAAGTAGTATTGAGGAAAATTGTGCTTATTTTTATTTTTTTTAAATTGTGCTTATTTTTAAATAGTACACATAGATGTGGGTATATATATATATATATATATATATATATATTTTTTTTTTTTTTTCCTGAATACATGAGAAAGTGTAAGCAGTTACTTTTGAGGCATAGAGATAGAATATCAGATGCAGGCATCAGAAACTTATTTACACTTTTCATTGTATACCATTTCTGTATGGTTGTAGGGTTTGCATTTTCAACAAGTATATAGATGTTACATTTTATATGCAAATACACACATACTTAATAAATAAATTAAATAATTCTGAATGTTACCTATTTAATTAGTCAACCGGGGACATTTTGATGTCCTTCCTTCCCCTATAACCCCTATTAAAAAAAATCTGACCAGCATTCAACAATTGTTTAAAAGTGAGATGACTATTCTTTCTGCTTTGTATTACCTTTTTAAGGGTTTTATGGATTTCTATTTATCATATTGATTTTCTAATTTACTTTTCTTTAATAATTTAACATACAATATAATTTATATGCTGAAATAGCCTCATTTATCAGAAAATTAGTGAAACATCGTATTATATATATTTCAACATGCATCCAAAGCAAATTTGAGTACTGTTCATGATGAAGATATCTGATATAAGATGTCTAAAATAAGAAGCCCTAGATTAAATCTCCAACTAAATTCATGACAATTACATCTAACAATGATTTTGAAACACAGTCATCTCCCCAAAGTTTGGATATCCAAAGCTCCGAAAGGAGGATGGTGACATTGATCTATTCTCAAAATCCCCCACTTTAAAGTTCTATTTTTCTAAATTCCAGAGATAATAAAAGGCCTGCCTGGATTTTCCAGTTCATAGTTTATTATTCTTTTTACTATTCCACGTGGTCTTCTTCACTGTTAATGATAGTTGGCTGATGCAATTGTGTTTCCTAAACGAAGCAAGTTCTGTTGAAAAAATGAGTCACACTAATTTTACCTGTCCAGCTGAAGCCAAGGTGATCAGCAATATATGCCAGCCTCTCCTCGATCCGTTCCTGCTCATCCTGTTGATCTATAGAAGGTCAAAAACAGAATGGCCAAAGGTTGTCTATGACAAGAGAGCAACCACAGTACTGATCATCCAAAGAAAGGAAGTCACTTGTCCAAATATTTGATAATAGCACAAGTTAGCTATTATATTTTAAATCATTTTAAATTGTGTGTTTGCCTGATTTCTGGAATGGAATGGGAAATAAATTTAATTATAAATCATGAAAACCAACTGCTTCCATATCTCTTTAATCAAGACTAGTCACAGGCCACATTATACAAGTTGCTGATTTCTAGTAATCTTAGGACTATTTAAAAAAATTATCTGAGAGAATACTGCCCACCAGAAGACAATCATCCTGTTCACCAAAAAACAGAAAAATCATAAATGGGAAACAGAAGTGGAGTAACTGGTTAGGACCTACTATTATTGCCTGTGGCAGCATAGATCACTTCCAGGTCATGTCTGAAAGAAATCACATCCAAGATTCATAAAAGACATAGATCATGGGTTAATCAGGCCATCCTAGGTTTTTTTTTTGTTTTGTTTTTGTTTTTTTCAGGGTGGCCAGAAACATCTTCCTTGGTCCTGGTGACCTTGGAAGAAGGGAGGATAAAAGCATATGTATTTGTGTCTATTGTATCAATAGGTATAGATGTCTTTTGCGTGAAATTTCTGTCTGCTTACTACTAAGTAAGCTTATATATAACTCCCACAAACTATAATTTCCCCATTCATTTTTAAATCCCATTAATCGATGGGCAGCATTTTAGGCATTATGACATTTTCTTACAACACAAATTTAAGAATAACAGTCTTCATTGTAGAGATATTGGAAGACCAGAGGCTACTTCTCAAAGCCATCAATGGTTTCCTTTTTTATAATTCCAAGGGTCATCATCCTCTCACGGTCACTTACATCATGCAAAGTTTGAGTTTTTGTTGTCTGCTGCATCTAACTGGAGTACATTCTCCATTTACCTGACACTCTAATGAAAAGCATGTTTGTTTTGTTTTGTTTTGTTTTGTTTTACCTTATATTTGTATTCTTAAAGTTTTTACCAGTGGCATCTGATATCCAGCCTTTTGAGTCAAAAACAGATCCACAACAATTGGAATTTCATGATAATGTGAAATCTGCTTGGGCAAATGGCTTCCTAATGATTACAGAATTATTAAGTACAAATTATTTTAAAGTACTTGAGGGTAAGAAAAAAAAGCAACGAATCCTTACCATATGAAACAAAGCCCAACATATTCATATGCAAAAGCAAAAGTGCTTAATTTGAAGCTAAGCCCAGGACTTCAGAACAACAAAACTCAAAGCTTGCATGGCCTTACGTGCAGCGGCTCGAGAAAGGCAAGATCACCATTGCCTGTTTATCATGTTTATGTTTTCCATAAGCATTCTCATTACTCAATCTTGAGATTGTTTTCATGGACAAGAGTACACAGAGAAGGCACAAAACACAAAGGGCTTACACAAACACAGTAACCACTACAGAAAGCTTAAAGAAAATGAGACACAAATCACCAAATAAAAGATATACAGAAAAACTATATCAAATTTATGACATGCGTAGCACAGGGAATCCCAGTGGCTGGCAAATACCTTCAGCATGGTCATGGCCATTTTCATCAGGGATGCGTTCAATCAGAGTCTCAATGGACTCATCCCAAATAGGCCTTGTGTCAAAGATGTCCTCAGGAATTGAATGCTCGGTCTCAACAGGTGGCAGATTTTCAATTACTGAAACTTCCAGGGCACTACTACTTTCATCATCTGAAACCAATTCTTGCTCCCTTTCTGACTGTGTAAGTCTATCCACTAACTTGGAAGCCTCATCACTAATCTCCTCAAAGAATTCTATGGAGTTCCTGTAAAGGTCAAAGAAATGCTCCTTACTTTCTTTTGTGGGGCTCACAGCCCCCTTGCAGGAAGATGTGGTGCTTTTGCTCTTAACTGGCAATCGGGATGTAAATATCTTTGGTCTTGTGGCCCCCTCTTCTGATTCTAACTCAAGCTCCTCATCCCCCTCTGTGCTCTCTGTTTCTGTCTCAGTGTAACTTTTAGTTTTTACTGGACATTTGGTCTTTGAGTCCAAAGGACTGGCATCAGATTCAGATTTGCTTCTACTCTCTGGTGTTCTGCTTGTCATGTCCTGACCCTGAGGAGCCACTATTTTCTGGAGAGATGAATCTAGATGCAAAAGCTGCTGTTCTACTCTTTGGACAGGTGCTTTCACAGGGATTTTAGACTTTGGTTTTATTTCATCCTCTTTACTTTCCTCATCCAGGCTGGGTAAAAAATCTTCAGAAAGGGAATTCTCATACTCCACAGATGGAGGTGCTGGGGTTGACATGGGTATAGTCCTTACAGGAATTTTGGATTTGCTTTCAGTAGAAGGCACATTCTCCATGGGTGCAGTGGGAATTTCAATTACAGATCTCTGTTCCTCTGGGGAAGAATCAGGAGAATCATCATTCCGATCTGAATACACAGACCTGGTAACTGTGGGAAAATCTAACTGAACATGTACAACTGGTTCAGGGGGGTCAGGGCAAGATGTATTTTTCACACTAGACTTAGGAGACAGATCACCCATTTGCATGGTGGGGGGGTCCTCGGCACCTGCAGAAGGAGTCTCTTCCATTGATATTTCAACAGAGACTGAATTCCCCACATGGGAGTTAAGCTGAGCATCTGAAGCAGATATTTCCTCTACTTCCTCACTCAGGTCATCTGGAAGTAAGTCTGCTTCATCACTCACTGCTTCTTTTGATTCTAAGAGAGCTAGTGACTCAGCTGATGTTTCCTGTTGTGGGAGCTCAGCCCCAGGACTCCCTTCTTTCATGTCTTCAGAGACAGTCTCTTCCCTGGATTCTTGACCAATTTGGAAAAAGTGAAAACTTTCATCTGCATAGGACCTTTTGGTCATATCAATGGCACCACTTCGGGTCATCTCAAACAATTTTCCTTCCTGAAAGAGAAATGGGTTTTGCTCACTGGTTGGGGTCCCCTCCTCAGTTGGGGTCCTTGCAGGAGTGGTATCAGGGGTGGTACCCTGTGATTGTCTGTCTACCATCAAGCCAAATATCTTTTGCTCTTCCTCTTTCACTCGAGCCTCAAAGGCTTCATCATCCTCACGGATTTCACTCCAGGAATCAGAATCCACATCCGTTTTTGTGATGATGACTTTGCTTATTTGTTCACCAACAACTGCTGATGTATTTGGTACAGAAGGCTCTAAAGATGAAGGGCCTCCATCTGATTGCCTTTCCCACAAGATGCTTTCTTGTTTGGATTCTTTTTCCATGTTTTGGTCCTCAAAATTAGATTCTTGGCTTGAAACAGTTCTATTGGAGGAGCTTGTTATTACCACGTCTTCAACAGAGGATATGGTGGTAACAGAATGTACTTCTGAAGACTGAAAACTTGTGTGTCTTGCCTCTGTTTGGGTTTTGCTTTCTTCACTGGAGAAAAAAGATTGGGAAGGGACATTTTCGTAAGGGCTTATTACTTGAGGATCGTAAATTTCATCAGTATCGGCTGGGTCAGACACTGGAACATCCATGGACAATTTGTCTGTTTGAGTAGTAGTCAATGAGTCTTGAGTGGAAGAGTCCTTTGGTAAGCTTTCAAAAGCTTGGTCGGTTTTGGTATCCTCCGTTTCTGTAGTAGAAGGTGGAGAGAATACGGCTTCATCTAATTCTTGTCCTTCAGATATTGGAATATGAGGCAAAGAGGACAAAGATGAAGGGCTTTCCCTGGGGCAATCTCCTTGTAGAGATTCTACTCTAGAAACATCAAGCTCTTCTCCTTCTGTGATTTTTTCATCAGTGTCTTGCAGAGGTAATGATTCTTCATGGATAACTTGCTGCTCATTGGTATCCTCCCTAGGGGAGCTGTAGAGACCTGAAGATATGGGAGTGACTGAGCTGCCAGGACTCCCAGTCTCACACCCGTGGCCATCACAGACTTCTGTTTGAGCAGCATCTCTGTCCAGATCATCATCAAACATATCTGGGCCATCAGGAGAAATGGTAGGACTCTCCTCAGGTACGCAGGGTACATGATCTTTTTCTTCTTCTGATTTACCTGATTCTTCCTGAGTATCTTCATTCATTTTGAAAGTGTATTGTTTGGAAACAATAGGTTGAAACTGTACTTCTTCAGGACTGGAATTGGAGTCGATGCTGGATGGAAGTGGGGAGGGAGGTTGCACTCGAATAACTGGCTCTGGTAAGAGGCCTGAGTCGGCACCTTTTTTCAGCTGTGCTAACTCAGGTTCACTCTCTGAGGAGGAAGAAGCCTTTCTGCTCTCTGATGTTACTACCACAGGGACATCGCTTTCATCCTCCACACTCTCTGTATGTTTTGATTCCTCCACATCTGCTGTACAGTCAGCATCTGGGTCAGAGGACGAAGAAGATTCTTCTTGCTTGGGTTCTTTTTTGTAGTCCCTTTTCTGCTTTGCTTCTTGTTCAAGTTCATCAAATGTTTTTATTTTGGTTACCATTTTAAACATTTCCTCTTCAGGTGTGAATCTCTTTTTCTCCCCATTTTCCAAGTCATCCTCCTCCGCGCATTCATGAATTACAGCTGGTTTGGGTGTGCTTGCATCTGTGGCTTTGGGTGTGACCTCATAGCTAACTTCTTCAGAGCTGGGGGTGTCAGGAGAAAGGGGGCTCTTCCCTGAGCTCTCTACCAGTGACGTCTGCTCAAGACTGTCGTCCTCAGCACTGCCGTCCGGGTCTCGGAGCAGCCGGGACCGCATAGAGGCCACTTCTGTCAAGAGTTCTGTTTTGGCTACGGCTGCAGGGAGAGGAAAGTGACTTGGGAGAACCCCAGCCTTCATCTTTGGTTCCACGGGGCTACTTTCAAGAGAGTCACGGCAAGGGGATTCTTTCAGAGGACTGGGCTCCAGAGAATCTGGAGTTTTGTGTGAGGAGTTATCCTCCAGCACAGGGCTGGCTTCCAGGGAGTCTCTGTGGCTCACTGCAAACGATTCATCAGCACCGGGGCTGAGGACCTCACTATCTCGGCTAGGGAGTGCAAGTTCTAACCCTTGGGGACTTCTAGCAACTCCCTGGGGCTTTGATTCAGTTCCTGTGCCTGTCTTTACAGAAGCATTAGGCTGCGGGGAGGCCTCTGTCTCATCTGAGGGCTCAGTGGTTGTGGATTTCTGAGCTTCAGTATCGGTCTGTGTCTTGTGGGCGGAACCAATATCTGTTGGTTGAGCCTCATCAGAGGATGCTTCCTCAGTCAATCCTTTGGGTGTTTCCTTTGCTAATAACACACTACAGCTGCCAAGGGAATCATCTTCTCGTTTGAGGCATGTGTCTTCAGAAGAAGGGTCCAGGGTGGCCTCCTTCAGCAAATGCTCCGCTGAGGGCTCTGTGCCTTTAGTGACCACAGCACCTTGCTCTTCAAAACCATCGGTGATGTCTTTGACTGAGGGATGTTCTTTTTCTGAATGAACTGCTGCCGGTGTTTCTACCTTGGTAGTTTCACTTACTTCCCCAACTTGCTCCTCACTTTTCTTTGGTGAGAACGAAAGGCTTTCTGGGCTTGTCTCAGGCGTCTCTGCTAGGCCCTCATGCTTATAGCTTTCTTCCGAACTAATCTGAGGGGTCCCTTCCATCAGGCTGCCACACGGAGAACCTGGCACCCCTTCAGGTTTCAGGCTCTCAGGACTGCCATCCAAAGCACCATTTTGTAAAGACAGAGCCGGAAGAAATTCATCTTTCATGTAATCTAGTGGAAAGGTTGTGTTGAAAGGACTAGTGAGTACTTGATCTAAATGGAGCTGTACTTCTTCTGTCTTCTCACTCATTCGGAATTGTTGGTATTTGTCATTGTCTTCCAATTCTTGCTTAATGACATCAGAAAAGTCAGTGGAGGTTTTCCTATCTGGGCTGATCTGAAGATCCATGTCTCCCTGTTCATCAGCCAGCTTTTCTTTGGGAACTTCATTTTCTTTATGGCTTTCTTCTTCTGGTGCCGACTGAACAGGTTCAGGTGTTTTGTGGCTAAGAGCTTTCTCCTTTTCTACAACTACATCTTCTCTCTTAAACCCTACGGAAGAAGCACGGACTGCTCTCTTGGATTCAGAAACTCCTGTTACCACAAATCTCTGGCTTCGTTTGATGGTCTGACTCTCTGTTTTCTGTGTCTCTCTCTGGTTAGCACCCTTTTCTTTTTCTACTCGAGCTTTGCCTTTTTCTTGTGGCTGCTTCTGTTTTGCTGATTTGTGCTCAAAGAGTCCAGTCTTATGTTTGGATGGGTCCTGACCTGACTGGAAAGCTTTCATCAACTCCCGAACAGACATTGTCTCTTCGATTCTTTCTGTTTTTGAGGTGGGGGATACAGGGGGTTGCTTTTCTATTTTCCCAGAAGGCGACACAGGCAAGTGCTTGTCAGTTTTCCCAGAGGTTGATACAGGTGGATGCTTTTCTAGTCGTCCAGCTGGTGACACAGGCAAACGTTTTTCTGTTCTCCCAGGTGAAACTGGTGCATGTTTCTCCACTCTCCCAGAAGGTGATACAGGTGGGCGTTTGTCCATTTTACCTGAAGGTGAAACAGGTGGGTGTCTTTCTGTTTTTGTAGATGACACAGGGGAGTGCCTTTCAGTTTTTGTCGAGGGTGATACCGGTGAGTGTTTCTCAGTCTTACTTGATGATGACACGGGGGAGTGCCTTTCAATTTTCGCGGAGGGTGACACAGGCGAGTGTTTCTCAGTTTTACTTGATGGTGATATGGGAGGGTGCCTTTCAGTTTTTGTAGAGGAGGAAAGAGAAGAGTGTCGTTCTGTTTTAGAGGAGGGTGACGCCGGTACATGCCTCTCTGACTTCAGAGAGGGTGATGCAGCTGGATGTGTCCTGTGGGTTATCTTTTTCGGCACATCCTCTTTGCCTTTGACTCTGACGGGCAACTTGCTTCGACCTTTCTGTTCATCTTCCACTCGTTTCTGAAGGGCCTTAACTTTGTCCTTTATGGAACCGATGGGAGTTTCTTCTATCAAAGGTGAAGTGGCCTTTACAGTGGGAAGAGGCTCAGGGGCTAAACCTGCATCTTCCTCTAATGACTCTTCTGAACTACCTTTTTTAAGTTCACTTTTTTCTGCACTACCTTGTACGCTTTCCTCTTTTTGTTTCTGTTTTTCCTTTAATTTCCTTCTCACTGGCTTCTTTATTCCCAGGCTTGGTTTCTGTTGCTTCTGTGCACTCTGTGTCTCTGGGGGTGCATCTTTCCCTTCATTTTCAGAGCTCCTGCCAATAGGCGGAGCCTCACGCTTCTCCCCTGCTCTCTCTTGAGCTGTCTGCAGGTGCTTTTCATGAGGAGACACATAGGACTTTAGATCCTCAGTAAGGTAGTTCACTAGCCCAGCTGAGTCTTTCTCTACTTTGACGTTGCTCTCCTTATCTAGTCTAACCTCTACGCACGGGTATTCGGTGACTTCTAAAGGTGCTTTTAGCTTAGCCTCCTCTATTTCCTCATCACTGACAATCACCCACTCCTCTTCCACTAACTCTCTCTCCAGCTGAGACCTTGGCATACTGCCTTCATCTCTCGCGCAGGTTCCACTTCTCAGGATTTCATTCACTTTCTCTAAGTCCTCTTTAACTCTTTCAACAATTTCAAAAGGCTCTCCTGGCTCTTCCTCAGCAGCCTTCACCAGCTCCTTCACTTTGATAGAACCTGCCCTATCAGACACATCTGTGGTCAAGATGGCGGTCATTTTGATCAAATCTTGTTTCATCTCAGAAACTTCAGAGAGCAAGTCCGGACTGGCTAGGACAGGAACTTCATTAACCAGGTGACTTTTCAGGACAGATGTTTCTGTAGACTCTGTCTCATCATCTTTGATGTGAATGAAAAACATTGAAAGTAAAATGGAAATCAAAAAATATATCGGCAAATGTAATCAGGACTCAAACGACACAGTGTCTTTTCCTGTTGTGGCGGGAGGGACAACAGAATGGGCTGGGAATGGTGGATCCACAAGGTCTCAGGATACAAAAGCAAAGCAAGGCTAACGGAAAAAAAAAAAAAAAAAAAAAAGAACCAAAACTGAAAAGGAAAAATGAGCAGGAAATAACTTGCTTAATTTTCTCACTTGTAGCACATCCACACATACAACAAAGCTATAACAAATAGCCAAGACAGACAGACACACACACACACACCACAGATCAAAACAAAGAACGGACGCAGTGAAATTACACAGAAGTATCTCAAGATTGTTCAGATGTTACAGATCGATGTTGAAAAAAATATAAACATGGGAAAAAAAAAAGGAAAAAAGCATTAGAAATTGCAGAAAGTTGATTTCCTCTAGGAGAAAGCCAGTAGTAGCAAACTCAGAATGCCTTCTAATGATGTATATATGTTTTTTAATCATATGAAAATCCAGAATTCAGTATGTTTTGTTCTGTCAATTTACAATGACACATAAAAGATGTCTGAATCAGCTGCAAACCGGCATTTCATCTAAGGGAAATTCACACCTAACAATGAAACGAATGGTCTTGTGCTAAGAGGCATGGTCCTTTCCTTGGAGCAACCTCCTGGTTTAGACACAAAATGGACAGACCAAGGAGGGAAATAAAGGAAAGGAAAGAAAAAATTAACAAAATAACAACTGTGATTAAACTTATTATGTGAGTCCAAAGTTAAAATGTGATGCATGGCAATCCAAATCAGAGACAGTCACACGGGACACACGCACAATTTATGTAAGCCAAGTTATTTCCATGCAAAGCAAAGGTGGAGGAAAACTGGTGGGAGAGATGGCTTTGCTGAAATGCATGGGTAGGAGGATGGTTAAGAAATTAGAACAAGTATGTAAAACATTACTGTGGTGAAGCGTATTTATTTCCCTACAAGTCTGTACATAGGTGCTGAATGTAATATATTCGAGGAATAGGTAGTGGGGACCTGCACCCATTCAAAGAAAAAAGGAAAACACTGGGTCACACTCTTTTAGGATTTGCTCTTGAAAAGAATTAGGAGAGTCCCTTCAATAGAGCCCTTCTTTAGAGATTATCTCATACCTAGATGATTATTTAAGGATGGTCTTTAGACTTAAAAACAAACACAAGTCTATGTTTTAACTTTAAAAAATATTCACAACACTTAGGAGTCATTCAGAAGAATCTGTGGCATTATAGAAATATAGTAACCTTTTCCCTTTCCTTTTTAAATGATTGAGCCAGCTGGATGTATTACACTTCAATTTCTACTATCTGGTATTCAAGAAACAAAGGAAAGGGTGATTTAAATAACATAGTAGTCCCGAAGAAGAAAATGAGATAATAAAATCTTTTTTAAAAAAGGAATGAGGGATCCCTGGGTGGCGCAGCGGTTTGGCGCCTGCCTTTGGCCCAGGGCACGATCCTGGAGACCCGGGATCGAATCCCACGTCGGGCTCCCGGTGCATGGAGCCTGCTTCTCCCTCCGCCTGTATCTCTGCCTCTCTCTCTCTCTGTGTGTGTGTGACTATCATAAATAAATAAAAATTAAAAAAAAATTATAAAAAAGGAATGAAGGCAATGATAATGTCACTTTTTAAGCAAAGAAAGTGTCTTTTCCTGAGAGAACTGTCATTTGTTGAGGAGATAAACTCTGTGACTATGCATATATAAAGATATGTTAAAATGGTTTATATCAATGCAAATTTGTTCACGTACAAACCAATGAAAACACCCAGAATTTCAAATAATCTAGTCCTGAATGGTGATTTAACATAAGAGCAAAGAGACTCTCAATTAAAAGCATTCTACGGGTGCCTGGGTGGCTCAGGCCATTAAGCCATTGCCTTCAGCTCAGGTCATGATCCTGGAGTCCTGGGATAGAGCCCCGCATTCAAATAAATACATAAAATCTTTTTTTAAGAAAAGCATTTTAATAACAGTAATTTACATTGTACTAGGTCTTCAAAAAAAAAAAAAAAAAAAAAGCCCCAGATCATTGCACAGAACCAGATGGCCGTATCAAACATGGTTCTAATTTTTCTCCTTTTAAGAATAGTACCCTGAAATACAGTGACTCAAAATGAATTTTTAAATGAATAAGCAATAAAAATTAGTATTTTTTCCTTAAACTATCTGGGGGCATAAAAGCAAGAAAGAAACCTGAAAAATTCAACTTCTTCCACACAAGAAGCCAGAGTCACCAGAAACAGGCCCCATCGCTTCTCGGCCTTTTGGCTAAGATCAAGTGCAGAAACAGGCCCCAAAACTAAAATGTTAATGAATTGCTACAAACCCAAAATGAGTTCTAAGATAACTCTCTTAAGGTCTGTAAAAACCAGTTCTCTCTGTACAAAATTATGTGTGGGATTTGCATCATTATTTAAAATTAGCCCTATAATGGCACAATGTTGTGATTAATAATTTCATCCAGGAGGTTTTGATTTTTGTATTCTTGGTTCTTACTTTTTTCAAAGTTTCACAAAAATCCGTTAGACCTCAACCCGAAAGAAGTCAGTTATACTTCACCACAGTAAGAGGTGCTAGGGGGTGGGGGTGGGGAAAGGGTTGGCTTTAGCTGAGAACTATTAAGACAGTATCATTTTTGCAAGTGTAGCCTGCAAAATAATGAGCTCTCTCCCAAGTCAGTGTTGCTTGATATCAAAAAGTGATACTGTCATGTCAGTGCTTAAAAAAAAAAAGAAAGAGATGACAATGTTATGCTAACAAATGGACAAAAACAGTAGGGTGGGTTTCTAAACAAGCATAACAGCAATAGCAGGATTAACAGGGGTATCAAAAGAAAGTGAATGCTTAGATGAATAATCATTGCATTTTACTGCTAATTAGCTCACAAATTAGGTATTTTTGTAATTTAACTGGCCAAGCTGCTTTTCTAAGTAGACATTAATGATTAATAAGGACAATATAAAAACATAATTATTACAGTGGTTAGTAATGGCAACTAGCTGCATCTTAATTCATGCTTCTCTTTATTGTAGCCAGTTTTTTTAAAAAAAAACTCAATTTTATTTAAAATCTTACTTTTTTCTGATGTCATATCGATCTGAAAGAAAACATACATAAATTGAATGGTTACAAACTGTGTCTTGTTTCACAGCCCCTGATGTGCAAATAAGCTCCTATTCATAATCACACCCACAGGGAGATACCAGAAGCTAGAGGAAGGTCAGGGTAATTTGCTACAGTTCTTCCTGAGAATCTCCTTGATTCTTATCCTAACTTGGAAAAAATCTTTCTAGACATTATAGGTGGAAAGTACTTTTTAATATGTTATTTCTAGGAAGATATGATCCAGGGTGCGTTTGATGTTAGAAATATTTATTTAGGGAAAAGCCAGGAAAATAGTTAAGTGGAGGTTAAAAAGTGTCAATTTAGTGGAGAAAAAGAAGGAAAGAACAAATAACATGCCAGGGTAATACATTCTACAGAAGTAGTTTCGTAATCATTAATTACAAGCCAAAATTCCAAATCCTGAAAAGAATACAAACTGGATCTATTGCCCTGCATCGCTTCTGAAAATATTCAATAGAAAAATCATAAACTTAATGCAAGAAATTCATTTAAACATAGTAAAAATGGTTTTATAATTGCACTGCTCTTCTGTAAAGGGTGTAGGTACCACTTTGAACAGCTTTGATGATAAGAGTCACCAAGTGCAGGAAGGAAACTATGTAAGACAAAGAGTGGCTCTACAATTGAGGGTAAGGATGACATCTGTCTTGTCATAATTAGTACCGTACATGGTTACATACGGCAGGACAGTGAGTTTACCATCAACCCTTTTGTCCTGCTCTACTGCCGGGGTAGGAGTAAAAAGTGAATTCAGGGTGATTCTCTGCACTGAAAAGGCCTTACATTTTAAGCTGGCGGGTACAAGGGTATTTATTATATTTTTCTTTATGTTTCTGTATTCCAAATCCATCGGAGTAACATTAAAAATATAAAACTAGGGGGATCCCTGGATGGCTCAGCGGTTTAATGCCTGCCTTCAGCCCAGGGCGTGGTCCTGGAGTCCTGGAATCGAGTCCCACCATCAGGCTCCCTGCATGGAGCCTGCTTCTCCCTCTGCCTGTGTCTCTGCCTCTCTCTCTGTGTGTGTCTCTGCCTCTCTCTCTCTGTGTCTCTCATGAATAAATAAAATCTTTAAAAAATTAAATAAAAATATAAAACTAGTATATTTGAAAATATTTATGTGCAACTAACAATAACTACATTTGTCTATCTTAGAAACAGGAACCAATACATAAATAGGAAAGTAGAAGGAATTTCCCAATGACTTCTTTCATTTCTATGATAATGTTTGGGCATCTTCAAATCTTTATATGGGGAAACAAACACAAATGTGCCTGAACTATCAGAGAGGTCTTATTCAAGTGGTTCTTTATTCAAGGTAATCTCTCGAAGACTTGCTTTCCTCATCTATGATATGACAGCACAGACCTCACAGGGCAATTGTGAAGATCAGTGTTGATGAGGTACATGGAGCATTTAAAGAATCTACCTTGTAAGAAGTGCTCATGATCGGCAGAGTTCTGCATTATAATATTATAGTCTAATGGTTGAATTATAAACTCCTTTAAGTTTTTAGTCTCAAACTTTTCGGTCTTAAGATTCCTTTACACTCCTAGAAATTACTGAGGATCTTGAAGAACTTCATTTTATGTTTGATATATACAATTAATTATCTGTTTTATACATTAAAACTAAGAAAATGCTAGAACCCAAGTATACACAACTACACATTCCAGAGTCAGAGCCATGATGTCATCATATGTAATGTAGTCTCTGGAAAACTCTGCTATAGCTTGTGGAGATATGGGAGGTAAAAGAGAAAAAATGTCTCAGTAACCTTTAAAAAAAAAAAAAAAGCTTTGACCTCCAGGCATCTCCAGACCAACCTCTGAGAAATGAAATAATGGCTTGGCCTTTAGTAGTTGGTAGAGAAACACATATTACTACACAGAGACAGGTAACAATTGACAGGGAAAGCTTTACTGTTGTTTGAATTCAGTCCACGAGATGAGAAAACAGAAGCTCAGAGGGGTTAGGTAAACTGTGACCCTCCTATTACTAACATCTGTATAACCCTTCTAAGAACACAGATTATGTGCTCTTATTAGTGGGTATAGCAAATACAGCCATCAACAAGCGACAGTATCATACAATTACCTCGTCTTCCTGTTCTTGATCTGACTCTGATTCCTTGCCGCCCCCAGATGCCATGCGAGATGGAAAAAAGAAAGCAGGAAGAGTAGAGAGTATTTAGAAGAAAAGAAAAGATTAAATACGCTGCCAACAAACATCAACAGGCAAGCATACAGCCAGCATACTCTTGTTTTTTTTTTTCTTACTAACAGTTTATAGAACAGGCAAATAATTTAAAAGGATTGATTTAAATGTGAAAGTCTAAAGATTCAAGAGGAAAAAGACCAAAACTATAAATATACTAATTCCTTAGGCAAAAAAAAACTAAAATTACAAATATACTTATTTCAGATACTAGGTTACTAACATCCTTAAAGTTTGATATTTAATTTGATGCATATGCCCAGAGAAATGGTGATGATATTTCCCAGTCATTACAGATACTGGCTGAAAATGTTAGAAGCCACAAATAAGCATATGGCGAAAATTTTTTGAATATATAGGCAATATTTAGTAGTTCTATTATAATAAAGAACAACTAAATTCTATAGTTTATCTAAAGTGTACAATGTTTGGCATTGTTTTCCTTTTTCCTTTCAGTTACTAAATGGAAAGCTGTCCAGGACCACCGTGGAATTAATGATATGTCTTAACTTAGAAATACAGTGTAATAACAAACACTTTCTTTTATAGCACATTGAGAGTTCACTGAAATCAGAGACAAAGCTCATTCATCTTTACACATCACTCAGGAGGACTGCCCACAGCAGTACACATTTTTTTTGTGTTCTTATTTGGCATTCACTTCGGTGACTCACAAATCCACAAACCCCAAAATACATTTTGCATCACTGGAGTGTGATTAGATTATCCTCACTGAGGTGGATATACCTATTGCTGTATTCCAATGACTGGAAAAACATGCATGTTTACTTATACAGCTAATATTTCACTTCATTTTTATCATATAATAAGAATTTGCAATGTTAAGCATGATGCTATGGGCTTTTCTCTATGTGTCTGATCTCTATTTACAAGATTAATTGGTTAAGAAAGATATACCATGGTGGGTAAAAAGAAGTGTAGAAGATGCTTTGTATTGTGGAATCAAAACTTAGGGTTTTAACTATATTTCTAGGTCTCCAGGTCTTACCTGCCACTACTCATGCCCCTCCCTAACCTCTAGTACACACCATGGCATCCCGCTGCAGCCCTCCATAGACTGCCATGGGGTGGGGGAGGGGAGGTTCTATTGGGAAGAGGTTGGTTAACATTTTTTTTTTAAGTAATAAAAATTAAGTTATCCTCAACATTTAATTCATGTAGTTGTCATCTTCAACTTGATCAAAGTAAGCCAGGAATTCTGTAATGGTGAGTGATCTGAATACAAAGTAATACCTGGTAAGGAGACTTTGGGTCAGGAATTGACAAATTGTTCCTTTTCAACAGTGTTTCAAATCTACTCCTTGTAACATGGGAGTATACTGTATACTAATTATGTTAAAATAGTCAAAAACTTATTTTGATAACCCAAAAATATTATAGATTATAAGATGAACAGGTATTTATTTTAGCAATAAGATAAAATCTCATGAGGTTGCTTTGAATTTAATAATATATAATCCACTTGTGAATTGGCAGAAGCCAATGGACTCATAATACTTTGGTAGGGCCAAATGGACTAGTATGATCCCAGAAGGGCACATATAAACCAATGAAGACAAAGCCAACTTATTTTTAAAAATTAGTCCAAAAAGTTAAACCTTAAATTCACATTTTCTCTCTTTCATATCTAATACAGATTTATAGAAAATTTTCCATCAGAGTCAATATAACTCAAATGGAATATCACAAATCTGACAGGGAATAAAAAATGATTGTTACATGTGCTTGCATTCAGTAAAATGCAAAAAAGCTTTTGCTTTTACTTATTTTAAAGGATTTGAAAATTAAATCCTATAGAAATGGAATTGCACTAAGCAGATTTTACAATACCTTTGTATAAATTGGCAGGGTGATATTCAAATTGCAAATAGCTTGATGCACCAGGCCTCTTGTGGATTTTGGCTCTTTCATAAATGATAGTCGCCCGCAAGGTTCCTGAGTCGTATCACGTACCTTGAACAAGAAAGGCATCCATACTTCACACAGATATGATGTATACTATTTATTTTAATTAGATAATACTCAAAAGAAAGAATGAGGAAAAAAATCAATTCATTTGATAACGCCAAGGATTTAGAGATGTTTCTTTCTCTTTTTCTATTATCATTTAGAATGATTTTTACAAAATCATTTTACAAAGTTGTGGTAAAATAGACATGCCATAAAATTTACTGTTTCCATTTTTTCACTTACCATTTTTAAGTGTTCAATTTATTGGCATTAAGCACATTCACAAACTTGTACAATTATCACTGCCATGCAGAATCTGTCATCATCCTAAACACAAACTCTGTACCTATTAAATGACAGCTCCTCATCTTCTGCCGGCCCCAAGTCACCTCTATTCTACTTTCTATCTCTGTAATTTGCTTCTTCAGATACCCTAATAGAGTTATACAATGTTTGTTCCTTTTGAGTCTGGGCTATTTTACTTAGCATAATATTTTCAAGCTTCAACCATGTTGTAACACATATCAGAATTTCATTCTTTAAAAGAATTATGTTAAAACATACATAACATAAAACTTATCATTTCATCCATTTTTACAACCACAGTTTAGCAGCATTAAGTAGATTCATTCACACTGCTGTACAACCATCACCACCATTCATTTTTGGAACTTCTTTGTCTTCACACACCAAAACTCTGTTTCCATTAAACAAGAACTTTTCATTCCTCCCCTCCCTCATCTCCTGGCAACCACCATTCTATTTTGTTGACTCCAGGCATTTGACCTTTCTAGGTACCTCATACAAGTGGAAACAGAATATTTGTCCTTTTGTGTCTAGTTGATTTCACTTAGCATATATCCTCAAGGTTTATCCATGTTATAGCACATATCAAAATTTCATTCCTTATCAAGGCTGAATAATATTCCATTGTGCCTATACACCATATTTTATTTATCCATTCACCTGTCAATGGATATTTGGGATGTTTCCACCTTTTGGCTACTGTGAATAATGCTATTATGAATGCTGGTATGCAAATAACTATTTGAGTCCCTGCTTTTAGTTCTTTGGGATATATACCTAGAAGTGGAATTGCTGGATCATATGCTAATCTAGGTTTAAATTTTTGAGGAATCATCATACAGTCTTCCACAGTGGCTGCATCATCTTGTATTCCCACCACCAGTGATTGGGGCCCCCATTTTTCCACATTCTTGCCAACGTTTGTTAGCTATCTCATTTCATTTATATATTTATTTTTTAACCACTGCAATCCTAATGGATACGATGTGGTATCTCATTGTGGTTTGAATCTAAATTTCCTTTAGCTGCGGACATCTGTTTGCCTTCTTTAGAGAAATGTCTAAGTCCTTTGCTCATTTCTGCATTTGGTTCATAGAACGACTTTTGCACATCAACAATATAGTATTCGCTTAATCACACCGTCATTTGTGTTAAATGGATCAATTACCCTTCAGCAGTTACAGGTTAATGTGGTGATCTATAAGAACCTATCTTTGATCAGGTAAAACAAACCAGAAATGGCACAACAAAAGACTCAGTAGAGATCTTGGGAAAGCTTAATAGACTTTAAAAAACTTAAAAGAGGTTTACTGACATATACTTGGAAAATCATAATGGAATAAAATGAGTCACTGCTGACAAACTGGGAATTAATAATCTGACATTGGTGTAGTAAAAAACTGATAGAAACCAGCTTCTATCTTATGAGGCTTGAGCATTCAGACTTCTAGATTAGTGAAATACACTGTGAGAAACAAGAAAAAAAATGAGCTGGCTAGAGAAATAGAGAACAGATTTATTACTTCCTTTTCATTACATGAATCTCACCATCACATATTTTTGCCCCTCTTTAGAACTGGAATCCAGAATGAAATGTGTATATATTGCTGCTGCCAAATTCCTAACTTGGATTAATAATCTTAAACAGAGACAACAAATTTACGGTGTACTGAAGTATCTCCATAAATGTTTGCTGAATGAATTTATGAAAATATATCTAGTTCACAGCTCTATCAGGAATAATCTCTTACTAGATTGAGTTCCTGGATCCTTTGAGAGCTTTTACTACAAAAGTTGTCACTTAGAACTCTTTTGGTCTCCACATTAATGAAATTCATACATTTTTAAAATATAAGCATGAATATTTAAAAGAATTAATAGTAAAAAAGAAGAGAGAGAGACTTCTGTAAAATTTGGAAAAATGTCGCTAGTTTTTTAAATTAATGAATTGGCTATTTGTCCTAATTCTTAGCCTTAAACTTAGTTCATATGTAAAAATTAAGGTTGAATTTGAACTTCAAAAATAAAAATGGTTGGGTTTTTAGGACTTTAAAATTTCACAGATATGGTTTTAAGAAATTACTGCAATGACTTAAAAGCCAGTATTATCTCCTACTAAAAGAAATCAAATCCTTACTTGATCTTAAGTAAAATTCATTACAAAATGCCCTGTTTATATTACCTTGACAAAGAGAGGAAGTCGGTTTTCTTTGAAGGCAAAAAAACTGAATATATGATGTTGGCCACTCTTGGTTAATGGCACCAGGTTGCCAAAACAATCAACATAGATGGGTTTTCCTTCTAGTACCTGGTAAAAATAGAAAAATAACAAAGAATATAATAGCTATGATCATTATTGTTATTTATATAAAAAAAGTGGTAGTACTACTTAGAACATCAGAATTCTTAAAATATACATAATCTTTAAATTGCTAACATTTTGTCTTATCTGTGACAAAGCATGTGCCAGTACTCCTTCTTCTTACTGGTACAGGAATCTTCCAGTGCATGGTAGCATTGAATGTTAATGTTTCCATTTCTAACACTGTTTTATGTTACCTCCCACTAACCAGTATCTATAAGTGCTAAATTTAATAAATTCCTGATTGGGTTATTTTTGACATTATAATGAGTCAGGTTACTTGACTTCAATATCCAAAGGCCTGCAGACAGAAAATTATGAAATAAGAATAAGTAATGTAGAAAAGCCCTGGCTATGGTACTTCCACATTTACATAATGAATATACTTCCTGACTGTTTTCTTCAGTACTAAAAATGAAACCAACAGGGAGAGATAAAGATATCTAAATGATTAGTCACATACTTTACTAATAACTCATAATTTTTCCCAAGATAACTTCAAGAGAGTCTTTTTACCTCCTCACATACAGTAAGACTATCCCTATATCCAAACTTCTTAAAAATGGCGGATTTTGGACCTTGGCCTACTAACTGATCAATATGTAGACTGGTTTTTTTTTATGGCTCTATTTATTAAAACTATTTTAAATATATTCTACCAGTAAGGGGATAAACAACAGGTTAACATAAACTATTTTTGTAAATACAGTACCTCTACATCCCTGCTTCTGGCCACTTCAGCAAAGTTTTCCTGTTGTTCAAGGGTTTTATCCACTTTATCATCAGTCATGCAGAAACATCTCAACCTGGCTTCAATGGGGTCATGTGATTTGGCAAACACAACAAATTTGGCCATATACGGTACACAGATAATTTCTCTATACACTTGTGATGCGAAGGTAACAGATTCCTGGATTTGTCGACAATCTATCAGCCAGAACCTACAAAATGGAATAAAGGTCAGGTATCTGAAATTTAAAGTATACCACTGAATAAAAAAAAACAGCCCCTTCACTATGATCAAAATAGTCATTTAATGTTTCTTGGGAAAAGAAGGGAGGAAGATGAGAGAAACTAAAAAGAAAGAAAGTGAAATGAAGCAAGGTAGAAGGATAGATAGGAAGGAAGAAAAGAGTGTGGAGAAAAGAGAAAGATTAGGCGTTTAAGATCAACTATCAAATATTGTATTTGTAATTTTCTTCCCTGGAGACGCTTCTGAGTATTGACTCTTTTGAACTATATATTTCAGTGCTTTTGAATCTTCTAGCATGTAAGCTCTGTATCAAGACATTATGACAAGTATCTCACTGAATGAGAGTTCCTATTTTTCTTGCTTCCCTCTCCTATTCTTTGTTTCATTTCCTGAAACCCTTTTCAATAAAATCTACACAGCTTTTTTTTTTTTTTAAGATTTGTTTATTCATGACAGACACAGAGAGAGAGAGGCAGAGACACAGGCAGAGGGAGGAGCAGACTCCATGCAGGGAGCCTGACGTGGGACTCGATCCCGGGACTCCAGGATCACACCTCAGGCGGAAGGCGGCACTAAACCGCTGGGCCACCGGGGCTGCCCACACAGCTTTTCTTCATCATTCTTTTCCAACAACCTCTCCAATCACCAAGGTGAAATAATGCCATTTTTAAAAATTTGCTTTTGCTCCAGAGCTTCTTAACATTGCTGAATATAATTTTAGAAGAAATCATTGGCCAATTTATGAATTCTAGCCTCAGCTAAGTCTGTGACATTGTCTGGCAACATTTTCCTCAGATATAATTTTATTCAGTATTGTAACTGTGCTAAATCTTTATGACATTCTTTGAGAGTTCCCACCTCACCTGAGGCTCTAAGAAAGATAACTTCACTGAGAAAGTAGAGGCCATCGATGGACATTTTTTCAATTTGCTATGTATACACTTTAAAAGTTTGGTTCACATCCTTTTGCTCTGATACCTTTCCCAACCAATGATTACCCTTCTTCACTTAACTCATTTCCCATAATCTTTCAACATTCCTGAGATTTCCCTATTGTCTTGGCCTCTTTTCTTCAGTTCTTGATCCATCTTTTTTTTTTTTATTGGCTTTTGGTAAAATATATAAAAAATTTACCATTTTAACCATTTTAAGTGTATAATTCATCGGTATTAAGTACATTTACAATACTGACTTTTTTTTTTTTTTTTTTTTTTTTTACAATACTGACTTCTTGGTCTATGCCATGAGGCCTCTGTAAACAATGCACAATCCAGCATCACTTCTGAAATACAGACTAAATGGGTCACTGTTGCTCTCCCCCAGTACCCTTCTGCATTCTGTCTTGGCATCTTTGTTCATGTTACTCTGTCTTCCACTTTTATCTACCTGTAAGGTTCCTACTTGTCTCATGAGTCACCTCTTCTTGGACATTCTCTTATTCTGATGCAAATGCCCTCTGCTGAATTCTTTAGTACCTCTGGTGTACCTCTCATTCAAAATGTCCCATTGTCTTCATTAGAATGTAGATGCCTGAGTGGTAGACCATAATGGCCCACAGAACCCAAGACTAGGTAGTTGAGCCTGAGTGGTAGAAACTATAAACACATGCCACCACACCCAAGTATGTCATGCTCCATTACTAAATTATTCATGAATTTCTATTTTTTCTTTTCCCCCTTGAGTAGAAATTTAAGTTTTAACCACTCTTGACTTTAGTTTTCTCATCTGTAAAATGGACACAATACTTCCTTTCCTATTGAAGCACACAGTAGTTGTAGTAATCAAATAAATGGGAAAATGCTTAGCAATCCCTTAATCCCTATGCAACCGGAAACTAATAGTAATCAACTGAGTTAGTGTGTGCAGGACAGAAAACTAGATAGCTACAGATTTTAAAAGATGTGTGATATGTAAATCAAATATGTAAATGCATTAGAATGCTAAGAGTCACTGAAACCTCTAAACCATTTAAGCAAGCCACAGTGGGCTTTGTGTTTTTATTATTCTGTTGGAGAAAAAGTAGTTCTATTTTTTGACAGCAGGAAATTTATCTTTCCCAAGAACTTTGGGACTGGAAAAATCAGTTGGTGCCAGCAAAGACCAGAGTCAGGGTCACAATCATTTATTTCTCTTAGATTTTAATCTGACCTGATTGCCCTTTGTTATTGTATCATCACTATTATATTTGCTGGCAGATTTAGCTTAAAATATGAAAGTAAATGCAGATCATGTTTAAAAGCAAGCCAAAAAGCTTCACTCTTAAAGAATGTAAGAAACAAAACAAGACAGTGAGGAGGGGCAATCTCACAGTGGGCTACCCTGGGCTGCATAACATACCTGGCAGACACATTAGTTGTAAAGGAAACACATTCATTGACAAATGTTAAAGGCGTAGTTCCAGTAATGTCTTCCCATTGTGCTGGGGTGGTTCCACCTGAAATAATATGATTGTTTAAAAAAAATCAGGCAAAACTCCAGACTTTGAATTGTAAAATAAAGTCTTTGTGGTTCTGGCTGTATCCACTCATAGAATCACACCCACTCCTCAACATGACATATTGGAAACAACAGGTCTAAAAACCATATGCTAAAAAATGGTATGCTGAAAACAAACAGTAGACACTACCTTTCACGGAAACTTAAGGGAGGTTATTTGAACGACTGCCTCAAATTGCTTACTAAGCGTTCTATTTTTTTTTTTTTTTTTACATTTCAAGTTTTTATTTATATTCTAGAAAACTAACATCTAGTGTAGTATTAGTTTCAGGTGTAGAACTTAGTGATGCATCACTTACATAGAACACCCAGTGCTCAGCGCTCAAGTGCCCTCCTTAATCCCTATCACTCATCTAGCCCATCCTCCACCCACCTCCCCATCTCTCCTCCACCCACCTCCCCTCCAGCAATCCTCAGTTTGTTCTCTATGGTTAAGATCTGACTGATATTCTGAAGTTTTTATTGTAATTGCTAGGCTTTGAAGATCATTTTAAATTGTAACAGCTGATGATTTTGAAAGCTACTTCAATCAGCCAAGGAGCTGAATACTTTGTTAAAATAAGAAAAAATCTAAATATTCTTTTGTTCCTGAACTTCATATTTCATGGAATTATTTTAAAGAAATAAAATTTCTTCCCAACTTGCAGTTTAAGGTTGGCAAAAAAAATGCTTGGAAAATATTAAGAGCTCAATAATACTGCACGGTGAATGAATAAATGAATGAGTGCTGAGGGATGGCCTCTGGATACAGAAAGATCACCATGAAGGCTGATGTTGACTTTCATTCTACTGGGAAATTATGCTGGCATAGATCAGGATATAACAGTCTTAAAGCACTGTAGGAGGAATGTATGTTTGAGATGAAGAAAATTGTGACTCTAAAATTCCTTAAAGAAGGAACTGAGTTATCAAAGAAAGTTCATGGAAACTTATTCTAGTAGGCCTCTAATATAGGAATTCTTAGCAGAACCATAAAACAGAGCAAAACCCCAAAATCCAAATACTCTGGTTAACATACTTTTTTAAATTAACAAATAAGTTTAAGAAATTGTTTAGTACAAACCCATCTGAAGATCTATGGCTAGAATAACTATATTAGATGGTGCCTAGGCCCAGGTGGTATCCTCATTTGATCAACTAAAGGGCAGGGTGTGCCACAGTTTTCAGTGTCCTTTTGCTCCCATGCAATTATGTTGCACATTATAGAAAGGTTGTGTACCCATGAAACAAAAAGTTTGGGAATGACACCCAGAGATGCTGGTAACAATCAGAAATGGGTAATTGAGAAAGGGATCATAAGTGAAGCATAAGATTTCCTTCTATACTCATTGTAGTCCATGTGTTTTAAAATTTCATCATATTATTAAACTTATGGGGTAAAATGTCAGTGGTCTCCTATCAGAAGCACACACACACACACAAAAAAAAAACACTAGGAAGAAGGGAGAATTAGAGAATAAAAGTGATCATTCCTTTCAATATGGAAGAGAAATGAAAAAAACTTCTAACAATACCTAAACAACAGGGATGGTGATTATTCCTATTGACAACAATATAAATATTTACTGAATGCCAACACCACATAGTTGTTTTTTTTTTTAATATTTTATTTATTTATTTACTCATGGGCGACAGAGAGAGAGAGGCAGAGAAATAGGCAGAGGGAGAAGCAGGCTCCATGCAGGGAGCCCGATGTGGGACTTGATCCTGGGACTCCAGAATCACACCCTGAGCCGAAGGCAGACATTTAACTGATGAGCCACCCAGGCAACCCCACATAGTTATTGTTAAAGAGGGAAATTATTAGGTCAATGATGTAGTACTAACACAAGTTATCTGTGTGGATTTTTTTCCTCTCACCATTTATTTATTTTTTTCTTCTCACCAATAATACCATTTGTGGTGGTATTATTGAGCAGAAAAAAAACAAACAAACAATGCTCCAGTAATGTCTTTCTGGAATGTGGTAGTTGTCTGAAAGCCATTACAACTTCCAATTGAAAAGACCAAAATTCAGTTAATCATTAATAATCTTTACATTGTTTTTCCAAGATCAATGATAAAGGCAAAACAATTCCTAGACAGAAGTTGAACTGGATATAATAATCCAATATGCTATTCATTTTTCATAAAAGATTTCATATTAAGATGAAGTCTTCAGTGAAGGCTTAAAACTTAGGCTTTGAGGCATGTAAATTTGGGTTTGAATTCCAACTTTGCCAAATATTTATGGTATGATTTCAAGTAAGTTCTAGAACTCCTCTCAGCCTTGACTTCCTTTTCAGTAAATAGGGTTAACATTTCTTTACAGGGCCACTGTAAAGGCTGAAGTGACAGTAAAGGGTCTACTAGTAGGGCATACAGGCTGTATTTTATAAGTATTAGTTCATTTCCTTTCACCTTTCACTTCCCTAATTAGAAGTTTTTTCCTGAATGAATATATAACCTCACAGGTATCTGATGACAAAGATAATTTAATATTTACAGTAACCTATGTTTCTTCCTTCAGAACTTTCTACTAGCACAGTCACATGTGACTCACCTGTTATGCTGCACAGTAATCTTAAGGTTGGTGCATCCCCCCCAAAACCATTCAACATGACATCACTTGAAGCCTTTGGGACAGGAATGGTCATGGTAATTGGCTTGTGGAATTTTCTTCTTCTAGGTTCCAAAGTGACTATTGGGCTGAAGGTAGCTTTGTTGCCTAGAATCTTCTTAACCAGCTCACTGTGCATAGGTTGAGCCTTTTCAAAGAAAAAAAAATGTTAAACAGCATTATCTATATTTACATCAATATATTTATTTGAAAAGCTGATTTCTAATCATTACACCTATGTTAGGTTAACTTGCATCCAACGAGGGCATACCTGGAGGCCTACACGGATCCTCTTGGTTAGTGCCCCCTCTGGGAAGACGGCTTGTACCTGGGGGGCCACCGTGCTGCTGAGCACGCCTCCCTCTGGGCCAATCAGGTTGCTGTCCTGTTTGATGCGAGACACTACTGCAAAGTATTGTGGGAAGTCACGGGTGATGATGCGGCATATTCGCTTCTTTTCTAGGTCTTCCGGGCTATCCAGCACTGAGACAAGAAATGACCCATCTTCATACAGCAAAGGGTTTCCTTCCAAAAGCATTCTAGCAAACTCCATGGCGGAGGTTAATAGTAAACAAGTGTGGGAACAAAACACCTTTTTTTTTTTTTAAAAAAAAAAAAAAAGTAATAGGAAAATTTAAAAAGACTCCCTATCCTGACAACACCAGGAAAAAAACAAAACAAAAACAAAAACAAAAACAAAAAACGCAGTCTTTCAAGACCTATCAGCAATTAGCACATTTTATTTCTTCGTGGACACTAAAAACTTTTCGGGGCACTGTGAAAGGAAAGCCTCCAGTTCCAGATGCAGTGCTGCAGGACCGGCTGCCTTTGTAAATGAGGGGTTTGGAGGGCAAATTTGGAATGGAAATGAACCTGTTCTATTCTTGGTTCACGTGATAGAGAGGAAATTGTTTATGGACTCCTTCTCTTTGTGAATTTCAAAGTTAGCTCAAAAACCAGTTATTGTGGTTTGAAGAAGAAATATGGCCCTTTCAGTCCTCAGGGCCATAGTGCAGGAAGAAAATTTGTCTTCTAAGGGTAAGGTTTGTGTCTGTGTGTTTATTATAGTGACATAATTGTCTCCGAAACAGTCAGATATAAAAAAAAAAAAAATCATGGGATCCCTGAGTGGCTCAGTGGTTTAGCACTGCCTTTAGCTCAGGGGGTGATCCTGGGGTCCTGGGATCAAGTCCCACATTGGGCTCTCTGCATGGAGCCTGCTCCTCCCTCTGCCTGTGTCTCTGCCTCTCTCTCTCTATGTGTGTGTGTGTGTGTGTGTGTCTCATGAATAAATAAATAAAATCTTTAAAAAAAATCAGTGATTATGAATTCAGGGTTTGAGTATTCCCCTGAAACCATTAACTTACCAAACATATCATCTACTATCAGGAAGACAGGATAATGGGCTCTTTGTAAATTGCATTAGTGTAGCTATGTAGGGCAAATCAAAAATCAGACTGGCTTAAAATGTAGAAAATTTGCACTAAGGGGATCACTGAATTTTTAGGGATTATGGAAAGTTATTTATCTTCAGAAACCATTTGCAATCCATTCTAGAGGCAGGAACAGCAACTACCCTTTTTCTTGACAATTGAATATAACTAGATATAGCAAAAGCCAAAAGTCCCAGGATGTGATCATATATAACTGAAAACTGATGTACTGGCAAACACCAGCACATACTCACAAAAGACTGTATTTCCAAGGATAGAGAACATAAAAAATACAAAACTCTGATTCTTTGTTTTACAATAGGCTTTATACACAGAGTTATAGGAGTCCTCATTCCAGGTCAAGATGCCAGTGCTCATGGCGGTGTTAATGACAGGTAAATATCTCAGAGGAAAATATCCTAAACCTAAATGTAGGCAAAAGAAATGGCTTCAAGAAGTAGAAGCGGCTAAATATTGCATGAAACAAGCTTTATCAGGAGAATCCTGATCTTTTTATCTTGCTTGGAAAAATACTGACCTATGTATCTAGAGGGCATAATTTCTTTTTCCTTCTACCTCCTTGCACAGGGTAAGCCTGGACTCTATTCTTATTCCACCTCAGCAGGATGCAGAAAGACTAAAGCAGCTGTTGCCCAGCTACCCTTACTCTCTGAGAGCCACACCCAAGGCTACGGGCAGTAGTCTGCAAGACTGGTGAACATGACAAATGTTCACATACAGCTGTAAGTCCGGTTCTGTACAAAATTTGGTATGCTCTTGGCTCTTAAGAAAAGATCATGCCCTATTTGTGTGGTTCCTTAAAGTGAACACATGTCTCGTTATTAGGACTGAGTCTTTGTTTTTGTGCAGCCTAAGGAGGCCAGAGAATGAGCCAATCCCCTCCAGATATTTCAACCTGTGGCTAGATGGTCCAAGATGGATTTGGGATTTACAGAGATCAAAGCCCTAATGAGAACAATGAATTCCTTAACTCTATGTGTAGGTGTGTAGAACGAAATTCTACCCTGGCAACTCCTTACTTTAATTATATGTAGAAGTTTGAGTGAACTTAATTTTCCTATCTCCTTAGTAATAGCAAGTTAAAAGAAGAAATCATATTATCCTATAATGCACTAGTTACAGGTATATATGTAAGTTTCCCAATTTTAAAAAAAAGCCTAGCACTTTTTATCAGTGTCTTTCTTAAATATCTAAATTTTCCTGTTCAGCATTTTTAAAAAATCATGGATTTATTATCCAGTATCAGTTCATTTTGTAGCCTAAACAGCAATATCTATTCGGTCTCATGTCTTAGGTTTGAAAAGTTTACACTAAAGATAGAGATGTGCTATGCCTCCTTATTAAAATGAGATATTTACTATTGGAAGGGTTTTATTTTCTTGAATATAACAGAGGCAAGACTAGGTAAATATATCATGCATTCCAACCCTGGAGCATACAGACCACTGGAAAATACCAAAATACTTGCCATGATAAAATGACACCAGGAACACCCATACCCAAACCCACCCCCCACCCACACACCCGGAGGTCATAAGAAAGAAATACATCATTTTAGTGCTTCCATTTCAGAATCCTTTTAAAACCCTTACTATGAAGTACCTTCATCCATGCCATTAAGGATTTCATTCAATTCGTCTTCAGTGTATTCACAATAATGCTCTTTCCAGCTGTCCCCATTCTCACTGCGCAGGACCACCAGTTCCCTTTCCTTTCCTCGAAGAGCAGCAAAATGAGGGATCTCCACGATCACAGGCCTGACACAGTAAGGTAGAGTGCTTAGTGTGGACAAGAGCTAACCAATAGCAAGACAAGCACCATGACTCTGTCTGTTGCAAAGTGACCTGGAATCATTCTCTTTCTCGGGACAGGGGCATTGTGGGCTGTCCTCCGGAGCCCAACGGCTAGCAGATGGTCACGCAATAGCACTCCACCTTGGGGCACCATCCTTAGGGACATGCTGCTACCTTAAGCCAAATAAAGTTTCCCTATGAGTGCATGTGGCATTCTGGAACTTCTCCTTTGAGAAATGTTAAGTATAACACATTTAACCAAAAGAAACGTACATGCATATCCATGAGGTGTGCCAATCTCCTAAAACATTTTCTACAAGGTGCGAATGACAAAATGGTTTAAGAAGGAACATGGCTTGTATGTTGCATAATTTGATGTGTTGTAAATGAAAAGATGTCAGAAAAGTTAGCTACTTGGGAACTAAGGAGACATGCACTCGTGGTTTTTGCCTTTTTTTTTTTCATTCAAGGGAACAATAGGCATGTGTACACAGCGTGGCCACAGGTGGCTGAGCAGCACCTCAATAGACAGCCCGGCTATGTCCCATGCCTATTAGCTCAGGATCTGGAACATGCACTGCCCTGACATTGTCAGGTCGCATTCACTTTCAAAATTTACAGAGGCTTTGGATTTTTCAGTCCAGGTTGCTTTGATACAGACTTCAAATTTATCATAACAACATCATAACTAGCACATAGTACAACTAGGCAGATCTCATGCTTTAAACGAAAATGAAGATCACAGCACTTTAAGGGAAAAGATATAAAAAACATCACTTGAAAATAAAAGTCACATACCACAAGGGTCAGAAATGGTCCACTAAAGATAGGTTATACAGAATTTAAATCATAGGGAGGGACATGTCATGGGCACAATGACAAAAAGAGAAATCATATTGCAGAAGAAGGAGAAGAATGGGGGCCAGCAGCCATCAATTTGTTTTAAGTCACTCCTACCCAAGGAATTTGGTTCCAGGAGGCCCCAGCTGAAGGATGCGGCTGACCAAACTTTCTCCCTCATTAAGTGGGGGAGGAGCCGTTGGCAGGTGAAGTTTACTGAGTACATCCAAAGCAGCAGTGAAAGAAAGAACATAAGTAAGCTTCAGGTATTGTTCTCCACAGAACCCCAGCGTCACCGGCTGATCAACAGGGTGAAATCTGGTTTCACACTGCGCTTGGTTCTGTCCCCTCCATTGGTCACAAAGAGTAAGGAACCGAGACCCAGAGTGTACAATGGAGGCACGTGGAAGGAGACCCTTAGGTGTGGAATCTGTCCCTACTTAGGTTCACTGCCAGGGCATGAGCCGAAAAATAAACAACAAAAAAATATGCTCCACAGGAAAGAGAAAGCTGTTGGGAATATAATAAAAACTCTGTAGAGAGGCCAGATGTTTTCAGGGATATTCCTCAACAGATGTGAAGTTTATTAAAAAGCCTAAAACTACCTGAGCACAAGGGCCTGGTACAGAATATGAAAGGGGTCATTGGGGAATTATTCCAACCATAATGGCATTTCTGATGCAACCCAGAACTTCACAGGCTCCTCCTAAATCTCTGGTCATTTAAGGAGGACAAGGGAGGTGGCTTCTATAACTGGGGGATACAGACAACCCTTTTCAGGTGTGAACATAATTTGCAGCAATCTGTTAATAATTTGCTCCAAATTACAGGGCTTTAGAACATTTCTCCAAGTTCTAAAGCAAATCCTCTCCCCCAAACAACACTAGCAAAGCAAAGACTTCATGATTAACAGGATTTTTCTCCCAATTTTTGAGCACAAAGACTTGTTGTGACAAGACTTAAATACAAATGATTTGTTTCAAAATATTTTGAAACTTGTCCCCCTCCAAAGCTTCATCCTTTTTTCAGTTTTCAGTGGTAGTCATTTCTTGGCATGTTGAGACACCACTTCATATATAATACCAGCTGTACAACCAGAGGAAGGAAGAAATGCTAATTTCTGCTCAAAATTGCTAAAATGAAGATGGCAAAAGTGGTCTTGATTTTGTCGTCTTATGAAAACTACAACTAAAGGGACTGCCGGTGTAATTTTCAGACTCAAGATAGCAATTTTGATAGCAGAAAAGACAAATCACATGGAGTAAATTTTTGGGTATCCTATAAAGTTAACACTGCTTTCCAAAGATAATCACTCAGTTTTGTAACTACACAGACTTTAAATTTATGTTTGTAATAGAGTACTACTTCTTCTTTATGACTTTACCATGTGAGTCTCAGGATTAAAAAAAAAATACCTACCATTGGCTAAAACGTGGTTATTCACATTGGAAGTCTAGCAGCTATTGTCACATCCAAAGAGAAGGAATAATAGTTCACCTGAATATCAAACTCATGAATGCCTTAGAATAAGAGGTATGTGACTGGAGTCAAACACTGTGGTGCTACTTCCAATTTTTAAATAATTTCACAGGGGCCAATCTTCTTTCACAACGTCATGACGTACCTTTTTCCATTCCATCCTAGTGATTTCATGTAGAGGACACAAGCTCATCCGTGACTAAGTGGAGGTTTATCAGAAACCCTTACCCAAGGAACTGAGCACCAGAAGGTCCGACTTCGATCAGGCGACTGGCCAGGCCTTCTCCTTCCACCATTGGAGGCATTGTCGCCAGTCTATGGCGTTTGACCAGACGGCAGGTGACTCGAGTTGGGGCGGTACATTTCCGAGGTGGAATAATGATACGGAGCCCATTGTGTCTGCATCCTCGCATAGCACCACCTCGAGCATCCACCATAAAACTAACCAGGAAACTAAAAATTGAAATAGAAGATTAGCTGCATTTTGAAATACTGGAAGAAGATAAACAAGTTTTGTCAAGTTAGTTTGCTTTCGTAATGCTTTGTTCTTTTTAAAATTCATTCACACGGTGGCAAAATATTTGTCCTTAAAAGCTATTTTACTTTATGCTAATGCCTCTATTTCTGTTTGGTCATTGTTTTAGTTTTTGTATTATTTTGATCTGTGACTAAAGAATTCTGCTGATTTTTGTTGACAATGGTGATATTATATACAAACTGTAAATCAGAAATCTGTCTAATTGGCTTAGAAAGTGGAATTATATGATGAACACTGATGAGTCTTCTTTTGTTATAAATGCAATGACTTCTGCTTCTGTCTAGAGGAGTCCTGAAAAATCCACATCTTGAAATAATGTAAGGACAGAATAGAAAGAAAAGACCAAATTGCAGTTTTTCTAAGTTAATCTGACCTGACTTTTCAAAATTACATCTTGTCCAGCCCATTTTAATATAATTCTATGACTTAAAAAAAGATTCATAGGCCTTCTCCCAAGATCAAACCCATGTACATGCATCCTCCTCCAACATTATCTTACCCAGGATGCAGGTTTTTAATTTATTGCATTCTAAAGGAGAAGGAAAAGCAAAAAATTAAATGCTTTGGATAGACTCAATTTATTGGTTGACATTCACTTTTTCAGCTCTTAAGTAGGAATCTCTCTGCTGTACTGGTCTAACTGAAGCAAAGATGGGGTGGTCAGAAAATAAGATCATAAATCCCTTCTATTCTGTGTTTTGAAGTGAAAAACCCTGGGTTCATGAGGATGGAAAAGATCTGTGCCTCATGATTTTCCCCAAATTATAGGAAACTGTATGTGGAAAATCACAACTAAAAAAATTTAGAAATGTAAAGTCTTCTATTATTTTTGCTCTTTTACTACTGAATTAATTTTTCATGCATAAAAGAACGAAAATCCAAGTGACCATTTTAAGTGTACCAAGAGAAAGATTAGTTTTAACTTTAATGTTATTTCCTGTGGGATGATCTAAATGGATCCTGATACAGATTAGTTTGAATTCTTGTCACTCTGACAGTCCTAACACTCATTAAAGTCTTGGAGGCACTCACTTCCTCAAAGAGCAAAAATTAAACCAGACAACCCCAGTGTTGGTCACATATACACAAAGACACCAACGAACAGTGTGTACACCCTTATACAGATTACATTACTATCTTTCCCAATTTTCATCGCATTTGCAAGATTTTATATACCAAAACAAAGAGGAAAGCAACATACAGGTGTATTATGGAAAAACTTATAATTTAACTAGCACAGAACTACACCAGATTCACCACGTCTAGATATTGCATCCATGACAACATTTAAAACATTTGAAAGATATTTTATCAAAGTAAGTTATAGGATAGAATGCAATACATTGATGTTATTTTTTAGACAAGTGATGAAAAATATGTTAGCATCTTCTTCATAGCAGAACACAGAACTCATTAAGCATGCTATTAAACAGAAATCCTGTTGCTAGTAATAAAAATGGATGCGAGGAAGCCTGGAGTGCCTGTCTGAAGCACGTCATGCAGAATGAGACCACGAGAAGAGCTGTCACCATCCTTCCCATGACATGCAGGAGCCAGCCTAGAACTACCTTTCACACCCAGCCCTCTAAGTTTTTAGTAGAGGGCAAAAACTGGGGAGTATCATCAATTGGTCAGTACTCAAGAATGGATGTTCCTGGTCTTAAAACACAATGAAAAAATGTTGGCTGCTTTTCTTATTACTAGCCTAAGAATGAATTCTTTAAAAAAAGTTCTTTTCTATTTGTTTTTTAAAATGTACTATTTTAAAAGAATGAAAAAAACCGAAAACACCTCTAGATGAATACAAAAGTTTCTACTCCATTTTATTTTTTTTTATTTAACTATGCTATTAATGCCAATTTTTATAAAAACTAGGGGCAAGTCTAGTAAGTTTGAACTAGGGCTATTCCAAATGCATTGCAATATTTCTGATTTTCCCTAATTTTTTTTCATCTTTTGATTACTGTCACCACTGATGAATGGAACAGGGACTCAAGCTCTTAAGAAATTATTATAATACATCTAGTCAATATTACCAATCTTTTATACCTTTTGAAGGCACTCAGGAAATCAGCACACGTTACATGCTATTACGTTTCCACTATATTTACTCTAGTAATGACTTATAACCTATAAAATGTCTCCAACTAGAAAAACACATAGAATGTCTTCTAGTAGTGCATCTTCTTAAAAAAAAGTTAATCACAGTAGCTATGTTATTAGTTATAATAGTGTTTCAATAACTACATGGTTGATTACTTTCTCTGATTTTGTGTCATTGATTGTTCCTTTTGAAATTCTCTTTTGCTCTCATTTACTCCGTAGTTTCCATTTCCATGCATGAGAAGCAGGCAATGTCTGTTACCCTCCTATTAAATGCCACCTGCCCTGCTTGGAACCGAGGATACTTAAAGTAAAACCATAATTGCTCCTGCCAAAAAGCTCATGTGTAAGCCCTAGGTTTCACAGGACGGTTTTGCTTACTCGGAATCATTTCATTTCCTGGTCAATAAGAAAGGAATTATAACCACATTCAGGAACCATGTAAGTACCCTATTGGCAGTGATCTTGTTTTTCCTATGTTCCCCTGGTGCCTAGCACAATGTAGATGGAGTACATAGTAGGCAGTCAAACAATTGTTGAGTAAGTGAATGGATGGAAGACAGAAAAGAGCAGGTTGTAAGAAGTTGTATATAATTATCTAATAAAGAGATAAGGCAGGAAAATTGAAGGTAATTTAATTATTTGGTCTCTGGACAACCAATCCAGTTAGAACTTATTCAAATTACTACATTCTGATATTTCAGCTCATAAAATAGCAAAATAGTTGGGAAAGACTATACTCAATGTCAAATATTCTTCTACAGATCTTTTCCTGCTCCCAAATAAGAGACTGGATATATTTATTTCCCCTGATAGGTGATTAGTAGAAAATGGGAGTAATCAAAAATCAAGAGTTTGAATGTAACAAAGGAAATAATTTTATTAGGAGTGAAAATTCCATGAAGAAAGACTGAGATTGGGAAATCAAAAGGAAAGAACTTAAAGACTGAATTTGCAAGGAGATACATTTAACTCTAAGTGTCTCAACATCCTCTAGATCTGGAAAGTAATACTTATGTACCGCACCCAACCACAGCAAATTGGGAAAAGTAAGGTGCCAATATGCGTAATTCAGAAAAAAGAAGAATTACATTTCCAAAGAAAACAAGTCTTTGTGTCTTTCTCAACTAACTGAAGGAACTAAGAGACTAACAAAAGTGACAAATTCGGGTGGGGGGGTGGGTTGGGGGAGGATTGTCTTCAGCCAAAGAGGAAGGGGGAATAGCTGGGGGAGGAAGGTTGGAAGGGAGCGAGGGGAGGGAGAGGGAGAGAGTCAGAGAACTGAGGAGAATTGAGAGGAAAGCAAAACAAAAAGAGGTCAAGAAGGAAACAAAGGCTAGAAGACAGCAAAGAACTGGGCAGCCCTGGTGGCAGCGTGGTGCAGTGGTTTAGGGCTGCCTGCAGCCCAGGGTGTGATCCTGGGGACCCAGGATCAAGTCCCACATCAGGCTCCTTGCATGGAGCCTGCTTCTCCCTCTGCCTGTGTCTCAGCCTCTCTCTCTCTCTCTCTCTGTCTCTCATGAATAAATAAATAAAATCTTTAAAAAAAGAAGACATGAAATAACTGAATATTAGTAGTCAAAATAAATACAAATGTTTATAAATATTCTAAAGAAATCAGATTCAAATAATGTAATTGTAGAACTAACAGAAAAGCTGAATATGCAGAATTGTACAATAAAATAAGTCTTTTCTTCAAATAAGAGAAATGATGACTCAAGTGCTGATGAAAAAGTCTTTTAGATAAAACATGCTACTTAATCCCAATAGTTTATAATATACAATTGGGTAAGTGTATATTTATTAAAAATACCCAAATCAGAAGGTTTCACTATTTGGGTATGTGGTAGAATTAGTAAAGTTATTCTGCAATGTAAAAAACAGACTCTAAGAGACCATTTACTGTTTTGTACCACAGGAAAAAGTGAAAGGCTGGAAGCTATGAGTCATAAAATGAATCAGCTCACATACTAGAGTTGATTAAATAAATATGATTTTCCCATATTTTCAGGATATAAAAATGGGACAAAATAAACCTGTAAACATTGGAGACAAAAGGAGTTAAAGTAAAAGCATATATTTAAATATGTACAGAGGAGACGGTAGATGTACAGCCTGAAGCTCAGCTCTGCTGTTTGCGAGCTTTAAGGCTGAAGCCTAGTCTGTCAGGGACAATCCTACCATTACCACTGAGGGTGTAGTGAGGATTAAATCCTGTGTGGGTAAAGCATTTAGAATTCAATGAATACTTGTTCCCATCATTTTCCTTTCCCTATGCCCATATAATTTTATGTATCTTGAATGTCTTAAAATTTATGGTACAATACAACACCTAAAAACAGAGAAACTGATTTTTATCAAATACCTTAAATGAACTGGGGACTTTGCTAACACGGTTTAATACGAGGGTGGAGGTGTTTTTTTTACTAGTTTTTGAACTTCACTATGTAAATAAACTACAAAAGCACTATTACTAGGTCCCATCTATCATGAAATCTATCTCTGTCTTGAATTATTGCTGTAATCTCACACAAGTCACTTCATGTCTTCAAGTTTTAGTTTTTTCATCCATAAAACGAGAGGCTTCAGCTAAATAAACTCTATGGCTATCTGGTGTTAAAATTCTCTATACCATTTCCTGTTAACTAAAGCTATGAAACCTCCTGAAATGTTTCATGACTGTCAGATGCTCTGTCAGAATTTTTATTTGGAAAATAAACTGCTTTTACTCCAAGAAATATATATTATTTTTGCTGTATGGTTAAAACACTCCACAAACAGTTTTGAAGAAAATGGGTACGCACATTACACTAAACACTGAAGACTGTACAGACAAAATTGATCACAGAATATACTCAGCTGGAACTGCATATCTTACTCTCCAAATGAAATTCAGCAATCATGCAAAATAGAAATTCTCATTGAAGTTTTCTAAATTGTGAGATACAATGTTATCACAATTTAAAAAGAATAAAAGCAAAAGCAGTCCACCATTATTATGCAGATGATTTGCCTGCAAATACACAATTTGATTAGCTAAACAGGTACATGCTTCAGAGGAGGCAGCAGAAAACAATGATTCTGGTCTTTTGAGGACTACATCCTCCACCCCAAAAATTACTAATCCTTAGGTTTACTTTTTAATTCATCCAGGACCATGGGGTGGGGAGAGGGAGGAGATTATAGCATTCAGTTAGTTATTGGGTGAAAATAGGAAAAAAAAAGTCATCAGGGTGCTTCAGTGATCCACACATACATAGCAAGAGGCCCTTAAATTAAATCTGGTTTCTGGGCTTATGTGAGAAAACATCATGAGCGCTTTCTCATCTGTAATTTTCTCCTCTTAATTTCTTCCTCGTCCTCGAAATTCCATAGACTGAAAAGCTGATAGAAAATATCTTTGAAAAAATTGGCTCTAATTTGCTAAAATCACCAATTAATTATCATATGTTCATGTACAGAAACATAATATTTAGTGTGTGTTTCAGAAAAAGTGAAAGGATGGATATAGAATTCCCAAAATTGGAAAATTAAAATTGTCTTATTTGTAGACAATCTGTAGTATCATGGTGGATGACTGTATAATAAAAATGCTATCATCAGCAGTCTGATAAGAACCTTTAAAAATAACCTAACTGAAATAATAAAGAATAATGGATTTTTTAGAACACTGACTGGAATCATCCTATAGCACAATTTCCAAAATATCGAAAGGTTGCACTTAAAGCAGTACTAGCAAGGAAATGCACTATTAATAAACTTTCAGCCTTTGGTTCACCTAGAATACAGCTTTAAAAAAACACCCCAAGCAACACTTAAAATCATAACCTTTAATATAACTTTAAAATAGCTCAACCAATTTGCATAATTGTTGGAAATAACATTCTTCAGTTCTACGTAGCACTTTTTCCTCACAAAAGAAATGCAGACGTGGAGATCTATGGCCAAAACAGGCTTTCGCAGTTAAGACTACATTAATTTCGGTGCAACCCGCCTGCTTTCCAAAGAAATAAAAAATAACCACTTTCTTTCCACCATAGAGAAAAGAGTTTCAGCAATGGCCACAATTTGGAGAATATAAATCTCTCTCTCTGGCTAGGTACCTTCACACTAAAGCATCCTGAGATGGGGTATATGCAGAAGGAGATGGTGAAAGGGGCAGAGGGGGAGGCGACATGTTCAGAGAAGGAATTATGCAGAAGTTCACCTGCTGTTGTCACGATCAAGACATGGAGAGGAGCGGCTGCAACAGAATAGATACTTTAGCACAGAGAAGGAATGGATAAAGTGAAATATAAAGAAGGAAATCAGAAGTGACTTTCAACTGAAATATATTACTTATACACCAATACACTATTCATTGAAAAAAAAGATGGAAATACAAATGAGATATAGCTTTATGCAAATGCGGAGAGAAGAGCAAGGTATGGGGGTTCAGAGTGACTCCCAGTGGAGGGAACTGGGGATATGATAAAACATCCGGATTTGGATTTGTAGCCTTATTCAACACTGGCTGTGGGGAGGTCATGTAACCAAGTTTTGGTGTCTATGAAATTGCAAAACATCAAGGGACACTATAAGGACAGTCACAGAGTCTTTGATTTGATGGACATAGTTTGTCTCCAAACTTTCCGCTCATACTTTAATATTTTCAAAATAATGGTAGTGCCCTTTTGGGCTTCTACTACAAAAATGCAGACAGAAAAGGCTCAATATAAAGAATAGCTTCAACAACAAACAGTAGCATCAACTATAAGGTAGAGCAGGTAATGTTAATTACCTACTAGTAGGTAACAAAAAACTGTGCAGAGTGCTTTTCTCAAGGCTTTCATTGCCTACTTTGTGGTTTGCTGTCCTCACTGGTAATATCGTCTAATCGCACTTTACAATCCTTTCATGCCTCTACCTGAGTCTGCTCTTCTGCAAAACCCTCTGTAAGTTTTCATAGGATTCACTTGTGTTTTCAATACCTGACAATATACAAAAGGATACATGTTTAATGGACCAGAAATCCAACCTTACAAAACAGCTATTTTGCCACTTAGAAAATAATTTTCTCCATCCAAAGGAATTTACCTTCATGTACCTTAAAAAAACTAGGGTGTTTGAAACAAGATAACTAAATTAACTGATATAGGTATTTGATATATATTAATATTGTCAAATGAGGAACAGTCTCGACTTTCTAATGTCAAATTCCACTATTTGAGCTAATTGCCTTCACATCTTTTTTTTTTTTTTACTGATTTTATTTTTTAGAGTAGTTTTAGATTCACAGCAAAATTGTCAACATGTTTTTTATGAAAAAGGAATGCTTTGACAGATCACTTTCTTATCGACTTCTAGTTACTATAATATTTTGTAGCAAAACATCAGGGAATGGCATTTAATTGTTGATACTTGGCTGTCATTAAAGAACTATAAAAATAATACCACTGAAATTATAACATTTAAAATGAATCACAAAACTATTACTAAAAACTGTGACTTTCATTTGTTAATTCATTATGTACTTCTGAAATGGAGAATTATAAAATTCAAATTCTTGCCCAAGCTTATGTTGGTATGATTATTGCTGGGATGCTAAAAATGACTACTGATTAAATTTTGAATCAGTAAAACAATCCAAAGAACAAAAACAAAAAATATTACTGTCAGCCTTTCTTTTCTTACAGGATTGATATTGGCTGTACATATTGGGTAAAGTAGATTTTTAAAAGTACCGATACCTACTCTTTTGTAGTCATGGACATTAGTCATTGGAAAAACAAAAGAACATTACTAATATACTTATTGGTAGAAGCTGTGTCTTCTATTACTCTAAAATCCCTTTTTGGAATCAGATAGAACAATATACACAAAATTAGTGACATGTGCATTAAAAAAAAGCTTTGTTATCTCCTCTGTCTAAAAATCATTTATTTATTACATTCTGGGCAGATTTTGAAGTAGCTCAAGAATTCTCCCTATTAATTAAAGAAAACCTTAGTTCCTTAATAATAGATATAAAAACTACTACACAGGTGACTAATGTATAATGAATAAAATGAAAAAAATCATTATTAGATTATGTGATATTATGAAAGTGACTCATATACCTTAATATCATGGTAGCTTTAAATACCATGACACTCAAAATGATTATGTTTTCAGTGTAATTACTTATCCCATTAGAGTCATCTGTTGAATTGTTTTCAAATTCTAGAGACCTCACTAGATGACAGATTACCTGATAAAAATATCAAGTCAAACATTACCTTACCATTATGAATTGTACTATAGTGGTATTGTCATTTGGAGGATTCAGAATACATTCTGCTTAACTGATTTGGAATTTGTGAAGGATTTGAAAGATGTATGCGGGTTATATAAATATTAATGGCTATCATCAATTGAGTACTTATTCTTTCTAGGCAAAATGTTACTTATTTAAGAAGCATTTAATCCATAAAGCTCCCCTGTGGGGTCCATAATACAACATTCATCTTATGGATAAACTGAAACTCAGAGTTTATATAACCTGCCCAGTGTCACATATTGAGGGTCAGAGTCGGGATCTGAATTCTCATTGGTCTGACTCCAAAGCGTACTCTTAACCACCATGTTATTTCTCTTCCATGGATTGTCTTCCAATGACAGAGAGGTTCTTAAAGGTAAGGGCTAGATCTTACTTATCTACTTTCCTTAGTACCTGGCACAAAGTTTGGTACTTTGTAGAATTTAACAATGTGTGAAGAACAAATAAGTGAATGGAAGAAATTTTAAAAAAAAGCATTAGAGAGAACTAGATGTATGTTAATTACCTAGATCTCCCTCCAAAAATCAAAGCTTTATTAGGCAAAGTTGTTTCTTTCTAACAGTATACATAAAACACACATATTTGGACCTTTGGTGCTTGTAAAAATGCCCATGTTAAGGCCCCAACAACAGAGATTCAGATGTAATTGGTTTGCGTGGGGTCTGGGTACATTTTTTTAAAGCTCTGAGGTAACTCTAATTTATAGCCAGAGTGGAAAATTATTTACAATCAAGTGATCATGTTTGAAGTTCATAGAAAATTTAGTTTATTATGGAACAAGAGTTTAAAGACTCTCATCTTAATTAGTGGTTAACTTCTAACCACTGGATGATCTTGTTTTATCATAAGTAATCAATTAGAACTACTTATGCATGCATCTAGTTTATACGATTGGTATGTAAATGATGTACTTAAACTGAGTATTTTATTGCCCTTCAGTAGTTAAAAGACTTTTTTTAAGAAATTCCTTTTTTAAAGTCAATTATTTATTTTGAAAACTGAAGTATTACCTTAACACTTTGACTCTTACAAACTTGGCTATTGAAAGTTAATCACAGTTGCCTAAAATAATTTTGTCATCTTATAGGCTGGATATAGACTTCAAATATTTTATTATAGGTTTCCAGACTCTTTAATTCTTTGATACTCTAGGTCCACGCCTCTTTCCTTCTTAGAATTGTGGAAAATTTTAGTAGCAGAATGCAATATTACGCTTTTAAGATAATGGGAAGATGTCAGATTTTAATTATCTCACTTTATATCTAAAAAATATGTTAGTAAATTTGGATGAGGTTTTAATTTGGTTTTTATTCCCTTGAAATGACTTTTGCATCAGGAATTGGCTTCCACTTATTTAAAAGGAAAAGAATATTACAGTTATTTTCAATATCTGTATAACTAATTTTATATTCTATGAGCCTGTAGTAGACAATTAGACTGAAAGTTCTCAAGTTTTTATCTACAATATCTTTGAATGCTTTTCTTGACAGAATATTTTAGAATAATAAGGAAGGATCCACCACTCAAAATAGGTCTAGGGATTATGCATAAGGAGTTCGGGATAGTAATTTAAATCAAAGTACTGCACAGATAAAACACATTTTTACGTGAAAATGAAAGTGATTAAGTGAAAAATATTTTTAAAGTTCATATGTGATAATAAAATTACTATACAAATTGAAACTACCAAAATATAAGAGAAAAACGAATTGTGAAGAGGGTTATCATTTAAAACTCCTTAAGGAAATTATTTGCTGCATAATTGAATTGTTAAACCTCATGAATAAGTATGTTTAAAACTATTAACTCAAAGTCCTACTTTTTATTGAGTTTATACAAACAGGCAGCATTTCTTAAGTAATGATTTACATATTATCTGGATGACTTTTAGAAGGTGACTGGGAACCTGACTGGTTGCATTGAAATTTCCTTTTGTTATATCCCTACTTCAAACAGCCTATGAACTCCTCTGTATATTTGTGTGATTCAAACTTCTGTAAACATTATTTTAAATTCATGACTATGTGAGGGTAGGCATTTATTAAACTAGTCAGTTAATCTTAGCACATAGAACTTTCTAGAAAGCAAATAATCCTGCTCCTCTTTTGAAGATGTCTTTAAGACAAAATGTAAACAGCAGGGAGGCCACTGGTATGTTCTTGTTAGTTAGCAAGCTGTCTGATGCAATTCTACTAGTTATTTTAAAACAATAGTCAGTTTTTCTACGCTGAATTCGACCCTTTTTGCTGGTCTGTGTAGAGAGAGTCCACATTGGATAAAGCAATGTTATTTACAAGTTTACATTGGATAAAGCAATGTTATTTACAAGTTTAAACAAAGGTCACTTCCCCTGTAAGCTAGCTATCAGCTAAAGCTACTGGACAAAGCTGTTATTTTCACGCTCATCTCTTTTTACCTCTTGATCTGGATACATAATATTGATGTACTCACCCTGAATGAATAGGGCTGGAAGAAAGAGCCACGTTGTCTAAGTTCTCAGTGCCCCAGCTGAGACGGTAAGAATTCCTTTCTGCCTCCTTGGCTAGAGTTGACACCTAAATACAAAGAACACTGGATTTAATAAAAGGACTTTCCTTCAATTAAATAAAATATAATGAACCCTAAAAAGTGGTATCACAGGAAGGTGATATTACCATCTTTTCATTTAAAAATATAAGACTGAGCCATTTAAAATGTATCTTTTACAATACAGTCCCATTTAAGTTATATTATTGACATTAGACCACATTTGTGCAATTGTCTTGGAAAGGAGTAGGTATTCACATCTATAGCTGTATATCCAACCAGCCAAAACCGATCAAATCACACCTAAAATTAAAATATTCCACAATAACCTCTAACAGTTTTCTGATAACAGATAACACTTTTCAATATAAGATGTAGTTCCACCAGTACCTTTCATTTTCTGCCTTAAGCGCACCCTTATCTTGCTTTTTTTACTTTAACAGAGATTTTTATAAAGAAATTAATTTTTATATATAATCTCCACGGGGGAATTCAGTATAACTGAAGTAGCAAGCAGCATATCACTTTAGAAAAGCCCACCACCTCTTCTGCTAGCTTGTCAACTGAATTAAGAGGATTTCTTTTTAGATTGACAAACTTGCTCCAGACATTTTCAGCAACGGGTAATGTCAAAGAGCTCTCCAGAAAACTGAAGCATAAAAGTAAAAAGTCACATACCTGGTGACTGGGGATGACCATTGTGTCGTCAATCATGGCACTGTCCCTCAGGTAAGAGGCATGGCTCAGGGTGTGAGACCTGTCGGAACTGAAGGATCGGAGGCTGGTAGGTTGGCAGGAGGCCATGGTCATATACCCACAGCAGTAGCAGGGTTGGGAGGATGGGATGATGAGCCGAGCAGGAGAGTGAAAAAAGTGTGCTATTAGCTAACAGTGCAACTTCCAGGGGTACATTAATCGTAATCGTGGGAGAAGAAAATACAGAGCTCTGTGTTGCCCTACCTCTTTGTCCAACAGCTAACCTCACACATCTTTTGACTGGTTGCTAGCACTCAATGGCAAGGGCACAAGGGAATCCAGAAGTTAACATTTGATACTTCTAATCTGATTTATTTTCTTCCCAGAAATATCTGAAACCAGCAACTGTCGTTTACTGACTGCCAGTACAAGAAATTCACAGAGGAAACTATGCCAGGATAGACTGTTTAAATCTGTGTTAAATGTTAATCTCCCTGCAACTAAGAAAAATATTAGAGGGGGAAATAGACCACCCTCGGAGAGAACAAAATGCAAGCACGAGTTTCATTTTCTCTCGTTTTCCATTCTGTCCATGCTTCATTCTCCTCCTCTCCAACTGTGAATGACTGAACATTGGTGCATTCCCCTGGAAGGTACAGAGTGAAATGAACTGTGGCCAGATGCATGCTTCCTGCGGAAGTGGAGTTCCTCTTGTTTGTCTCTGGTGTCTCCAACAATGCTATTTCAAAGGGCAGCATTGTTCCCTTTGCATGTCCTGTGTGTGGGGAGTGAGGCACCAAAGAGTGCCGGTTGCTGTGGCAATAAGATGCAAGAGCACGAGAAACTGTTTCTAAGCACCAACCCAGAACACAGACACATCTGCCAGCACAAAAACAAGCTGCCAATGACACAACCAAAAATGAGGTTTGGCTTCAAAATGGGATTTAGGCCTTGATAACTAATGCTTTGTATTTTTGATAAATCTGAATTTCAAAGTTCCGAGTTGCAGATGCAAATGTGATGGGTAAAACTTGACATTTGCATTAGTGCAATTCATTCCTTCCTAATCAATTTGTACAATCAAATGTAGATTGAGATCTCATATAAGCTGTATTTCATACATGTTAGTTCAAGAATTAAATATCTGCATTCAAAATATTAGCCCAAAGCCCATAGGGAAAAAGAGAGATACGCAAGCTTTCACAATATTTACAGAAGCAAAGTTTAATTTACTTTCAGCTAGTAGGTATTTGGCCAGTGAAGCACCATAGAATTATGGACTAAGTATCAGGTTAGCATATTTATTAGTAGAAACTATTTTCATTTTACAAATATATCTGATTTTGTAAGCCATATGCTGTCTTTTTTATGAGGTATCAATATAGCCAACTTCAATTATCTTTGAGGAAATCACCATTTGGTAGATAATTCATAGTAATTTAGGGCCTTCTCCTTCCTTTTTTTTAAAGATTTATTTATGAGAGGGGTGGGGGAGAGAGAGAGAGAGAGAGAGAGAGAGAGAGAGAGAGAGAGATTGGGAGGCAGAGGGAGAAGCAGGCTCCATGCAGGGAGCCTGACGTGGGACTTGATCCCAGGACTCCAGGATCATGCCCTGAGCTGAAGGCAGGTGCTAAACCACTGAGCCACCCAGGAATCTCTGGGTCTTCTCCTTCCTATTCTAGTAGTTTTTATGCCCCCCGAATAGACCTGGAATATTAGATGGTAAGGAACATGAATTAAATGAGTTGATTGTCTGATCCTATATAAATGTTTTATAATAAGCAAAATCTAAATATAATTTGGTAATTCACTCTTTTAGGTTATATAGGCTCCCAAAGAAGGCTGAGGCTCCAGACATAACCAAGGCGGGGGCAGCCCAGATGCCTTACTGAGCCCATCCATAGGGGTTTTAGTCCTGACAGCAGATATTGGGGCTGGTTTCACGGGTGTGTAGTTGGATTTTGACGGTGCACTTTATAAACAGGCTGCAGGCTGCTCTGATGAACTCTGGGCTAACTTGGAATTTCTACCCGTGGCTTTAGAATTCAAAGATCCAAACTGTAACTTTATACATGTAAAAGTGCTAGATCTATACGAATGAACAGAGCAAAAGGAGCAAGAGGCATTGAGGTATGGGACTAGTCATGGCTGCTCCCAACAGCAAGTAGAGACTCTGTCAGGAGGTAGAAATGACTCTTAAATGCAGCACTGGAACAGAGGAAACAGAGGTCTCAGAAAGGAAAAGGAAATTTAGCTTGGATGGGGAACAAACTGAATGGCAAATAAAGGTTCCTCAAATAAGACCTAGTGACGTAACTGCCACCATTGTAAAGGACAAACTTTGAAAGCAGGCAGCCGGGGCTCAACTGTCACTCTCAGGGAGGTACCAATGTATCAGCAATAAAGGTGGATTTTTACTGATTTTTTAATTTTGATTTTGATATCAATCTACCTAATATCCAGGTCTGTCTCTCAGCTGGTTTGAATCAGGAGGGGGGAAAGGGTATTAGTGTCAGTTTTTGTCTTTCCCAACAGCCCCAACAGGAAAGGAAGAGAAAGGAAGAAGAAAGAAAAGAAAGCGATAAAGTTGACTTAAAACAAAAAAGGAGATTAGGGAAGAGAGAGAAAAATATTAGGATATGGAGAAAAGAGTGAGAAAAGTTGGAGAGACAGAGGGAGGGAGAATGAATAAGTTGGAACTATGCCTGAATAGCTCTACTTCTGTGATTTTATTCTGGCTCAGGGTTTAATGCCTTCTAATGCTAATTCATGGTTTAATCAATATTTATAGTTTCTAAGTGCTCTTTTCTCTGATGTATAGAATTTGCTTAACTAAATAAAATTGGAATATTCCAACAGTAGAGAAATTGTTCTAACGGAATAACAAGCAGCACAAATATCAGGAATAATTCAAGTCCCTGCATAAAAAAAATTGTCTACCCTGACTTAAAACATTACAAACAAGGTTAATTAAATATTTTACAGTCCAATACAATTCATTTTCATTAAGTCAGACATCATCCAGTTCAGTTAATAAATGTATAATAACACATATCTGTGGGAGTATAAATTTATACTTGCTGTTCAGTGGAGGGGTATGCCAAAAGTTATGTTATGGTCTTAAGTTTTACTTCTTAGCACTATATAGTAAACTACTTTATAGACACATAATACATAGTAATTCATTTCATTGAAAGTAGTAATTATTACATCTTTCGATGAAACTACATCTTAGTGAGCTGTAGTATTAGACATTCAATTAATGGAGTTTTTGAATCCTGTTAAACAAGTGAATATCCAGAAATTTCAATATGTTGACTTTATTGTATGGAAAAGCTTCTGTGGCTCATTGTTACTTAGTGTTTTATATTAAATTTAATTTGTAAGCATTAAGAAAATAAAACAGACACACAAATCTAAATAATAAGAACTTGGATATACTTTTATCAATGGACATTAAATTGCATCTATTCTTGTTCTCCTGCATCCATGTACATCTTAGGCATCAGAATGGTTTTTCTTCCATCTCCAACTATACACAGACTGATAAGATAAGGTTCCTCTGGGGAAGTCATGCTAGTGCTTTACCAACCACAAGGTGGAGCTGTGACCATTAACACAAAGTCATGCCAGGGGCATGTCATACATAGACTTATGCTAGTGATAGAGATCCCTTTCTAGCTCAGTTATTCAATTCAATACATAAAAATCCTAATTTGAAAATAAATCCATAATTCTAGAATATAAGCACCTCCTGCCAACACATACACATACACACACACACACACACACACACACACACTGCACAGTGAGCAGGGAAATGTGGGATGTATCCAGGAAGTGTTCTGGTGTTTTCATGCTATTTAATACCTACCTGGGCATGGTACTATTGAAAGCATACCAAATAAATAATGAAAAGTAAAAATGGTTACCAAAAAAAGAAAACTCCCATTGAATTGCATAAACAAAAGTTAAGAAAAAAAAAATCAGTGAAACAAGAAATCCATGAACATGAGATGTTGCTTATAAGTCCATATTGGATATCATGAATACCATCTGGTGTTCTTGAAATGCTAGTGTGGACCTGGAGATCAGACTGTGACCTGTTTGTTTCATATCCTCATCCTTTACATGCTGGTAAATGTTCAATTTAAGTAGAATCATCAAACCATGAACCCCCACTTTATAGAAAGAACTGTAAATTTTCTTAACCTAGTACTTTCAAAGAAGGAAAGAAAAAGGATCAGATCAAGAACTTGATGAAATAGACCATGTTGAAAATAAAGGGTATTTTCTCTGACAGTAATATGATTATTTATACATTATTATGAATTTGTATAAGCCATAAATCTCATTTTATGAAAATTTGGAGTCTCTTATTGAGAATTTCAGATCGTGAGATCCAAATCTATCAGTATGTTAGAATCCAATATATAAGACACTGGCCCTATCACCAGTACCCCCATCTTACCCCCTGGGTGGCTCCTCCTTTTGTCTATTGACCCCAAGAGCCATCCTCTATCAATGTCATGGAAACCAAGGGATCAATCTAATCTTCCTCTTTTTCACCCACCCCCATGAAATCCATCACCAAATTTGGCTGGTTTTACCTCGTGGAAATGCTCTGAAATTTGTCACTTCCCAAATTCTCTCCATGATTGCTATCACTAAGGTTAAAGGTCAAGTCTTCTCTTAAGAGCTTCAGCTAATACTCCTGCAATAGTTTTTCAGATGGTTGCCACTGCCAGGTTTAGCCCTTTGACAGCTCTCCTCTAAAATTCATCCTTATCTCATGGTCAGAGGACACCATCCATCTAAAATGCATACAAGATCTCCCCTCCTTCACATTTACACCCTGCCAAGACAGTGCTATTCTTTCTCTTACACACCATGAGCCTATGCTCACAATCTCATTAAGGCTTTAGATGCCCTCCCCAGATTCCCCACCATCTTTCCCCATCACTGTGTCTCAATTTGGGCTCATTGCCTCCAGGAAGCCTGAGCCCTTGAGCCCCGGGGCTTCAGTTGCACTCTGTGGGGACTCTCTCTGACATCCCATTAGACTACGATTTTAGCAATTGTTTCCTGGTCATGCTTGTACTTCTAGCACCTGCCACAAAGCCAGTCCAGAAAGGCATTTATTACATGCACACTGAATTGTTTGAAAATAAAAAAAAAAGGGAAAGAAGAGGCATTGATGCTCAAGGAAAAGCCCCATGAAAAAAATTCTTTTGCTAATTATTCATTTAGAATTAACTACACTTTAAGGTATTTATTTCTTAGACTGCACATATGTTAGCTACAGCTTTGAATACAGCCAAAATTAAAACTATAAACCTAAGATTATTGATTAGTGAAAAACATTACACTGGATGGACAACCATATGTTAACCTAAATTGCCATTCTTTTGATGAGGTATCATGGAATGTTCTTATTCATCTTACCTCAAATAATAACAAAGGCCAGTTGTGCTAGTTAGTAATAATAAAAAAAATTACATTGATTTTATACTTCAGAATGTGACATAAACCTCTTCAGATTTGTCAGTAGAACTTGTGCTCCTTCAGATTTTGCTCAGATTGCTTTTGTATTCAAGATCTTGAAGGATTCTGGTCTAATTCTTTTTCATGAAAAAGTCAGTTTCAGGCATTTTCCTTTTGTTTCTTTTTTATCCTTTTTCACAACCTATTTTTATTCACAGAAATTATGCCACTAACAAAAATATGCATAAAGCAAAATGGTCCTTTTTATTGGCCTAGAGAAAAATGTGGAAAATGATTACAAACACTATACTGAAATGTAGAGCAGTCTTATCATTGCTCTGCTTCTTACTAGTTGTTGGACTTCTGCTAAGTTACTTAATTTCTCTAGGCTTCAGTTTCCGGTTCTTTAAAATAGGCACTTAAAGTTGCATGAGAATACAGTAAGATAGAACATGCCAAGAGTAGTGCAGTTCCTATTAAGTATCCATAATTATGTCTATTTTTTTTATTAACGTCATGAAAAAGTATTCCATTCCCTCTGGCTGATACCAAGTGTTGGCTTTAGGTGAATACCTGTCGGAGCGAGCTCCCTCCAAGCTATATCGCAGGTAATTCATACCATCCAGGAACTGACTGCTGGGTAGAGAGTCATCACCCAGTTCTTTCAGATCCTCGGGCCGGAGGTATTCTCCACCATCGCCTGTCATCGTGTCATCACCTTGAAGCAATCAGAGGAAGATGGAGGGAGAATTATTTGTTGAATGTCATATTCACTACAAAATATGATGATGATTGTGAAAACCATCAGAATAGCACTGACATCACCAGAACACCACACAGCAGCCAAAAGCAGAACACATGCAATGACCAAGTGCTAAAACTTAGAGAAATAATATTTGACACATTTTCCTATTGCTTACCAAGAAGAATTACCTATTGTAATTCTCTTAATATCAGTCCATTTTTGTTACTCGTTTCTTTATCACTATCGCTGGTTTTTAGCTTGTATTATTTAGCTTTTTCCACCATGTGGACTACTTAACTTCTAGACACAGTTCCACTAATTGTGTACATAATGTCCAGCATTAACAGTCTCTTCATGCCATTGGTAATATGCTAAGAAATATCTACTGCTCTAAAACAAACATGTGAGACAGTATGTGGAGGGATGTGATTTATAAGATTAACAAGATATACACATCGGGGAAAGAGCACTAGAATGAAAGGAGGAGATTGTGACATTTTAATAAACAACCTGGACTTTAATTTTAAAAACATTATGGAACATTAAAAGGATGTTTTGTTGGAAACTAGGTGGCTTCCCAAAGGTGAACTACAAGGAAAAAAGTGACTAAGTAATTAAGTAGTGGCAGAAAGATAAGTAGGTGTAGTAGCTCATATTTAGAAGCCCAAATGGTAAGGGTACATTCCCTGCCTGTGAACAGAAATAGGATGCTTTCAAAAATATCTTTTTCAGGTAACTCAATAAATAATACCTCATTCACAGAAAGGCTTTATATACCATTAATATGCTGAAAAAAATAAAACAGCTGAGAGAAGCTATTTTTGATGACTCTTTAAGATATTACTTAAGTCTTATGATCTATGTAAAGGAAAGCTTGAAGGAAGGTACTTCATTTCTATAACGAAGTTAACTTTTATTTATTTAATTCTCATTTGTTTCAAATAATTGTTCAAAATCAACACTAATTTATAAACATACAGCATTAAAGAATTCTAATGATATGTCTGATATTTCATTGTTTGACTATATATATGATCTTAAGATCTCAGGTATATATCAAAGGATTATTGGCTCTCTAAATTACTTAAAGCTCATGAAAGACTAAATGAAAAAAAAAGACCTTCCAGTAAATGGAGATGTAATCTATTCAGCATAAGATTTTAGTCTCAAAACCAATGCATTTAACATTTGACAGACAGTCATAAGTCTCACCACTGAAAATATTTTCATGGCTCCTTGAGTGACACCATTAGATTTTTATTGAGTTTTAGCACAATGAGTTAGGCTACACAGAGTATTAATTAAAAGTTGAGTAGACCTGGATTCAAATTCTAATCCTATTGGATTAATACTGGCTTATTAATCTTTCAGAGCCTGTTTCCACAACTAGTAAATAGAAATGATATTAATAATCTATCTCATATAATAGTTGTATGAATTAAATAACATATAAGTGCCAGAATAAGTACTAGTTATTGTTTTTATTAATACAAAATAGTGAAAGAATAACACATTAATGAAATATGAGCTCAATTTCATTTACACAAAAAATAGTTTTAAATGTTATAAAGAAATATAATTGTACTGTGTTTAAATATTCACAAATCTGATAACACCAAGGAAAACATAAGTTTTTTTAGGATATTATTTATTTTTTCATGAGAGAGAGAGAGGGGCAGAGACACAGGCAGAGGGAGAAGTAGGCCCTCTGCAGGAGCTCAATGTGGGACTCGATCCCGGACCCTGGGATCACGCCCTGAGCCAAAGGCAGACAGATGCTCGACCCCTGAGCCACCCAGCATCCCGTAAAATTTTCAAAATGTTTGTTAAAGGAGTCCCCTGCCTGCCCCTACATATATTTTCTTCTTCAAATTGTTCCCTCACAAAGCAAGATGTAATAATAACAGCAATCTACAGATGACACTATAGTCAAACACAAAATGCATGATGTTGGTCAACTTTAAGAACCAAAAAGATCAGAGGAGAGAGAGATCATGTTAGGATGGTGTGGTGGGTTCAGTGGTGTCGCCCCAAAATTTCATTTCCATTTGGAACCTAAGGATGTGAACTTATCTGAATATAGGGAGGGCCTTTACAGATGTAAATAAGTTAAGGACTTAGATGAGATCATACTGGATAAATCTAATGTGAGTGCCCTTAGAGATATGGAAAATGCTACATGAAGGCAGAGATTAGAGTGATGTGTCTACAAGCCAAGGAACAAACACCAAAATTGTTGACAGCCACTGGAAGCTGGAAGAGACAAAAGAGACTCTTCTCTAGAGCTGTGAGATGCTAGCATGGACCCGCTATACACTTCTCACTCCCAGAACTGTGAGAGAATAAATTTTAGCCACCAAGTTTGTGATAATTCCTCGTGACATTCCTAGGAAATTCCAGTGAAGCTGGAGGAGGAATCGCTGAAGAAGGAATTGGAGCTGATCATTTGTTTGGATTTGTTTTTAATGGGCAGAGGTTGAGGCTACTTCAGGTGAGGGGTTCATGTGTAAGGGGTCATGGAGGACAATAAAAACAGTATGAATGAAAGAGTAATACATGTTACTTATTTAGAGAGTACTACATGAAATAACCTGGCAAAGTAAAAGTGCATGATGGTGAGGAATGGCAAAAAGTCCAGGAAGAAAGTTAGTGTCTAAACAGTGATAAAACCAAGGTTAGACATTTTATCATAAGCCTTGTAGGACTTACTTGTTCCTGCTATTTCCCTCCTTTTGTGTAATTGGTCAATCTTTCCATAGGAGTATTTTTATGAGTCTAATAAGTTGGGGTCCCCCCCTTGTTTATTTCAGGAAGAAAAAAATTCTAAAATCAATTCTATGAACTGGTTTACCAAAAACAAGCACTGTCTGGTTTGGATATAAGCCTAAATTATTTCCAGGAAAAAAAAAAAAAGCAAACTTGTTAGGGTTTGGGAAGACTAACTCTACTCTTACATATGAAAAAGTGAAAGGAATAATTGGATGCAGAATCTGTCATGTAATGCGAGGAGGAAGTGAGGAGCTCCACTGTCAAGTGTTCGCAGAAGTGTGTCAAAAGGAGTAATAGATGTTTCCCCTATACTTCATCATAACACACAGCCATTCTCTCAATTAGTAGTAGTACACATCATTCCACAGAACTAGTGAAGTTCGTACAAACCATCCATGCACAAATCTTTGAGTATATGGGACACATGGGTCACATTTCTACAGGTATTTTAGTTACCTAAGTGTTATCACCCCTGAGTCCCACCATATAACTTAGTGCTATGGCGCTGAGTCAGCAAAGGTAGGGATCAGTTCATGATCCTATGAAGATGCGGATGATTACATTTACAGCTGTGTTTCCATCTGGACAATACTCTCAGACTGAATTCCCATTTCCACCATTTCCTTCCATTTCTCTGCCATGTTGCTCCATCAGGACTTATTTATAATATGACTGAGCTATTATAACAGCTTTCATACTGCGTTTACATTCCCCATTCACCACTTAATGACTGTGTGCTGTTGAGCAAACTACTTAATGTGTTTAAGTCTTAGCATCCTTCTCTTCAGGTGAGCCTTTCCTTACCTGAAAAAAAATAAGGGGGAAATCATAGCCTATCTCATGCGGATGCTATGGGGATTAAATGAGACAATGCACTTAGCATTGGAAATGTTTAATAAGTGTTTTCTCTTCGGTCAGATATCTGCTTCCTTCCAATTTCTTCCTAATACACTTCTTTAGTATATCTATTACTGCTGGTTTAATCTTTATAAAATCAGATTTAATTGTTTCAATCATTAATCAAAAATTTTAATATGTCCTAATTTCCCGAACTTTTCTGTAAAGAATTTAAACATTCACAGCAAAGCCAAATATGTTTTAATGCATGAGCCAAACCGAATGAGTGGATTATTTTGCCCTTCTCTGTCTCTCTCTGGTGCTTTCCTATCTCAGGACCTTCCATACTGTTCTTTCTCCACTCTCTAAAACCTGTGTCACCTCCTATTAATCCTCCGTTTCAGCAAGTCTATGGAACTGTGCTAGATCTCTCCTTCTCTATCTCCCAAGGCAGATATGAAAAGTGGATGACAGAGCACCTGGGTGGATCAGTGGTTGAGCATCTGCCTTTGCCTCAGGTCGTAATCCCAGGGTCCTGGGATCAAGTCCCGCATCAGGTTCCTCACAGGGAGCCTGCTCTTCCCTCTGCCTATGTCTCTGCCTCTCTCTGTGTCTCTCATGAATAAATAGTCTTTAAAAAAAAAAAAAAGAATATTCTTTTGAGTATTGATATACACACAACTATCAAAACAGAAGAGTTGTTAAAAAAGAAAGCAAGAATTGGCTAATATCTTAAAAAATATATGGCTGTATTTTGTCCATACGAATAATAAGTTCCATGAAAACATTTTAAGCATATAAAACATTAAACGGTTGGCAACATCAACCACCAAATTTCTTTATACTAATTCTTTGTACTAAAAGTTATTTCACAATATTCAAATATATCCTATACATAGAAATTATTCAACTTGAATTTCTTTCTGGGGAAAAAAATGTTACTAAGTTTTTGGCTATGTCTAAAAGAAGGAAAGCTTGTTTTCTCACCATAATGACCATATTCTTGGTCATTAGCCAGTATTTCTCTCAAAGCAAGATCTTTTATCACTAAAAACTCTTAATCTATAACATTTTTAATAAAAGAATACAGGGTATTATAGCTAGATCTTATAGTATACAGTGAGCAGGTCCAAAAAGCTATTTCATATAAGTGGAATGTCTTTAAAGCCAGTCAATACTTTGAATCATTGATATTAGAATTATTTAACAGGAAATTTTTTAAAAATTTTAATTAATCACTCTATTTGACTTATAAATTTAGATTTTCATGTAATAGGTTTGCTTAAAGTGGTACCACATGTACTTTGGAAACCTCCTGGTAAATAGAATATTTTATATTATTCCTTTTTCCCTATATGCTGAAGCTCCTCCTAAATAATTTTTAAAGGTTTTTATTTTTATTCCTAGCTACTTAGGAAAATTGCACTGTAACTATCAATTTCACATTTTTTAACCACATCTAAAACATATCTTCAGCCCAGAATGATCTGAAGTATATTCAGTCAAGCAGTCTAACTTAGTTTTAACAGGTTCATGCTAGTTAAATGTCAGCTTATACAAAGAATTATTTTTTTCTCTGAATTTGTATTCTAAAAAGAGAGATTAGTTTTGGTCAAATATTTATGATGCTCATTAGATAATTTAATTATACTAATAGGTCTCAACAAGAGTGGCAAAATCATTAATAGATTAAGCAATTTATAGCTTTAAGCATCCAAGTTAATGAAATCTACACACTGCCATGCACACATATACAACTCCATCCATAGTACGCATGCTATTTTAAAAGAAACAGATTAGTATTAGACACCCAGATTTAAATACAAAGCAAGTTGCTTCTATCTAGTTAAGAAAAATTAAAAGCAAAGCTTTCACTCCAATAACTTCCTCTAAAGGTACCTGAATCACTAAGCACTTCCCCATCAATAAAGTCACCAAACTGTTTAAAAGCTGTTAAGAAAGATGATCCCACAAAACAAAATATGATGTGCATATACGAATGCTGAAAATTAGCTGGCAAGTATTAGGATGGAACACAAAATTATAATAATACTTGGAAATACTAGCTTTGGCAATTATTAATTTACTTATAATAACATACCAACCAAATATGTGCTCGTTCTTGTCATAAGTTCTTGCAAGAGCTGAGATAACCCAGTGCCTACTACCAGTCAGTGAACAAACTGGCTCCAAATAATGACACCTCAATGTAAAATTTTACCTTCTGATTATATCTTGAAGAACCTAAAAATCTACTCTATTTCTCAGTAAAAGCAATTATTATTGAGAACAGTCCTAATTCTTTTCAGCCTGACTAGTTTTTAGTTCTTTTGTCTCTGCAGTAAAGGACTCCTTAGTGTCTTCTATGCTTTTCTCAAGTCCAGCTAGCATCCTAATTACTGTTGTTTTAAATTCTGGTTCAAGTGTATTACTTAAATCCGTTTTGATTAGACTCCTGGCCATGTACCTCTTCTTATTCTTTCTTTTGAGATGAGTCCCTCCATCCTGGCACTTTGTCTAGATCTCTGTCATCTTCTGTGTATTAGGAAAGCCTGTTATGTTTCCTGCTCCTGAGAGTAATGCTATAGGAGAAGAGGTCCTATATTGTCCAGGGCCTGGTGCTTCAGGAAGTGTCTTTGGTGTATGATGTGTGCATTCTGATGTTGGGTTTTGGCTTCTCCTTCCTTCAGATTAGTCTTCTGCAGAGTTTCTCTTTGCCTGCAGTGGAGTGGTGGGACTTTCTCCAGTATGGAAGCAAGTTTTAACTGGTGTGGTAAGTTTTAACTAGTACTATTTTTTATGGCAGTATTTTTTCAAACATAAACATTTGATCAAAAGCTGTACTACTGAAATTTGGTTAACACTTCATTTGCTGCATTCATGTGTTTTTGGCAGATTTTTTTCACTCAAGAAAAGTCAACTGCTCAAATTGAAGTAGGAAGGAAGCCAGAAACTCTTGTGGAGGGACAGACCTGCAGCACCATGCCCCATCCACACCCCAGGCAGTCCCTTGTACTTCCTTTAGAGCACAGGCTTCTCAAACTTTGACATCCACTGTCTTAGATTATTTTTACCAAATCCTGAAACTATACAGAGCAAAGGTTAGGACTCAAAAAAATCAAATCTTTATGTTGAATTAGTATGACTTACTGACTTGCTATTTTTAACCTTATTTAAACCTCCTTTCCCATAGACTTAAAATGTATTCTGTTGATCTGGCCCAATGAGAAACAGAAATTTCTTGATATACCACTGAGAGAGTACACTTCAAAGTCTTTCACTTTAATGTATTTTAATAAAAAGTGTATTTTAACATAATTAAAACATATATTAATAATTATGGTATTATCCAGTAGATTTTTTTTGACAGATGGTCAATTTCCAGTGTCTTTCTCCTTTTCCAGTTCTGCTATTTAGTAAGGCATTAAAGATAATACCCACTGAAAAGAGATTAATCACTGTCCTCTTTTCCCCAAATGACAAAGGTAGATGTTTTGAAACAAAGGCAAAAAAAAGTGACTTTAAATGTACCAGTTCATTAGTCCCTGAGAAAAAAAGGACTGCTTGCTTGTCTTTGTGTAAGACAATGACAGGTGTCATAGGAGACTGAATAAGTCTTACCTTCTTCATCAGAAACATCAAGAACCTCAGTCATCGTCTCAGGAACATTTAGCTTGTGTTTTTCAGTGATAGTCTGGAAAGAAAAATATCATCAATACATATGTTAAAATCAAACAAAAGAGCAAAAGAATCACAGAGGAGGTCACATGGACAGCATGAACAAGCCATGAGTCCCTGAGCATTTCATCTTTCCACATGTATGCTCTGGAAGCTTATTCTCTTTCATGAAAAGTCATTTGTTCTGTCTAAAGATAAATGATCATCAACTCCAGTGAAGTCTTATGAGAAATTCATTATTTTAAGTTCCTGTTTGAAAAGTAAATTCTTTAACAATGGCATTAATAATTAGTCATATTGGGAAAGCAGATTAATGTTTTCAGGGCTTCCCTAAAATGAACAAAGTAATGTCTAGAAAAGCTTGAAAAAGAAGCAACGAAGATATGCAATTTATTAAAAACAAAGCCATTGGAAAAGAACTTTTAAACAATGTGAAAGACAAACTATTTGGGCAAAAAATGTGATGCATCCCTTCTGGGATCAGAGGATCAACAGTAGAGTCAATTATCCTTATGGTATTTCATTGGTCTACAATTCTGGTTTGTTGCTTATTCATCTTCTGCAAAGGCACTCCAGAGCTGCCAAGTCCACTGCCTTCCATTTCTGATATGTGACGCAATGTTAAGAGACCAAATTCTGGAGACCGGCTGCCTAGGTTCTAATTCTAACTTTGTCATTTATAAGCTAAGAGGCTTAACAAGTTCCCTTATTTCTCTGTATCTCAATTTTCTCATCTGTAAAACAGGAATAATACTAGTACTTCATAAAATTGTTAGGAAGATTAAATGAAATAATATATATAAGAACTCTAAGAAAAGTGCTTGGAATATGTTAGCACTCAATAAATACCAGCTAGTATAACATCATTATTATAATTGTAATTCAATATTAAATTCATCTTAAAACTGAAGAACCTCTGAACTTTTTAGTCATTTAGGTACTCAAGAAAAATTTTGAGTGCCTACCACATGCCAAACATTGTTTTTAGACACCAAGGATACCACAGTGATTTAAAAAAAAAAAATCCAAATCTCACTACTTTAAATATAATCTATTGTCAAGTCTCAAATTCATATCTCTAGTTTCTACACTGAAAATGCAATAAGTGCACGGATTGGCATTGTTATGGGAACTCTAAAAATCTAATCTCTGAAAATCAAATCTTCAACTAAAGTCAATAAAATACAGTAATAAACAGGGTGTCTTAGGTTTTTAAGCTTTGCAACATAGATATTACAGACTTTTTTGAATGGCTACAATGACCCTATCACCAATTATTTTCTTTCCAAAAGCAGTAGAGAACTTCAAATATATTTACAAGGAAATTCAACTAATTTGAAAATATATTCATATATACATGTATAATACCTGTGTGTCAAGAGGGACTGATTAAATCATAATGTGATACTATATGCCCTTTCAGTGGTTCCCCATTTCCTCAGAAAAGAAAGCAAAACAAAGTGGCTCAGAAGACCCAGGTGATATATAGTAAGGAGAAGGAGGGAGGCCTCTTCTCACTTCATGCTCCAGCCATATTCACAGGCTATGTTCCCTAATACCTCTTAAGTTTTTCCATATATTCTTTTCTTTTTTTTTTTTAATTTTTTTTTTATTTAGTTATGATAGTCACAGAGAGAGAGAGAGGCAGAGACACAGGCAGAGGGAGAAGCAGGCTCCATGCACCGGAAGCCCGACGTGGGATTCGATCCCGGGTCTCCAGGATCGCGCCCTGGGCCAAAGGCAGGCGCCAAACCGCTGCACCACCCAGGGATCCCTATATATTCTTTTCTTGACCAGCAATATTCTTCTCTCTTTTCTTGGTTCATATTACATATTATTTCCTGGGAGAAACATTCCCTAATCCTTCCTGATGAATTGTTTAACTGTGATTATCTGGTGTTATGTACTGCTACAACATATATATATATATATATATCTCACATATATCACATCATACACAACTGTATGTGCCCACATAAGAGTGTGAGTCATTAAAGAGTATGTTTCCACAGAACCTGAAACATAGCAGGTGCTTCTCAAATATATATTGAATAAATCAATGATACAAAATTAGGCAAAATATATTTAAAATCCATATTACAACTAAATAGATTTTCTTTTGAGTGATAAAACAGTTGAAGAATGGGGACAAAGTAAGAAAAGTCTCATGTTACCCTGATGAAGGCACAGTTGAAGATTAAAGGATTGAATTCATCTTTCCTGCATGTTGTTTATGATGTTTAAATAATTCCATAGTGTCTTATTCACTGAAAACAAACTAAACTTTAGTAATGACAAAAGCATCCATTCAAAGTTCTGGACAATAATAGCTGGTCAATAAATATTGGTTAAACGAACAAACTTAAGAAGACTATTATAAATGATTATCATTTAATCATTTTAATTTTAAAGATTTATCTATTTATTTGAGAGAGCATGAGTGGGAGGGGCAGAGGAAGAGAGAATCTAAAGCAGACTCTACATGCATTGATCATGGAGCCAGATGTGGGGCTCAATCTCAGATCATGGCCTGAGCCAAAACCAAGTCAGATGCTTAACCTACTGCACAATCCAGGTGCCCCTTCATTTAATTATTTTAATAGTAATTAATTTATAAGTTTAACATGGATAAATTAAAGCCTATATTCATTATCTGTGGTTTTCAACTCTAGCTGCATATTAAAATTATTAGAGAAAAAATTTCAATACCATCACTTGGATCCTATCACAGAACAATTGAATCAGAATCCCTGAGGGCCCAGCTATGAGAAAGTTGCTCAGATGGATTACCATGCAATTTAAATTGCAACCCATTTGGAAAAGTATATAAATTGCAGAAAGTGATTTTTACTTAAAATATAGGAAAGAGACAGTGACATCCTATTAAACTATGATAACCTATTAAGCTTTTATTAAGAAGCATTTAAAAAATATTTTTATTATTTTTAAGCTTTTTATTTTGTTTTATTGTTTAATTTTTTAATTTTATTAAGATTTTTTAAATTAAGATTCTCAAAGGGAGACAGAACATGAAAGACTCCTAACTCTGGGAAACGAACTGGGGGAGTGGAAGGGGAGGTGGGCAGGGGGTGGGGGTGACTGGGAGACAGGCACTGAGGCGGGCACTTGACGGGATGAGCACAGGGTGTTATTCTATATGTTGGCAAATTGAACACCAATAAAAAATAAATTTATAAAAAAAATTAAGATTCTCAGTGTAAATAAATGATTCAAAAATGTGAAGGAATATCTACTGTACTAGACTACACCAGGAATGTTTATTTAAGGGAGGTGTTCTAGAGGATTTGCCCTTCATAGGAAACATTCCACAAGAGGATGCTTCTCTATTTGAAAATAAGTGATGGAAATGTTTTTTAAAATGATTAGATTATATTGCCTGATGTACTTAGTTTACATTTTCAGACACTGATAGTAGGACTATATTTTCTGAATATCTAAGAGTAGAGTGGAATTTTTAAGAGTGGAAATACCATTGCTTTAGTTCGGTCATTGAATACTATCAAAGTAATTACCAGCAAATATATGTAGCAACGGAAAGAGTAACACAATGATCACACAAATCACAGATTTTTTTTTTCCTGTATAGGTAGTAAAAATGCCCCCTATATGCAATGCAGTAAGTATAGTATGTATTAGTTCATGATATAGTGCTTGACCTTTAGAAGGCCATCAATAAATATTTGTTGAATGGATGATAAATAAGTCTTCCTACTTATGAATAATGTTATAAGAAATGAATACATATTTTCCTTTAAAATAGTGTCCTTTGAAAACTTGATTATCAAAATATAAATATGGTTTTATACAAATGCATCTGAATAATACACAGAAAACATATAATTAAATGATCATGGGCAACTCCATCTGCTATAGAATCTAAGATTCTATAGTTAAGATTAGAAACCACTTTAAAGTTAAAATGGGTAGTGTACTATACACAAATTTAATAGTATATAATTAAATCAGATAATACAGCAATAAAAATAGGATATGATAGATGGAAGGCTTAATAATGAGTTTTTAATATTTCATAATGTAGGAAAGATGTAAAAAATAAAGCATGAGCACTTAACATGCTGTTTTGTAAACAGATAACATCTGGTTTGTTTTATGCAAAAGAAAAATTGTATTTAACTGACCTCCACTTAGCCTACTCCCCTTGTCAACCATTTTCTTTGTATCACATACTCACCAAACCACAACAGCATTATGAGTGATCTTGGCTAGTATCCCACCTTCTAATGCCCACATGCAATGGCTCCCATCAGTGGGGTGACAGGCTTAATTTGGTTTTGTTCCCAACCTATTTATACCAAATGTGTATGTTAACAGAATGTCTGTAGTAACTTAAATAGTATGTAAATAATATTTTTCCACAACAACTAATGTAAATAATTTGGAAATCTCAACAAAGATGAGTCACCAAAAATAACTGCTACTCAATTAGGTATGGTTGAGATAATTAAAGCAGATTAGAAAAAAAAGTATGTCAAAAATTTCAAAAGGCTCTGCACTCAGAATAATGTCACTTTAACATAATATACAGGATGAGTACTGGGCACCAGGGTGGCTCAGTCGGTTGAGTGTGTCCAACTCTTGATTTCAGATCCAGTCATGAAATCAGGGTCATGAGATCCAGCTTTGTGTCAGGCTCCATGCTCAGTGGGGAGTCTACTTGAGATTCTTTCTTTCTCCCTCTCCTTCTGTCCCCCACCCCCATGCATGCTCTCTTTCTTTCTACAAAATAATGAGTCAATATTTTAAAATACATATATATGCATATATATATACATACATACACAGGATGAATACTATCAAGATATAAATATCATAGGATATAGTATTAATAGTGATGTTCTTTGTGTAAGGTTGATCATTTAGCCTCCTTCTAATCAATGGGTCTACATTCAAAGGAAAGATCTTGACTCTACCTCAAAAGGTGTCAAATGACTACATGTATTTATTGCATTGCTACTTCTATGATTCCCATTTTAACTGACAGCATCAGATAAAATTTAGGACTTTGAATATTTACATTTTTTTAAAGATTTTATTTATTTATTCATGAGAGACACAGAGAGAGGCAGAGAAGCAGGCTCCATGCAGGGAGCCTGACATAGGACTTGATCCTGGGACTCCAGGATCACGTCCCAGGCTGAAGGCAGGCGCTAAACCGCTGAGCCACCCGGGCTGCCCAATATTTACATTTTCTTAATTATCAAAAATGTCCCCATTATTTAAATGATAATATAAAGTTATTTTTATTTTAATAGTTAACTTAGCAATTTATGATGTCATTTTTATTTTAGGAAGTTTTGGTCTGCTTAGCAATGATTATAAGCAACTTAAAACATGATCATTTTAGGGATCCCTGGGTGGCGCGGCGGTTTGGCGCCTGCCTTTGGCCCAGGGCGCGATTCTGGAGACCCGGGATCGAATCCCACGTCAGGCTCCCGGTGCATGGAGCCTGCTTCTCCCTCTGCCTATGTCTCTGCCTCTCTCTCTCTCTCTGTGACTATCATAAATAAATAAATATTAAAAAAAAAAAAAAAAGAAAACATGATCATTTTAAAATTATGCAAATAATCGATGACAGTTTATCAATAAGTAGAGGGATGAGTCATATCTCAGTCTTCCAAACTTAGGGGATTGAGCTTGTTGGCTTCTGCTGCCAGAAATGTGTACACGGCACTCTGATGTTCATTCCAGCACACACGCAATGATTATAATCCTGGGAGAATGCTGAGCTGCCTCATACCCCTGCTGGGTTCCCCAAAGTAAAGTTAGAAAAGCAAAGGTTAAGGAAACAAACCACAACTCCAAAATGTCTCAAAAATTTCTGAGGCAGTGGCTTCTCCTTTACAGACTGCTGCCATACTCTTCTCTCTACACAATGACTTTATTCATACTTTGGGGTAAAGAACTTTGGAAGGAGAATTAGCATAGGAAACTTTCTTTGATGGAAGAGAACTCTCATGACTGCTCAAATGTCACAGCATATGAATCCAATGAAGTGAAATTTGTACGTTAGTTAACTGTAATTTAAGTATTACACTTAAATGGTAATAACATTAAACTGAATTTAATTTTATTAATTTTACATAATTATTAAATTGTCTAGTGTGCTATACTGACCTATCACCAGTGAGCAGTTCCAAATTCTCTTTAGAAAATAATATTGCATATGATGCCTCCATGAAAATCAACAAAAAGCACTATTTAAGTAGGTTGTTTTTAATAGAAAACTAGGTGAAAATACCTCTTTCACAAAATTCATATTAAGCCACTTTTAGTAAAGCCAAGATCAGTTACATTAGAGTGGTTAAGAACAGGACTTTAGAATGTGACAAGCTAAATTTGAATCCTAGATCTACCTTCAATGCCTGCCACATTTGTAATCACTAAATACTCATTTTAATACCATTAATAACATCATTATGTGAAAAAAAGTATGAATAAAAATCTCTTCCCAGAGAGAGGAAGTAAGAAGTTTCACATAATGGACAGGAATAAATTCATATTTTCAACTCTTAACCCCAAATTCAATTTCACCAAACAATAAAAGTCACAATTCTAAGAGAGGCAGAAAGTAAAAATTTGGCAGCATCAAAACATGGTACCAATACAATTACCCATTTAGACAAAGGAGGTACTCCTTTAGTTAGTGCGGACAATGACTTCTTATCCAACTAAAAGCAAACATGCCATTATGTTTTATATTCATTTGTTGACTCCTTACCTAGAAACTTGGTTTCTAAGTATAGTGGTTTTTATTGGGGAAATGCTCGGCTGGGCAGGGTAGAGAATAATAGTTACCAGAACAGAAGAAAAGCTCACAGGGAGCTCTAAAAGTGGTTTTTGTATTCCACTAAAGCTAGATGTCGCAGAGGTACATTATCTCTAATTTCTGAAAGGTATCTGAACTCGTTTAGTCATGGTATTTAGCAAGCTGATTGCTTCTCTTTTCAAATATAGATCTATATAGTTAAAGACATTCACTCTAAGTCATATTTACCAGCCTGAAATCTCTTTGAAACTGAACATGTAAATTACATAGTTTTGTTTATGTTAAAGAATTTCTTACAAAACAGAAGTCTCATTCTCCACTGCCATTAAACAGTAAGCTTCTGGGGGCAGGGGGTAATGTTTTTACCACTGATGATTCTTCAGCACTCAGCACAGAGCTCAGCATATTTTATATCCAATATATATTGAAGGAATAAATTAGTTAATGAAATGAATGGAAGAAAAGCAGGTCAAGTAGCAGAAAAGACACAAGCCTGCCATCTAGCAGTCATTTGACAAAAAAGTATGCACATGATAACCAGAGAACGGAAAAGCTAATAAAGTTTACAGAAAACATGACTTCTAAGAACAGATGTGCTTGGCCAATCTTGCCACTACAGGCTTCACTTATCTGTGATATGCACATTTTTTCAAAGATGCCAAATAAAGACACATATGTATAGGTCCCTAATATGCAGATTTTTCTGATATAAAAAATCATATAGTAAGAAAAAGCAATTAAGATTCAGCCATATATAGCAACTCAGAAGTATAGTGACAGGCAGTAACAAGACTTGTTTTTCCTCCCATTTAATTTATTGAAGCTATACCTTAAATCTTTAAAAAATATTGTGGTGTACTAGCCAAAGTTTTTAAGATTCTGCTTGAGAAAACAGGCAGTACTATTCTCTCCCATCTGAATTCAGGCTGCGTCTCATGGTTCATTAATAAATCATACTCCACCCTATTAAAAATTTCACATCAGAACAACTGTATTCCATCTACCTCAATGTCAACACAGACTTGGTGTCAGTCTGAAGAGTAAAATTCCTTTCTTTTTCCATATATCTATCAAAAGAAACAAGTGCTCTAAAACTCTATATGCATTTCTAACTTAAGGCATTTACTAGAGCCCCATTCAGATTTTTTATGTTGATTTGTGATCTTATTGTCTCTAAACAACATCTAATGTTCTACTGTCACTCTATTTTTCTATTTTAAAAAGAGAAAGAGCTGTTGTTCTGAGAGTTCATGCTTAAGAAAAAAGTCAATAAATAAGTACAGAGAGAAACAGAACTTCCACTTTCAGCTGTGAGTCTCCCCATCAGGAGGCCTCCTTTAAGCTTTGCTTCAACTGAACGGTATAAGAAAGAGCCTCAGGACTCATTATTCCCATAGTCTTCACTCTCCTAGAGTTTCTCTGGCAAAGGCCATTGATGATCACTGCTCCTCCCAAAGAATCAGCAGACATATTCAAGCCAGCGCAAATAAAAAATTTTAGACCATATGCTCTGTGATACAGATACAGTTTACCTACTAAGTACAACCAATTTCCCTTTTCAACAAAAAATGATAATCAGAAATAAGAAGAACGTAAGGATGAACTGTTCTCATGGGAATGAATCTGACCCAGTCATCAGCACAGTATCAGGAGGATCAGGGTCCTTCCAGAGGCTGGCTAAGATCAGAAGTTTGCTGAGCGTCCTACCACTTTGCCAGCAGTAGGTGTCACACCCAACTACAGTGAAAGTGCAGAGCAGCAACCCGCCCACCCCCCCCCCAAAAAAGCAGTCGGAGAAAAAGGAACTAAATATTTTACAGTTACGCTCACATTTTATATGTATTTGTGTTAACTAAAGGCGGCTAAAACCCCAGTGTTGGTTGTGTAAGTGCATCTGCATTCTACATGCTTCTAGTTGTACCAAAAGCAAGTCATTCACCAAAGTAAGTTCAAAACCAAAAGCTCAACACATTTCATAAGTGAAAAAGTATGTGGCTTGAGAACGAAGACAATGGAACCAAAGCCCATCAGTCCCTTCAACTCACCGTGGTGGTGGTGGTCACCTCTTCCGTCACAACCTTCAGGGTGTCGACCACGGAGATGTAGCCCAGACGCTTAGCAATCGCCAAGGCAGTGTTGCCATTCTAAAGAGAGTGAGAGAGAGAAAGAGTGAGGAGAGAGAGGGAGGACTGCGCCCCGGCCAATGAGCTCACCGGCTGCTCCGCATGAGCCAGCATTTCCGTCCAAAACAAGGCACAGCTTAGGAAAAATCACTAGTTTTTACCATTACATCTGACTCTCTTCGTAACTTCTTTAGACTATAGCCCAGGTCACCATGGTAACACAACAAGCTGCATCTGTCTGCTCTTCTAATAAGAAGCACTTGACGCTTTAACCCTAAGGTGGTCAGACGTCTCTGCAGATACTGCACCCTGCTTGGGAAAGTACCTCTTGAACGGAGGACGATGCCTCCAAAAATTCTCAGCCAGTACCGAGTACTGTTGCTCCTCCTCCGAGGTCAGGCCACCGGCCGCAGGTTAAGATGTCACCGCGGGGAGCTCAGGAACAGGTTTAGCTACAGCTGTGCAGGAGCTCACGGTGCAACACAGTAACACTAGCCAGCGACTCCGGCTGCAGCGCCAGCCACTGGGGATCCCGGTTCGTTTAACTGCACCGCTTAGTTTACATTTCAATGGCTCCACCTCGCGAAGAGCTCAGGGTGAGCCCGCAGCCTCGCTACCCCCCCACCCCCCGGGCTCCCTTAAGAAGGCCCGGCAAGGCGGGGAGGGGGGACTCGCGCGCACATCTGAGCAGCAGCTGCGAGCCCAGCACGTTCCAGCAGCTCGGCGCGGGGCCCCGCTCTCCCGGGACAGGAGGCCGAGTCGGGCCCACGTCTCCCCCGCCCCGGAGAAGTCACGCTGATTTCTGGAAAGGCTTTCCAGAAATCCCGGGCTTTCCAGAGGGGCGGGGCGGGGCGGGGCGGGGCGGGGCGGGGAGGGGAGGGGGCGGGCGCGGGACTTACCGCGGTGGTGGCGTTGGGCTTGGCCCCGTGCTGCAGCAGGACGTTGATGATGTGCGTGTGGCCCTGCTGCGCGGCCTGGTGCAGAGGCGTGTAGCCGTTCTGGGGGTGACGGTGGCCACGGACCGAGCGCAGGTTTGCGGCGGGAGGAGGAACACCAGGTTAGCCTTCATGCTGAATTGCTTAGTCTTATGTTACAACAAACCCGTCAAGGATGCTGTTTATTTGGAGCTCAGTATCTCCCCACCCCCACCCCCCCAACACCAGCCCATTTCTCAACAACAAACCCTCCCTCTCACCTTATGGTCTGCGAAACAAAGAGAAAAAAAAAAACAACTAAAACAGCTTATGAACTAGAAAAACTAACAAACTCCGAGCTATAGCTATTAATATATCTCAACTAATTAGCATTAAAAACGGGTATGCTGAGAGATTTATGACAGAAGAGCGTTATCACAGTGATGTGATTTCTTCGCTAGGGAAAAAGAAAGTGAGACGTTTTTAACGGGAAGCTGCAGATGATCATACAAACCCTTGCTTGTTTGTCAGGACTTGTCTAATAACTAACCTTTGCACCAGCTTTAGGGCTTTCTAAATCAATGGAAGTAAATTTAATCTTGCATTCTTTTCAGAGAGCAGCTTTGGTCAAAAAAGCACATTTGGAGAATGGGAGATTTCGTTGGATGATGACTGGCCCACTTGCAACTAAAAATGACTTTAAAAATGAGATTTTTTTTTAAGATTTTATTTATTTATTCATGAGAGACCCAGAAAGAGAGAAGGGCAGAGACACAGGCAGAGGGAGAAGCGGGCTTCCCACTAGGGGCCTGTTATGGGACTTGTCCCCAGATCCTGGGATCACACCCTGAGCCAAAGGCAGATGCTCAACCGCTGAGCCACTCAGGCGTCCCTAAAAACGAGATTCTTTTAACATGTGGTCTAAACTTCCACACATATGAAAGCTCTGTAATCCATGATTTGTGAGGAATTGCTACTGAGGTAGCAAGACTTGCTTAGAACTCTAGTGGGTGGCAGGTATAGTACAGGTAGGCTGCCTGTTGACATTAATCAAATGCACTGGAATCCTTGGAAGCATTAACAAAACATTAATATCTATCATTAATTTAACGTTTATTGGCTCCAGATACCAAACCCTGGATTTGTCTTTAATCTTTATTAACATCCTAAAAATGAGGGTGCTTGGTACACAGTAGGTGTCTCATAAATCATGAGTGACTGAGTGAATGAATACATGGTTGAATAAATGTTTTCTTCCCAATTCAGAGATGATTAAATGGAAAATAACAGTTCAGTAACTAATTTTGCAGTCATTCTAGATTCATAACCTGTGTAGATCATGATAGCCAATGGGTATCATGCTACTTTTTAAATTATCTAGCTGCCTCACCCTGATAAAATTGTATCCATTGTCTGGGGTCTAAGTTCTGAGTAGCCCATTCATACCATACACTTTTAGGGGTATATGTCCCTTTTATCTTGTGTCACTACTTCCTCATGACCAACCTGTATTTTTGTTACTTCTGTCTACAAAAGATGCCTGTCTATAAATACAAGGTGCTAGCTACATGATTCCTTCTATGCTTTCGCTGTGGCTTTTCCATCCATGGGGATGTCCCTATATGTATGAGAGTCTATCAGTCTGCATGTCCGTCAGTCTGGAACATCATCAGGTCTGCCATGTTTGCTATATATCCCTCCATTGGCATCACCAATGGAAATAGAAGCCAATTACAGGGACTCAGAGAAACTTACTGCCAATGCAGGACTCTGCTCTCAAATGAGGTAATCCATGGACATTTGAGAAGCATAAAGTAAGTGATACCGTTTTCCCTGAAAATTCTTCTCCATTGTGTTTACAAATATTCTACCAACCAAATTTATTTCACCTCTTCCGTATCAGCCAAGTTAATTCATTCAGCAAGCATTTACTAACCGCAGGCTATGTGTTAAATAGGAGACACTCTGCTTATGTAAAGTAATAATGCCAAGAGTAACATTCTTGCCCCCAAGAGCTCACATTTTACGGAGTCCTCAGTAGACACCATGACCAGGAAAATATCTCCCCAGCCTGATTTAATTTAACCTTTACCTATAGCCTCTGGTGCATGAGTATATTTGTTAGGGAAGTCTGGAGCAGCTCAAAAACTTTTACATGAACATTTGGTTGCAGCTTATCCATGGTCTTAAGCCCATTCTGCTAGGCACTCTAGACCCAGTCTACCAACTTCTAGCATATTCCTAAACACCCCTCAACCCTCCATTTCCTCATTTACAAAATGGGAATAGCCAAGATTTCAAGTCCATTGAAGGATTATATGTGTTGTCCATGAAACTTTTCTTTGATTTATCTAAGTTGTATGAAAACCCTAACAATCACTATTTTGCTTTTTTTCTTTCTCATTGAAGAGCTCCATGATCTTTGCAGTATATTTTATAAAGAAAATTTCCTTTTATATGCTGAAGTTCTAAACTTTTGCAAGTTTACCTCAAGCCAATGTTCATAGGCTTTCTTTTTAGTTTTAAACAGTCCCATAAGAGAAGTTCACTTTTTTAGATTTTTACACCAGACCATGAATGTTTGAGGACTAAAGGCAATACATATGCTTACATTTTCATAACAAAACAATTTTAGTAACCATAGTTACATGAGATATGAGGCAGAAACACAAATCCTTTTCCAAAAATGCCATTCTGTGTGGAAAAGAAATTCTAAAGTGTTTATTAAATAATGTCTTTCGATTTATTTATCAGCCCCGCTCCCCAGAAGACCTATCAGAAGATATGTTTGCTTCCAAAGGCAAGTAAACTCTACAGAGTTCACTTAAAAAAAAAAAAAAACCTGAAAAGTTTCTCTCAATCAAATGTCTATTTGAATGCATATCAAACCCCAGGTAGGTAAATGATACTATCTAGACAATATGTGTGTCTTGTGAATATTATTTCAACAATCACACATTTAACAAAAAAATACGGTAACTGTTTTCATGTTCCTCCAAAGTCTCATTGCATTTATTCCTTTCAGGAGAAGACCTGGATTCTAACAAAAATGTCTTTCCTGTAAGCTTATGTGTGATCTGACTCAGCAAAAAATGATGTTTGGTGCTGATATCTGAAAATTCATAGTAGAGCTTTTAAATAATCTCAAAGTACAATTTCACAAGAACTCAATGATTGCTCAGAACCTAGGCAGCAGCTATTCTTGCTAGAGTCATATTAGAAGTTTTGAATCTTGAATGTCAATAGTATTGTTAATCATTTTAAAGTTAACTATTTTTACTTGTCTTGTAAATATACTTCTGTACAGACATGATTTTGTTTCTGCTTTAACTATATAAAAAGACTGACTTCCAAAACTTCTTATGTTTCTAATTATTAGCATTTTGAATGATGACTCTGAAAACTCTTGAATGTGCTCACACTAGTTTAGTTGAGCCCACTCAAGTTCCTTTAAGAATTTCTGACATAGGGCAGCCCTGGTGGCTTAGCGGTTTAGCACCACCTTCAGCCCAGGGTGTGATCCTGGAGACACAGGATCGAGTCCGAAGTCAGACTCCCTGTGTGGAGGCTGCTTCTCCCTCTGCCTGTGTCTCTGTCTCTAATAAAATAAATAAATAAAATCTTTAAAAAAAAGAATTTCTGATATATAAACTTAAAAAAAATTAACAAACATGTAATTATACATTTCTTTGGACCAAGGAATCTGGAGCTGCAAGTTATATCTTGCATAGTAACAGTAGCTATATTATTCATTTCTCTTTCCCTTGAAACAATTTGAGTGCACTGAAGTGTGGTGTTACATCCAACCTTACTTTGCTGAATAGGACCCTTCTCTTGCCACTGGGAAAAAACATTTGGGATCAAGTCAGTGCTGCATTATCCCTGACAACGTCTAACCCACACCTTACACATCATTGCCTCACTATAAGCATTACTATGTGATATTTCAAATGTAACAGGGTTGGTGGAAATGGTGGGGATGCAAAGAAAACTGTTGCAGCCACTATGGAAAACAATATGGAGGCTCTTCAAAAAATTAAAAATAGAAATACCATATGGTCCAGCAATCCCACTTCTGAGTATTTATCAAGAAAAAAAAAACTCAAAGAGATATATACACTCTCATGTTCATTGTAGCATTATTTATAATAGCCAAGATATGCAGCAACCTAAATGCCCATCAATGGATGAATGAATGAAGAAATAAATAAAACTGCATACACACACGGACACACACACACTGTAACATTATTCAGCCATAAAAAGGAGTGGAATCTTGCCATTTGGGACAACATGCATGGACCTGGAGATTATCATGCTAAATGAGATAAGTTAGAGAAAGACAAATACTGCATGATCCTACCTACGTGTAGAATTTAAACAAAACAAAATCTGAACTCCTAGATACAGAAAACAGATTGAGGCAGATTGAGGTTGCTAGAGGCAGGGGGTGGGGAGTTAGGAGAAATGAGTGAAAGGTATCACAGGCTTAAAAACCTTATTTAAGTGAAAGAAAATGGATTTAAATGTTATATGACATTGGGTATCCTGTATTCAGCTATCTCCTCCATATTTAGACGGAGGGATCCTTTCCTCAGATCAAGAGGTGGTGATTAGAACATACTGCATCTTTTATAATGCATCACCAATAAAAACACAAAGAGATTTAGAAGTATGTACTCATGATAAAAAATATGTTTCACAGGTACATTTAAAAAGGAAGCATTACTGTTATTCATAGGATTTAGGAATCAAAATGTTCAAGTAGTTTGAGAAAGCATTATAATGGTTGTAGTTTAAGGATAGATAAGATTTAAATAAGTAAAAAGAGCATCTGAGGAGAGGGAGAGACCATGAGTAAAACGGGAAAATACATAATTGGGAGAAAGTAAAGCACTAATAGTTTAGTTGTAGGGAAGTTATGAGGTGGTCATCTGGGAACTTACATTACAGTAGGTCCCATCATAGAGGCTCAAAATCATGGAAAAGGATGACTAGATCAGAGAACTCTTCAGAAGAGGGAAGCAACAGGATTTGATAGCATGGAATAAATGTCAGGTAGGAGAGTGAATGATAACTGATGAGATTTTAGGTATAGTGAGTTGATGTTAATGACCTGTAGCAATTTGGAAGTTAGAGCAGTTTATTGTAACAGTTAAGAGCACTGGACCCAAGGAAGTCAGGGTTTGAAGTCTAATTCCTCCAACTAATACTCTGTGAATTTAGATGAGCTATTTAAATTCACTATGGAAAATATAGATGGTAATAGCCTCTGACTCTGAGGTTAATTTAAGGATTAAATGATTTAATATATGTAAAGTCATATATAATATATATGTGACTCCTAGCATGTACTTAATGAATATTAGTTTAAAATTTTAAAAAATGAGGGGTGTTTGGGTGGCTCAGTCCGTTGAGTACCAGACTCTTGATTTCAGCTTTGGTCATGATCTCAAGGTTCTGGGATCAAGTGCCACATCAGGTTCTGACTCATCAGGGAGCCTGCTGGAGATCTCTCTCCCTCTCCCCCTCTCCACATTCACATGCATGCTCACTCTCTCTCTCTCTCTCTCTCTCTCGCTTGCTCTCTCTCCCGCTCTCTAAATAAATAAAGTCTTAAAAAATATTTTTACAAATGAAAGGCACAGGGGCATGTGGGTGGTTCAGCCAGTTGGGCATCTGCCTTTGGCTTGGGTCATGATCCCAGGGTCCTGGCATTGAGCCCTGCATGGGGCTCCCTGCTCAGAGGGGAGTCTGCTTCTTCCTCTCGCCTCTCATGCTTTCTCTCTCTCTTAACTAAATAAATACATTTTTAAAAATAATGAAAGGCACACAGTCTAGGGTGCCTGTCTGTATTTCCTCATGTGGATGGAGGAGGTTTTCTGGAAGAGGGTCCAAGGCATTAAAACAAGATAAAGAATTGGCCAGAACATCAAAATGTTCTTTCTAGCAGACTTCTTTTTTTTTTTTTTAAGATTTTATTTATTTATTCATGAGAGAGAGAGAGAGGCAGAGACACAGGCAGAGGGAGAAGCAGGCTCCACGCAGGGAGCGCAACATGGGACTCAAACCCGGGTCTCCAGGATCACGCCCTGGGCTGAAGGCCACACTAAACCACTGAGCCACCCAGGCTGCCCATATCTAGCAGGTTTTTATTGTATTCTGTAGTAAACTGTTAACTGGATATGAGCTACTTTAGCTCTACAATAAAAGTAGTATGTGGCTGAGAAAGGTTATGAGAATGAAAAGTCCTAAACAATTGTACAAAATTATATTGCTTATTCAAAATTACTTTAGAAGAACTGAAAAGAAAAAAAATACATTTGTAGCTATGGTGAACTAGTGAAGTATCCATATAGTTGAAACCATTTTGTTTATAGAAAATGAAAATGAGTACAAGTATTTTATTTACCTTGGTTTTTGCGTTGACATTTGCACCCTGCTTCAGAAGAAAGTTGACCATTTTCACATTTCCATAGTGACAGGCCACAATTAAAGGAGTGTAACCAAGCTATAATAAATACATAAATATATAAATAAATACATATATACTCTAGTGGTTAATACTCAGAAGGATAGGTATTGGTTAGAATCTCAATGTATGAAGGGTCAAAATTCTATTCCATTGTATAAATATTACTAAGCAGATTATTTACATTTCCTGTGGATACAAATATGGACAGAAGTTGATCAAAGAGCACAAGAAACTTAACACCAGCAAAGGAAATCAGACATGTGTGTGACTTGATCTGATAGAGGCTAAGAGAGAGAGACACAAATGGAAGGATCTGGAGGAGATGCAAGAAAATGTAGCTTAGGTGGGCTTGACATTTTAATGGCATAGAGAAGGAAAAGCCATTTCAAGACCAAGGGCTGGAGGCAAGCCAGTAGAGGAAGAAAAGAGCAAGTCATCTGGATTGGCAGAGCAATAAGAAAGAGAGGTACTGGCACAAAAACAGACACATAGATCAATGGAACAGAACAGAGAACCCAGAAGTGGACCCTGAACTTTATGCTCAACTAATATACGATAAAGGAGGAAAGACGATCCACTGGAAGAAAGACAGTCTCTTCAATAAATGGTGCTGGGAAAATTGGACATCCACATGCAGAAGAATGAAACTGGACCACTCTCTTGCACCATACACAAAGATAAACTCAAAATAGATGAAAGATCTAAATGTGAGACAAGATTCCATCAAAATCCCAGAGGAGAACTCAGGCAACACCCTTTTTGAACTTGGCCACAGTAACCGGAGAAGGACAAACAGTGTATGTTCTCATTCATTTGGGGAATATGAATAATAGTGAAAGGGAATATAAGGGAAGGGAGAAGAAATGTGTGAGAAATATCAGAAAGGGAGACAGAACATAAAGACTTCTAACTCTGGGAAATGAACTAGGGGTGGTGGAGGGGGAGGAGGGAGGGGGGTGGGGGTGAATGGGTGACGGGCACTGAGGGGTACACTTGACGGGATGAGCACTGGGTGTTATTCTGTATGTTGGTAAATTGAACACCAATAAAAATTAATTTATAAAAAAAAAAAAAAAAAAAGAAAGAGAGGTTGGCTTAAGTCAGCAAAATTAGAATCCTTTTATAAAGGGTCCTGATATCATGATCTCCATTTGGACTTGATTCAAGCCAAAATGGAGAACCATGATAGATTTGTGAGTAAAAGAGAATCATAATGCAGAATGGGCTTTTGAGGAAGGGTGCTGGACTTGAGATGACCTGAATGGGGGCTACTGGGAGTCATCCAAGTCAGAACCTGTCACAATATTGAAAGTGATTCACTTTTTACCTTCGTGTGAGCATCCTGGTCAGCCCCATGCTTAGTAAGAATGTCAGCAACATTCACTTTATCTTCCTGGGCTGCAAGGTGTAAAGATGTGAGTCCACTCTATAGAAGGAATGGAAGCAAATAGGTACACTGAAAAATGACAATGAAAAAAATATGTTTCATCATCTATAATGTCATGTCTTGAAAAAACCCAGGACAATTCATAGTCTCTCCCTAGAACTTGCAACTTTTGATATTTAAAACAAACTCTCCCAGTTAATATGTCTTTCTAAGACATATTCTCTCATATTCTCTCTTAATCAACTCTTTCAACACATTACATTTTCTTTATTTGGGTCCTTCTATTATGATGTGAGACTTTAAAATAACTCAGCTAATAAGCTTCCAAACACAAATCCATCTGTGCCTTCTGCTGAATCTATTTATTCCCTTAAATAATTAACCAACTACTACTTCTGCTTTATATCCATAGCAAAAATCTATATTTTCATCAATAAAGTATTATATCAAGGTAAAAAATTGTAGAGTTACAGGAAATGAGTTCAGAATAGTTTTCTGTAGTAGCTGAGGATAGTATATTATTTGGGGGGGTTCTCCTAAATGCTAAATAAAAAGCAACCCCATCATTTATATATAGCACCATAAATTCGCCAGTTTTATGTAAGATGTTTGGCAGTTATACCTCAAGTAAATATTCTAATTGTATATTCAATTAAAATACAGTTAAGCATTAATACAAGATGAAAGCCTAGAGAAAGGAGAGGGAAAGAGTGGTTTATTCAGTCAGTACCACAATCTGGCAGCCTCATTACATGTGCAAGTAGCTTCCATCAAACAAAACTGAAATTAAAAGAGTATCTTTAAAACCTAAATCATGTGTGTATTTAACAGGTGTTTTCTGAGTACCTTTCATATGCCGGAAGTATTCTAGGTTTTTGAATATATCAGTGAACAAAAGTTTCTGCCCTATATTCTAGCTAACAGTGTATTTATACCCTGTGTTTCTCTCTCTGCTATTGCTCAAATACTTAGTATATTCATTCCTTCCTGTAAATCCTGCGGCTGTACAATGAGTGAGCTGACTTATGAGCAACCCCCTCTCCCCACACTGTCCCAATTCATGTCCAGTTAGATCCCACCAGCACCCCCCGACTATGGCTTTGCAGATCTGCTTTTACACAGTCAAGTTAGGTTGAGACAGTTGAGCTAGGTTTTTCAAAATTCATGATCTCTAGCCAGAGGGTACTCCTAGAAATGGACAGGTCCTCTGACCTTTAAAAAAAACATAAGTGATATGTACAGAGGGAAAAACATTCTCCAACTAAAAAGAGAAGGTTTTTTTAATTGAGAGCCTGGGGCTTTTTCATCCTTAGAGTTCCAGCTGAGCTCAGCTCTATTTCATAAACCATCAGGATAAGATGGAAGGTACACCCTTTCGCATTAACATGCCCTCACTTCTAAACAAATACTATCTAGTCCTAAAGTATAAACAATATGGATATTGGGACAAAACAGAAGATTCTTTCTTATTTTCATTTTCTTCATGTGAAAATAACAAACGTAAAAATATTTCTCTTTATGTAGACAATTGGTCTTTTAAAAATGTTATGGAAGTGACTGTTAAAGGAAATGACCATCAAATATATCGAAGACATTTTTAATGGTGTGTCAAACATGTATGCTGTTTTCTACACTATCTGCAGAATGGGTTTTCTACAATATAAGATTGCAAACTAACAACCAGTATGAAAATCCTCTACAATTTATTATGATAAATTTGCATACCTAAATCAAATTATGAAAACTTCTCCAATAAATCAAGAAAATAGAAGATGTTGAAAGAGTTCTTTTCAAAAAAAAAAAATTATTTCCTAAGATGCACTAGAGGACTCTACAACTGTATTTTATTACATGGCAATGGATAAGAAATGTAATATCATTTCTATATTTTAGTTCTTACTGAGAAATAAACATTTGGAGAGTATGAAATTAATGATTTCAGTTGGTCTTGAATAGAAAAAGAACATAAGTACTTTTCAAAAGCAATGGGAAAACTTAGTATCGGTTTTGTTTTTTACTTGCAATAATTTTACAGTTGCATTATAATACTGACAAAAAGGCAAGGTTATATTTTTATAGATAGATCGTATATATTATACCATTATTCAGATATATCTGAGCATATTTATTACAGTTTTACTCTAGTGACAAATATATCATACCTTTATTTAGGACAGCACCCAAATCTAATATTGAAATCATTGTTATAAAGATAACATAATTACTTTGTGGTTTAAAATTGAATATATTTCTTCACTGCGGAGCATGCAAGTGGTCTTATAGTGAGAATATCCCTAGTAGAGTAAATGACCACTTGAATGGCATGATTTCAATGGCCACAAGGAAATCCATGCCCCCAGACTTTAAGGATAACTGATAACACTGAATTTCACCATAAGGCTTCATCATGTTCATTTCTGTTAAAATGAAAATATCTTTTGGAGGAATAACTCTATAATTAGCTCTCACTATCCTTATAAAAAATGATCTATGAGAATTTTTGATAGAAAACAAAAAAGTTTATAAGGACAACAGGTTTATTGGAATACTTCTGAGTGATAAAAAGACACAGAATAGGACTCTAGGGGCATTCAAGACAACTTGTCTTTTTCATAGGTATTTCTAAAGGACATAATGCTCCATAACTTATCGATAAACATTATTAAAACCAATTTACAACTGAGTTTCCAAAAGCACTAATTAGTTCAACAGTGAGATGCAGAAAACATAGTACTTGCATATTTGTAGAAAATCCTAAGAAACTTAATTTTCACTAAACCTGTATCTTGTGTTAAAAAAGCATTAAGAGATCTAAATGATGAGCTAATTTCTAAATATAGGCCTCAATTTTTAGTTTCTCAGAAGCTGACTCCAGTGGCGTATGTATAAGTGTAAGATAGATAAACATTAAATAGATAGGTGGGTAGGTACAGTTACAGATATACATGTAGAGAAAGCAGGAGATGTATAGACAGACATGTACTTGTAAAAATCAAAATATTTTCATATTTGAATAATGTCTTTTCCCCTGACTCTTACTCTATTATAGTTAATATGCTTGCCCACAAAGGCTAAATAACTGAGGTTCTTTATTAAAAACACTGCTTCACTGGCTGCCACCACCACAACCACCCAAGCTAAGCTAAAGTTGGCTCAGAAATATATATTTTACTGAGTTCCCTGCATGCCCCCTTCCCCAAGCCCCCCAGGTGCCTCTGATGCTCGGTCGGGCTTGAGAATGGCTTGGGTAGTGGCCATGGACCAACAGCTTAGAAGCAGTTGTTTGGGCCAGAGCCCAGATGAACTGTCAACTCTCTCTCTGTATCTCTCTCTCACTCTCCATTTCTCCGTCTGAAATTTGGAATTAAGACCAGCAGGTACTATGGCAATCTGGACTCACTGCTTGAACTGCAGTGATATCAACTCTTGGGAGCTATAGGGTCACCACTTTGGTCATACACACAGAGAAACAGAGAAAACAGAGATGCAGAGAGAGGTAAATAAAACTAACTTGCAGGAAAAGTCAAAATTCAAAAATGCAGCCATACAGGCAAAGAGCCTGCTTCTTGCTTCCTTGTGGTTTTTTCCTTATAAGGCTCAACTGTTATTATCCTTGAATTCTATAAGTCATCTCTGTTTCCTTTTAATACATCCCCTCTTTTTGTTCCAAGTTTTCTTTGATTGGTTTCTGCTTACATTAATCTAAGAGACCCTTGGCTAAAAACAATACCTTAGTTGACATGTGGATATTGGCTCCCTTATCCAGAAGCAAGGTGACCATATCTGTGTGCCCCTCCTGTGAGGCCAGGTGGAGTGGGGTCACTCCCTGTTTTGTTACAATGTTAGTCTCTGCTCCATAGTTCAGGAGTGTGGAAGCTATCTGCATTTGATTCTTCTTGGCAGCAATATGTAAAGGAGTATAGCCATTCTGTAAAAAATAGAATAAAATAAAACAAATATACTTTATAAGCTTAACACTTGCCCTAATGTGTATGTGTGTATGTATGTATATATATATATACATATATATGACATATATATGTAACATACATATATATATATATATATATATGAAGGAAATAAGAATCTCTAATGAACAGAAAAGTTAAAAAGTGAGTTTATAGTAAATTCAAATTCTTACTCATTACAAGTTCCCATCCAACAATACCCAAATCTTTACAGCCAATATCACAGGGCACCCATCCTACAGTAAGACAGGTATAGACACAAAGTCCCAAAGCTTAACATTTCCTTCTTACAACATTGAGTCTTTCCTGCAGAACACCACAGATAAACCAGGTTCCTCTTCTACATAACTATCCTTCAAATACCTGGAGATGGTTTAATATTTCCCTTCAGTCTTCTTTTCCAGGTTAAACTTTCCAAGTCCTTCAACTATTCCTGATATAAGTCCCATTTATAGATCTCTCCATTAAGGATGACCTGTTCTAGACTGATTCTAGTTTGCCAATATTGCTCTTGAATTGTGTGACCTGGAACTGAATGCTATATTTCAGGTACAGTTTTAGTAGCATAGAATAAAATGGAATTCTTTCCATGATCTTTTCAGAACATTTCTGTTATTATGCTTCTCGCTGGATTATACTTTTTACTCACTCAATAGTTATTTAGTAAGTTGCCAGCATGTGCCAGGCAGTGTGCTAGGTATGGGAATACAAAGGTGGATGATACACAATCCCTGTCTTTAAGGGGCTGCCTGCTAGTGGAGAAAGCTCAAAAGTAGAAATATGAGGCTACTAGTTTTATGTGGCAGTTTGTGGATAGGACCAGAGGAATTCATACTTTGCTTACTAGAGCCAAACTTTAAACCCTATACTTAGTTAAAAGAAAAAACAAGTAAGCAAGTAAGCAAACAGACCTCTAGAAAAAATGTTAGTCTGGAACTTATATTGTTTCCTTTCCTTTTCTATTTCAGGTCTGCTAGAATTTTCTATGAAAAATATGTAAAAGAAATTAAAAACAGTAGCTTTGCCATTAACTGTGATACAATGAAGGTAAAGACTGCAAAATGATCCATTGCTTCTTATGAATCTATCATAAGAGGTAATTTTAGGTTAGGTCATTTCCTGAAGTCTAACTGCAGAAGTTACCAAAAATTAGAAGGGGTTTTGAGAATTTAAATGTCTTTATATGCCATCATCAAATCTTGATCATCAACAGTCCTACCTTATCTAACTACTCTGCCCCCATTTCTCCAAAGAAAACTAAGCATCTGTCAGTTCAGATAAATGATACTTCTCTTTAAGCTGCTGAGGAAATTTGGCAGCTCTCCTTAGGAGCCTGCTCATGATCTGATCATACGTTCAAGATGCTCCCAGGTGTTCTGGAACACTGCACTTGGACCATGGTTCTATTAAGATTAAAGGATACTTAAATCTTTGCAGACCCTGTAAGTTTAGCATCTTTTTTTTTTTTTTTTTTTTTTTTGCCATAGTGTTTTTTTCAGTTCAAATGTCCCCCATTCCTGTACATGGGCTCTACAAAAGTTAGGTGAATTATCAGAGTAAGTCTAACAACGTTAAGAAGTCAGAGACTTGGGATCCCTGGGTGGCTCAGCGGTTTAGCACCTGCCTTCAGCCCAGGGTGTGATCCTGGAGTCCCGGGATCAAGTCCCACATCGGGCTCCCTGCGTGGAGCCTGCTTCTCCCTCTGCCTGTGTCTCTGCCTCTCCCTCTGTCTTTCATGAATAAATAAATAAAATCTTTAAAAAAATTTTAAAAAAATAAAAAAATAAAAAATAAAAAAAGATGTCAGAGACTTATGTGGAAGAGGACAGGAGGTTTTATCGAAATAACATAAGAGATCATTTAAAAGATGATCTCTTATATAAGAGAGTTGGCTGTCCAGCAGTCAAACTATAAGATCTAAATAGCCCTCCTATTCCACATAGAGCAAAAATTCTTGGAACAAAAAAAAAAAAATCCAGTGAAAACTAATAAAAGCTTCCAGGCTCTGGTTGAAAGCAAACAGATTCTAGAGTTTAAGGGATTTCGTCTGTGGTTGGGTTAGGTGGTTGCAGTGAATAGAGAGTCAAAAAGCAGAGATAGGGATAATCAACCAACTGGAAGCCTCTTGGAGTGGTCCCAGCATGGAAAGACTCATGCTTATCACAGGCTGGGGCAGATGAGTGGAAGACACTAGAGGAGCCTCCTGACCACCAGTCTACTCTGGACATAGTAGAGAATTGCTCAATCTGGTCTTATGGACTCTATGTGTATACCTAAGAGTAAGAACCAGACACTGGAGAGGCTAGTGATCATGGCTAGGTTTGTCTTTTTGGGAAAACCATATAGATTATTTTATAATTTAGGTCTTCTCTCCCAAGTAGATTGAAAACCCCTTGTGGGAGGAGAATGAAGTTTTACTACAACCCTTTCTTTATAAATAGTAAGACTTCAAATAAAGTGTTATTGAGTATTGATGAACTCTTTCATATCTATGTTGAGAATGGCCAGCTTGGAGAGTTAATGAAAAAAATACTGGCATGTTGTATGAGGAGGTATTTTTTTTATTCCATTGAAATAGTTGCTTAGTCTCCATTATTTCATTTAAATTTATTGAGAATCCACATAATACTGTATGAGATAATTCAGGGATATGTAAATGAATATGACATGATTACTATCCTCAAGCAATTTATCATCTAATAGGGAGGAAAACCTCAAATAAATGCAGAATTAATGAGACTATTGAGAGAAGGATATAAAGGGATAGAATGATATGCATAATTATAAATATTTGCCCCCCTCTTTGATAGTTTAAATATTTTATTGTTAGTATATATTTATACCAATTGAAATGTATATATAAATGCATATATGTAGATGTGTATGTAGTATGTGTATAAAGTTATGCATATTTATAATATATTTATTTACAAAATATATGGTATTATACAGAGTATAATTTTTATATTGAATATCCCATTTTATTTTATATGTATATGTGTAATTTAAATAGATACTTGGGTACATGTACATATTTATGTAATAGAAGTAGAATAATCCTCTCTCTACTACTTTGGGACACAGTGGACTTAGTGGGTAAGAGCGCTAGTTCTAGGGGCACCTTGCTGCCTCAGTCAGAAGAGCATTAACTCTTGATCTCAGGGTTATGAGCTCAAGCCCTACATTGGGTGTAGAGATTACTAAAAAAAACTAAATAAAAAAAAAAGAGTACTAATTCTAAAGTCAAATTGCTGGAGGTTAAATCTTAGCTTTATCACTTATCAGTCATATGACTTTGGATAAACATATTAACCTATTCAAATCTCACTTCTTTATCTATAAAATAGAAATTTATGATACCAATCTCACAGCATTATTATGAGATTAAATGAGATATTGCATGTAAAGTGGTAGGCACAGTATTGGTAAATAAATGGTAGTTGTGCTGTTTTATTATGTCATCTAACATAGCATGAATATTTTCCTAACACACTAAGTACTTTTTAAATGAATCCTGGTATATTCTCAATATATGTTTGCTGAATGAGTTAATGAAAAATGCAATGATTACTTTATGTATTATATGAGCTTCATGTATATGTTCAGTGTAATAAAGGGGCACCTCAAATGGTGAGAAATGCTCTGTCCATAGGTCCAAGTCTTACTTGACACTGTTTCAGAAATTGGTGATACATACACATCAAAAAGGAATTCCTAGGAACTTAAACGGATGTATATTGTAGTTAACATAGATGAAATACTTAAAGAAAAAAGAAACAAAGAGTCTTTCATATACCACAATGAAAAAATTGAGGTCTAAAAGAACAAGTGAAGAAAAGGTTATGTTTTAACATTCTGGTTATGGGGGAAAAGGTAAAACCTATCCTGCCTTTCTTTTCTTTTTTTTTTTTTTTTAAGATTTTATTTATTTATTCATGAGAGACACACAGAGAGAGACAGAGAGGCAGAGACACAGCCAGAGGGAGAAGTAGGCTCCATGCAGGGAGCCCGACATGGGACTCGATCCCAGGGCTCCGGAATCCGGCCCCAGGCTGAAGGCGGCACCAAACCTTTGAGCCACCCGGGCTGCCCCTGCCTTTATTTTCATTCCTTAAAATTTAAAACTTTAGTCTCTAAAACACTGAATGTTGGTAATAAGAGTCATCTCTGCTGGTTTGTAGGCACAGCCCATTAATCAATGCTGACTTTTAAAAAATCTTAAAAGGCTTTGTGGAAGTAACTGGTAGAAATAAAAAAAAAAAAAAGTCAATACCAAAAGCCACTATCACTAGGACTACTTGCAGTTACACCATACCATGTGTTTAAAAACAATTCCCTGCAACAACATAGAAGGAGCTAGAGAGTATAATACTTTGTGAAATCAGTCAGAGAAAGACAAATACTATATGATTTCACTCATACATGGAATTTAAGAAAAAAAATAAATGAGCAAAGGAAAAAAAGCAGAAGAAAAAAAACAAACCAAGAAACAGATTCTTAACTATAAGGAACAAACTGATGGTAACGCTGGTGGAGGGGGGAGGATGGTTGAAATAGGTGATAGAAATTAAGAAGCGCACTTGTCATGATGAGCACAGGGTGATGATGTATGGAAGAGCTGAATCACTATATCATATACCTGAAACTAATATAAAACTGTACATTAGGGGATGCCTGGGTGGCTCAGTGGTTTAGCGCCTGCTTTTGGCCCAGGATGTGATCTGAAGACCCGGGATCGAGTTCCGCATCAGGTTCCCTGCATGGAGCCTGCTTCTCCCTCTGCCTCTCTCTCTCTGTGTCTCTCATGAATAAATAAATAAAATCTTTTTTTAAAAAAACTGTACGTTAACTCTACTGAAATTAAAATTTAAAAACAATAAAAAAAATTCTCATTTGCAGTCAGATTACTAGTTATACCCTCTATCTGTAAATCCTTTTCTGCGGTCCTCACCTTAGCAGTGGCATGAGGGGAAGCACCCTTCTCCAGTAGCAGCAGTGCCACCTTCTGGTTGTCATAATGAGCAGCAACATGGAGCGGGGTAAGGCCATTCTGTAAAGGGTGTGTTTAAATTCAGCATTAATGAATTAGTGTGAGCTGCCCTGAGCTACCAAAATGCATGGAGACTGATATAGATTAAGTCCATGTTAATTAATTAATACGGTCAATGCAGAATCAAATGAATACCTAATGATTTTCATATTAGAAGCTTAGCTAAAACTGAAAATGTTTGGTGGAGCTTAAGTTAGCACAGGTTATCTTGATATCCACTATAAATAAAAGTCTAAAATGCTATGCAAGAATTGACATTGCAAGGATGCTTCTAAATTTAGAGAAGTTCTGGGCCCTGTTGTGACAGGAACATACACTTGAGGCACAGCTCTGAATGCCTTCTAAATTAGTGTGTATGTGGACAGGTCACGGACAGATATCCCCATCGTGTCTATTGGCATAGTTTCATCAGTTGCTTTCATATTCCTTCCAGAAGAGTGAGAAAAATATCTTGAAGTACAGATCTTCAAAGCTTCCAACCTGACTAAAGTGTTACGTAACTCTCATGTATTAGAAAAACGCTTTACCTTCCCTGCAGAATCTGCGGCAGCACGGCGTTGCAGGAGAAGTTTTGCCACATCCAGGCTTCCATACTTGGCTGCTACATGCAGGGGAGTAAAACCCTTCTGAAAATGTGAAGAACAGAGTAAAATGTAATATTTGTTTTTGTGGTTCCTAACAAAATCTTTTTTCATTTGTTAACATATTAAGCAAACTATGTTGAGTCTCTATGTTTGGGAAAAATACTAGAAGCATTAAATCTGTTAGTCATGAACAAGGACTACAATAGAGAAGGAAACTTAACATGTAAGAGTTTGACTTGATAGCCTGAACAAAACAAATTGTATATTAAGGACTTGAAACTGCTATTTAACTTTATAGGTTTGAGATTTATAAAAGCCACTACTCTCCCTCAAAAGGCTCTGATTAGTGATTGGGTGTAGAGATGGGGAGAGCTTGTCTTTTTCTTGCCCCTAAAATTAATAGGATGGAGACAGGAGCTGCCTTCTCTCCAATCCTTCTCTTTCTTTCTACACATTTTATAATACCTGAATTCTAAATTTCTACCTTTAAATTTTAGTATATTTCAGCAGCCATTGGTAAAAAATTATTGTGATTCAGTTGATTTGTATTTTCTACAGAAATAGCTAGATAAATGGTCAACAGAGAAAAAAATGCTCACTATTAAAAACCACCTCCCATCCTGTTATCCCCATTCCCAGAAGACCCACACTGTATAAAAAAGATCAATTCCTTTTGTAAAATACACTCTACTTCTGGCATAATGTTGAGCTGATTAACATCAGACTTTTAAACACACCAAAGTCTAAAACTTTTTTAAAAAGAATGCTCTGTTATCCATGTTAACATGTACAGATTCAATGTCCTGTGTGCCTAAGTAATGCCATTCTCTGTAATTAGCAGCATGTTACAAAAACAGCCAAGTCCCTGGACTCAGATCTCAAGGATGGCACAGTTCCTACATCATGATCTCAAATCCATCCTCTTGGCCAGACAGTCTAACCACATGCTCTTCTGGCACGAAAGTGAAAGTATGAGAGTTCCAAAGCTGACCAGGGCTTGTAACAACAAAGCAAATGTGCCTGGAGTCGGTGGTCTAAGGTATGGTTTATCCTTGGGACCCCTGAAGTCTTTATCACAACACAGAATATCTCCCAAGAAACAATATTGCCCTTTCACAGTGTCACCACACAAATTATGTTTAATTAAGATGTTATTTTTCTTTTCACTTCCTTTTGAACATTTGGTACTAATAAGTCCTTGGAGAAGAGTGATTCTTTCACTGTCTCCAAATGTGGGACAAATATAGGAAGTATTTCCTCCTCTTGCATTAGTCCGCTGCAGCCAACATTTATTGTTAATGTTCTATCTCTGCTCAAAGTACACAATGATTGGGGTGACAGTCAGGAAGAGGAAGAATTCTTTAAGAAACAACCACATGGTAAAGGAAGAAAAATAAATGCCTTGTCCTTAAAGTCCTGCTGGAATAGAGATCCAGCCCCTTTGTAAATTTGGAACCTATTATTAGACAAAACTACATAGAATCTTTACTGTGGAATCACAAAATAGAGGTTGGAAAGCATCTCTTGAGTCACACATCTTCCTCCTTCCCCTATGTTAATCTCATCAGGATTTCATTTACCCTTTGATATTTATAAACACTCAAATAGTTATAATGATGATGAGTCAACTATTCATCAGAACCCTAGTGAATTCTACTATTGAACTGCTCAGTTTAATAGTTCCTTCTATTTAACCACCCTATTTTACTATTGTTTTAGATAGATCTTTTAAATCCTAAAAATTTTTGCAAGGCACTGTTTTATTCTCTATTCCTGTATTTTACAGATATGAATTTGTCACCTTCATCTGATGAGACAATCACCCAGTGTCTCTTGGGTTGTTCTTGTTATTACTATAATGTTTGTTGATTAGCTTCTGTTTTTTTTTTTTAATGACTTTTAAAATCCTTTCAACTCTTCAGATTTCATCATTTGAATAATTATCTATTTCTTACATTAAAACATGTTTTATAGCCTCAAGCCACCAGATTAAGTCATAATGGCTAGCAGGCTGCTCCTACCTCTAGGAGGACAGATGCCACAACACTATTTTAGTTCATGCTTCTCCCTCCAATGTAGTATTTATGCCTATTTGTTATGAGAACATTGAAAATGTCTTTTAAATAATATGAATCACTGTTGATTTGTGGGAATTATTTCGCCTTGCAAACAATACACTTGCTGTGGGCTTTAAGCGTGTCTCATTTTTCTACTCTTCTGTACCCATCCAATTTCTTTTTCTCTGATTAACTGAGTGTGTTCATGTCTTATTCTAAGTCATATCCAAATAGTGAATTTCAAATAGAATATATCAAGTGGGAAAAAAATTATTCTACCCTAGCATGAAACTTTCAGGCTGGTGTATACAAAGAATATACAACTAATAAAGTGATTGTCCAGCCCAGCTCTCTTAAGGCACTGTAAATAACCAGGCAAGAATATAGCTGATAAAGATTAGAGAGCAGAATGGGAATGACAGCTGGAAAAAATGCAATTAAGTGAATTTCTAGATAGTACTAACACTCTTAACAAATATAGTATTGCCAATTTAATGCGATTTTCTTTTCTTTATTAGTAATACTATTTCAATATATTTGGGAATCTTCTATTTTTTCCCCTTCAGAATATATTATAGATATTTTAATGGAGAAAGAAGAGAAAGTAGCCTTTACTCTATGGAAATAATCTTAGTTAAAGCACTAGATACTTGTATTAGAAACGATACTATTTAGAAGAATGGAATCTAGCACTCTTTATTGAAGATATTATATGGAATTTCACAATCCCCTTTGATGATTTCGGAAATGAATCTAAAATATTCAAATAGAAAGAGGTAAGTCAGAGGCCTACAGAAGATCTTCCCTTCTTGTACAGTAGCACTGGGAAATCCTGACTCAGGATCCCACTTAGTCCATGCTGTCATGGAGCCATCCCCCTTACCTTGGTAGCTAAGGAGTGGGCTGCTCCTGCTTCCAAGAGGACTGATGCCACATCAACCTGGCCTTCCCTGGCAGATATGTGCAGTGGTGTGTACCCATTTGTCGTGGCTGCATCTGGATGAGCCATATGTTGTAGAAGCAGCTGGACAATTTCTGTCTTACCCAGGCGAGAGGCAATGTGCAAAGGTGTCTGTTCCTCCTACAACTCAAGCCAAGTAAAAGATTAGTGCCAGAACAAGCCAAACTTCACTGATAAAATATTTCACTCAGGTGTTTCCTGATGTCTTCTTGGCATCTCTAGGAAGTCCTATCCAAAAGGAAATTATTACTACTCTGACCATGATTTATTTCATATTTTGTTATGGAGGTGACCTGTTTGGTCACAAAATCTTTCTTATATTTTTTTTAGTAGTATGTATTTCCATGAACTTGGTCACTGTTTCCTGGGCACAACAACATGTTTCTCAACTCATTAAGGCCTCAGCTCTTACTTACGCTTAAATACAAACTAGTGTGTGGTTCTGAATAAGAAAGAAATCTAGTCCAGAAGTACTAAGACCTAGATTCTCATCCAAAAGCTTTCACCAAGAGACAGTATTTATTCTGGGAACTATGTCAAGAGGAAAAGAATGAGGGATGCTGGGAAAACTGTTCTTACTCCACTCAAACAAGCCAAGTATAGAAATGCTGGTCATTTCCTTCAAAGAGAGACTGCAGATAAAGAAGATGTTATAATCTGATTTTTTTTAAAATGTTGTTCCAGGAAACATTGCAGATGGTTCTGGGACTTGCATCCAGGACTTCAACATGAAATGCAAGAAGCAAATGAGTACTTGCCAAGTGCTTTCATTTAGAAACACAGAGAAGAAGACATAGCTGGTACGAGGAATAGGGAGGATATGTTGGAAGAGGCTCAAGAAATCATGTGACCCTAATGTATAGTCAGGAAAATGTTTTCATTTCAGTGTTAAGAGAATTAGGATAAACCATTCTTTTATAAAAAGAAAAGTGAGCATAACCTTAGTAATGAAAAAAAGGTATGTCTTTACAATGTGTTCAAGGGCATGTTATAATCAAAGTGAGGAAGGAAAAGCTGGGTTAGCTTCCTAAGCTATGAATGAATGGGAAAAAAAGATAAAGTGGGAAAGAGCTTTTCAAATAAATGTAGTATGTTAAAGTATAAGGAAAAAAAAGTATTCAGAGGGAGCTACAGGAGGAGATGAAATAGCATTGTATGAATTTCAGGGTGGTGAGAAGTAAATAATAAAAAACAATAATACAAGTGTTTTAGCAATAGAATTGGAATCTTTTTTTAAAAATGCAATTTATAAACTTCCTTCATGTATGATGCATACTTGATCCTATTCTTACAAAAGATCCGAGAGGAAGTCATAAAATGTATTAGACCATTTTCTAGAAAACAGGTTAAGAGGAATTAAAGTGGTTCTCCAGGATTGTTTGAGGTCACCAGGTTATTAAAACAGGACTTGAATTCAGGCATTGGATTCCACAGACATTCATTGGCCTACACATACTATAGAAATAGACACAGTCAGTTGGCCACTGAGAAAACCTACTGAATGAGGTGACTCTCAATAGGAAAGGAAATTGACAACACTTTAGAAGATAGAACTGTCTTCTGAAATACAGTGGAGGAGAAGAAGAGCCAAATAGGGAATATTAAGTTACAAGGATAAATGGGAGAGCAAAACAACAATAAAAGAACCGAAAAACTTGAAAATGGTTATCATGAACATCTGCTGTTTCTGGGTTTCCCTTCTTATACTTCTGCCCAGCACAATTTGATAGAGGTGGGCATTGCAAGTGACATAATCTAAAAGGTAGGAGAGCTGGGGCAATAAGGACACCTTCATCCAGAGTTGGTAGCAGCCAAGTATTTGGTTAAATTATCAACTCTTGTCCCTTGGTTCTTAGACCTCAGATTATTAAAGTACTTGATTTTGTTTGTTTGGGTTTTTAATTTTTTTAAAGAAATAAACTGTCTTGTCTACTTTCTTCATCTTTTGGTATAGTTCTCTCTGAAAGCGAAAAAGGAAAGAACAAACAAGTTTGGTTAGAAAGTCCTTCCATTCGTAACTAGGTTATGAAATTTTTTTTAAGGTTTGGGTAATTATTTCCCTGTTGAACTGCAAAAGTTGAATTTGCTGCTCCAAACTAAAGTTAAATTCAAGCCAAAAAATTGGGAAAGTGCAGAAAATAATATTCATGGAAAGGGCTTCAACAAGAGGGAGTTAGCTTGATCTTCTAAGCCTCTTCCAAATATACAGGACAATAATTCCCTCATCATAAAGTGTCACTGACTGTGAGACAGCCTGGACCAGGAAGATATGAGCTCTGCCTTACTACCACAAGCTACAGTCTTCCAAAATTAGGAAGACCTGCTGAGCCCCAACTACTTTACCAAAAGACAAATAGCAATGGCTGGGATAAGGTTCAAATATTTGATAAAATTTCTGCTATTAGTTTCTAACTAACAAGATTCCCATGAACCAAAATTGACTGGTAGCTAACTCAAGCATTAAGGTGAATTATGTTTCAAGTGAGTTTAAGTCTAGGGCCTCCGTGACTGCTCAATCTCTGAAAGCAAATGCCAGCACCCCCATATTGTGCCAACAGAACATGGGCACCTCAAATAAGAGAGCTCCCTGATGGGGAGGCCCCAGTGGTTCTCTCAGTCATATCCATGGAGGATACTGGTCAAGGAAGGACCTTTGTGAGAGCAGGGTCTGAGGGCAAGCACACTGACTGACCAACAAACTTATGCCATTGCAGTCCCTGCTTTCTAGTCTGTCCAGAAAAATATGCCTTATGTTCTTGACTTAGAAGAATATCCAGCTCGCACTTTTAAAATGAGAGACAATGTTATAGTAAATGATTTTTTTATTTCATTATATATTGGGAATAGCACCATGGTTATACAACCATGAGATATTATTTCTAAACCTGATTAAGAATACAGACTTACAGACTATCCAGAGATCTCACCCTTGGAGTTTAGTGTAGTAACCAAGTATAATTGTTGACCATCTCCCCTCTGGGAGGGAGTGAATTATAGAGCAATGTATTAGGTTAAGAGAGAGAATTTTCAGAAGTGTGTGCATGTGAGTATATGTGCTGAGAAACCAGGAGGTGAAACAGAAAAGATAGATTTTTATTTTTCTGTTCAATATCTCCTATAACCTTTTTCTGGGAAGAGCCCTTCCTGCTTTGGGAAAAGAGGGCATCTCACACTATATGTGGCTCTGGAGGGGCTGCCAATCATCTCACCACACTTCATGAATGAACCACATGAAAGAGCATGGAACCTAGGCTTGATACTATATCCTGACCATAGTGATCAGCTCAGGTGGAAATGTGACTAATTTAGAATCCTGTTGTTTGTTTAGATAGGAGAGATAAGGGCTCTCTTTACATCCGAAATGGAGATAATAATGTCAGCAGAAAAAAGCTAGGAGAAAGATACAGAACCAAGGTAAGAACCCTTTTCTTACTCTTTCTAACTCATGACATCAGGCAAGACAGCACAATTTTGGATTTCAGGACCCAAAGCCACCCTAAAACACATATTGTTCTGTGTGTTAAATAAGATAATTTGTGTTAAAATGCTTTATGAAGTATAGACCACTGTGAAAAGGTTAATTAAATCAAAAGATTTCCAGTCAAACCTAAAGGGCTAACAAAAAAAGAAAGAAAGAAAGAAAAAAAGAAAAGAAATTCATAGTGAAAGTAAAACTTAAAATAGAACATTTGAAAAGGAAAACCTTAGCTTCTTGCTGCTCAGTATAATCCCAGGATCAGAAACATGGGCATTGCCTATTAGTTTGTTTGAAATGCAGAGTTTGGGCCTCTCCCCAGATCTTAGAGTTCAATCTGCATTTTGACAAGATCCCCAGGTGATGTCCGACATAATGACTTTTCAGTAGCAAGGCTCTATAAGGCTATGGTAGTTTCTCCTGTCCAGAGCCAGAGAGATAATATAGGGAAGGAATTTTAGTTGCAGCTTAGGATGGGTGGTAGAGCTGAAAAATCACAGGATCATGAATTTTGATATTTAAATAAGGAGGAATAAAAAAATTAAAGACATTTATTTACATACGTAGACCATGACACTAAATGTAGTTGCAAAAGAGAATTAAAATGATAGAATTGGGGGTGTCTGGGTGGCTCACTCAGTTAAGTGTCCAACTTTTGATTTTGGCACTGGTCATGATCTCAGGGTTGTGAGATGGAGCCCCACATAGAGCCTGCTTAAGATTCCCTCTCTCCTTCTCCCTCTGCCCCTCCCCACTCACACACGCTCTCTCTCTCAAAAAATACCAAAACAATAGAATTGATCGAATTTGTGCGGAAAAAATTAAAAATACATAAATGTTATAACATTTCAAAGTAAAGAGTCTGTAGCCAACGGATTGGAGGAAGGGGTTTCAGATGGTGTCCAAAAAAGCATAAGGCAATAATAACAGGTTAAATTGGTAACATAAATTGACAAAGATACATGAAAATAAGCAAATTTCCACTAAAAATAAATTATAATTTGAATATGGACAAATATTAAATAGTTTTATTTTGAGAGATAAACAGGAAATCCTTTTATTATTCAATATAGATTACAAATATTTATCAGAAATATTATCACAATAGTGAAGATCATGATACTCAGAGTACATTGATTGATAACTTTTTTTTAATAGCTGAATGCCAGGTAATCTTGAAAGGAAATGAAAACAGGCAGAGCACAGAAATTTTTTAGGGCAGTAAAGCTAGTCTGCATAATAAGGATGGATACATGTCAATATACATTTGTCCAAACCTGCAGAATGTGAAACACCAAGAATAAACCCTAATGTAAACTATGGATGCTGGGGGATTATGATATGTCAATGTGTGTTCATCAATTGCAACACATGTACCACTCTAGTGGAGAAAATTGGTAACTCAGGAGCCTATTCACATGTAGGATCAGGGCATATAGGGGAAATCTCTGTAACTTCCTCTCAATTTGCTATGAACCTAAAACTGCTCTTAAAAAATTGTCTTGGGGTAGGGGAGAAACAAGAAAAATGCCAAGGCTGGGAAGCATACAGTTTGAATAACAAAAACTCTAAACATATAAGAACATAAAATACCAATGATGATTACCAAAGAACATAAATTACACTACTCACACAATGGATAAAAAGGCAGATAAAATCCAAAAGGACAAGACTAAGGCCAAAGCTGCCCATGTTTCACTGGATTTTTCATGAAGGTCTGTGGAAAAAATGCTATTAAATTCGTGGAGTCAGAGAATGTTAAGAAAGTCTTGAAAGAAGCTTCAAGGTTTCTAAGTCTAACCTTTATATTTTAATGATAAAAACCTAGAAGTGCAATGACTTGCCTGAAATGACAATGGGCAGGACTCTAGCCAGATGCTTTCATTCCAATATAGTGCCATTTCCAAAAGGGAGTCATGATGGCACAATTCAGGTGAACTGAGTTCTAGCTTTGGTACATCAAATATTGAAGGAAAGTGTACAAATAGTCGATGAGAATCCCAAAGATGCTAGTGTAAAAGTTAATGGAATGACATGGAAAAGGAAACTGAAGATATAGTATGTTGATAAAAATTACTAGTGCATTCAGTGTTAGAGGAAGAAGGTGAAAAAAGCAATTGGAAAGTGAATTTAAAAGAAAAGGAAGGAAAAATCAGTCTGTGAAGGGATTAGAAGCCAATTAGAAACAAGAGAATCCAGTCAAGGAATCCTTAGGGCCAAAATTCTTCTATTTTGGAATAGTGGAAGAGCAGAATGTCCAACTACGTAAAGTCAAAGAAGAAAAATAGAACTCATTATAGAAAGGAAGAAAATAAAATAGGTAACATTCAAACTTTGAGTACAATTGTCCTTAAGTAACAAGTAAGTAATGTCTGTGGAAATTTGATTGGCTTTAAGGTATGAAATAAATTTTAATAATCATTGTATCTATAATATAGGTAATTTTGTTTAATTCATGAAAAGAAAAATATATGTAAAAATATTTTCATAGGTTAAAAATGATTAGGTTAGTCAATGACACATTTCTTAGGTCCTAAATTATATATATATATTTCAAATGTCAGTTTATGAAATTGGGCTGCATTCTATTGAGTATATTTACTATACCATTTCCTTCTCTGCTTGAAAAACTATTGAATTGATGCTTTCACTTAAAGTCCATGGCATTTCTAAATCAAGGAAATGAAGAATAGCATTCTCTCTTAAGATAGAACTCATGCACACAAGAGGAGAGAACCCCGAGCACCAGCACCTACCCTGGCTCTGGCATCAACAAGGGCACCATTTCTCAGTAGGCATCGGACCACTTCGACCTGCCCTGCCCGGGCTGCCATGTGCAATGCTGTCTCCCCACGCTGCCAGGAAACAAAGATCATTGAGTCATATGTAAACCCACAGCTCTGTACAGTAAAGGATAAAAATGTGCCTTTTTGTGAAATTCGGCAGTCAATCCAAAGGTTAGGAAATCTATGAAAAGGCATAATTATTTCATATTTAGTCTGGAAGAATACAATTTTGTATCCTCCATCTTCATAGGGATAAAACAAATATTTATTTCATTTTTTTCAGTCTGTGACAAACAAGTGAACTTACCCCAGACATCGAGTATACCCTCAGGTTTAACTTCATAGTCAATCTGGCATAACTTAAATTGCTTTAGGTGATTTGAAGTTGACTTCTATCCTTCAAACCTAAAATCTGTCATTGTCATATTTGACTATGTAATTACAACTTGATCTTATTTTAAGGAGAAACTCCAGATGTGAAAGATCAGGTCAACACAGTGCAAAAAAAATCATGTCATTTGTACCAGACATAAGTCATTCCTTTTCAGAATTCAAAATTTACTTCTGAAATAAACTATTTTACATTGGGTTTGTCTTTGTGTTATAGGCTAGACAATGTCTGTTTACATAAGAAATTTGGTTTGCCCAGGATGTCCCCTTATGATTAATGAGCATATTTAATTATAGACAGTTATTTGAAAGAACTACCAAGAGATGAGTAAAGCATCTGTTAACAGTGTCATCTGTTGAGGTGGGCAGCACTGGGCATCAGGTCATTTTTCAAGTATCTTCATGCCACATCAAGATACAGCACACTGATCAGGAAATGGTAGCTTAAACTGTAGCATGAAGGATGATGGTTAGATGAAAGAAATTTTGTCATTGAGAAGACGGTTAATTACTGCCTGTAAGAGAAAAGGTTTTTGTTTTCATTTTAATCAACCTATTTTTTAAAACCCATGTAGTTCTGGTTCAGGTAAGGGTTCATTCTTCTAAACAATTCTACAGTTATAAAAAAACAAGACACGAACAGAAATGATTACCTCTAGTCACCACAACTATTCTAGAAAATAAAGCTGATTTCATTCAAGTACAGTAAACCTTTCCAAGTAAGCTAAAAAAAATCTTAAGTTGGTTGTGGTAATTGGATACTTCTGACAAATTCTAGTGAATAATTTCTTCTTATTTCTTGTACAACCCAAGTTTGATACATAGCTCACAGTTCATTTTTTCCTAATATCTGAGAACCATTCCTTAGGAAGTTATGAAAAATTTCAAATGATTTGATTTTGAAAGCATTAAACTGGACATCTACTCTAATATTTTTTCTTTTTTTGGTTGATAACTCATTTAGCCTCTAATGGCCTTGTTTAATGATGACATGTTTTGACTTTTGCAAAGTAAATGTATCTGGAGTGTGTTAGCTTATAAAATCACATTATTGGAATAGCAATATCTATCTTAAAATTTGAGGTGTATGGCAAGATTATTTTAGTATAAATGTGTTTCAACTATTGCACAACTATTGCACTATTTCTAACTTTTGTTCTGTGTCACTTAAAACCTATCTCTAAATAGATCAAGTTAAGGTCTAACTATTCAACAACAACAAAAAGCCCTCAAATCCTTGCTCTATTTCTAAGTCTTATAAAAGGATAGCAATTTTACTAGAAATAAAAACAAAAATAAATTTCCTTATAAGAAGTCAAGTCAAAGAGGTATCATAAGTACCTACTTAATGATAGATTTGTAAGTTTTGTTTACAAGCCACACTTTATCAATAAGGGGTTTTCAGAATGTAATATGCTTCCATTACTGATCTTAAGGTTCCCAAAATTCTTATTATATACTTAGAATGAGTTCTCGTTCAATCTTATTAAATGACTCCAGGGTAATTGATTTTTATTATAAATTACCCTTACCCTTTTATATTTATATTACCCTTGTTTATATATAAGTTTAAATAAAAATGAAAGATATATTATAAAATATAAAATATTTTTATGTTAAGCTTATTCACTTAAGTGTTGGAAGAAATTTTAAACATAATATGAAGTGTGAACTTAGCCATGAATCCATTGATTTTTATATGAGAAAACTTGGTAATACCTCATATTGTATCCTAGACAGCCCCCAAAGTGTTTACTTTTCTATCCCCATGGTTGTCAATGAATACTTCGGATTATGGATGTATTACTACTGGTAGTTCAGCTGTCTGTTTTGACGTATATTTATGAGCTTTTCGTAAAGGAAGCTTTCCAGTAATAATAACTGCACATGACTGAGTTATTGGTACATCTCACGCTTGGAGTGAATTTTGAGACAAAAACACGACTGGCAAGAGAATGGGTATGCTCATGTCCAAAGCAGGTACTCAATTTCATGCCCCTCTTCTCAGTTGTTAAAACTGATTTTGCCGACAGCTACATTGACTTCCACTTTGGCTGCATCAGTTGGAAAGCATCAAAGCACAACAGACAACATTGCATTCAAAAATGCAACATGATTTCAGGCAACACACAAAGGCTCCGAGGGTGGGGTACTTTAGGGTCAGGAAATGACCAACTCTGACACAGCAAGCAGGCAGTAAGTGTTCACACGGTTTCTTAAACAACCTGCACAGAGTTTTAGATCTAGTAGCTATAGCCTCATATCCTGAGAATTCACGATTTCACAGGCATCCCACAGCTAAAGAAATTAAATTCCTCTAAATGTAGGATTGTCAGATTTGACAAACAAAAATATAGGATGACCAGTTAAATTTAAACTCCAGACAAACAATGAAGAATTATTTTAGTATAAATGTGTTTCAACTTTTGCACAGTACATACTTATACTAAAAAAAAAATTGTCATTTATGTGAAATTCAAATTTAACTGGGAGTCCTGTATTTTATCTGGCAACCCTATGTATCAACATGGTATCCGCTCCCTGAAGGATATATAATACAAAAATAAAAATGAACAAACAAAAAATAAGTAGGAAATATCTTGAGGAGAGGATTACATTAGCAAGTGCCTCTCAAGTATCTGTTTTGAGAGGACTGAAGGGGAATAATGTGTAATAGACAAATGAGATGATAAAACAAAATAAAGTATCATAGAACATAGTTATATATGTTACCATTATAATATGATAACATAATTTAACACAGTATCACCATTGTTCCTTGATCCTGAAGGCAATGAAATACAAATAAGGAAAATACAGTATGGTGGGAAAGTACATAGGATACTTTTCTTGAAAGTTAGTGACTCATACAGCTCTCAATTTAAAAAAGAGGTGGTTATCATCTCTGCACAGAAAAAGGATGATGATGATTTCTTCTAAGTTCTAAGAAGTAACTAGAAATTCAACTCAAATTGGCATGTATTGAAATTATCCTTAATGGAGTAATTAAAGATTAGTGTATAATATTATTACTTTATGACCCATAAGCTATAATTAGGGAAACAAACATAGACTACATTTCAAATATTTAATGGTTTTATGCTCCAATTGTGAATAATATAGAGTATTAAATAATATTTAAGCCAGATAAATTTATTTCACATGGATTTTGTCCATGCATCAGAGACTTTAGCACATAAACAGTGTGTAAAATTCAAAGAAAGAGAATGTGAGAGGGACTACAAATGAAAAGTGAAATTGAACATTCTGTTTCACAACTCAAATGGAATGATATACCAAAATTTAACAATAGTCAATCAACTGCTTTTGAAAACATGACTCAATAATAAGCACTAATGTTTGGGTAGAATTATTTCTACTGCATACTTTAAAAAATCTCAGTGTTGCAGTGGTCCCTGTTGAGCTTCAAATACATGACTACATCTTGTGCAGAGTAAGGAGAAAATTTGCATTAAATGACCAAAGTTTAAAGGGGCAGACTCCAAGAAAAATGAAACAAATAATAAGGAAGTTGGAAGTAAAAATCCTAATTTGAATTAGGTAAAAGAATTCTAGGATATCCAGTAGTTATGGGCAGAATAAAAGTTGTCTGGAGACTAACATTCATTTCAAGATATACAAAAAAGTTGCAATGGTTAAATTATTTCAAGGAAGAGAGGACTCCACTCTAGCCAACAGAATCAAATCAAAATGAAAAATCAAAGAAAGGTCAGAAAATGAAAACTCCATGTTATTGAAGAGGGAAGGATCTGGTATCAAATAAAAATCCCTCCTATGGATCTATGTCTCATTAACCATTTGGTATGACTTATCTTGTTACTGACTTGGCATCTTATTCAAAATTACCTGGAACGCAATTCACTCAAACTGGAATGAGTCCTTCAGATTTTACTTCAACCAATCTTTCATTCACGTTCCAAGGAGCTTTTGAAATGTATCTTGTTTTAATAAATGTATTGAAGATGCAGGTTTAATCCGTCTGCACCAGGAAGCTGAAAAAGCTTCCCCAGCTCCCATTTTATTTCCCTAACACATTTCTTCTCAGCAAAGTTCTAGTGAGTGTTTCGGTAACCTGGGATCACGGAGGTTCTCCTCAAAGCTCAGCTACTTGCTTTGCTGATGTACACACAAACATCCCTACACACAGCCATCCTCTCTCTTCCTCTCGCTCTTTCTTCCTGTGGTTATTCTGACCCCAGCCATACTCACAATGTTAGTGACATCTGGAGAGGCTCCGTTCTGCAGCAGAAGGAGGACAATGTTCAAGTGGCCCATGAAGGCAGCCACATGTATTGGTGTGAGGCCAGACTGCGAAACAAAGCAACAGTAGTTTTACTCCTCTGCACCCGTGGAGAGGTGGGCTTTGGGGACTTCTTCAGATAAATAAGGCTTGAATGAAGAGGACAAAAGATGGGCGACAGGAAGGGGAAGGAGGAGTAAGCGAAGGAATGTTTCGTGACAAGCTGAAACATTTTTCTACCTCTGTTATAGCTTGGATTGAAGCCCCATATTTCACCAGCAGTTCCATGACTTTGATGCGGTTTTTCTTGCAGGCAATGTGCAGTGGAGTAAAACCATTCTGTGCAAAAGACAATCAAGTTAGTTGAAAACATGCAGGAATGATCTTCACACAACTCCATGCTGGCACACTGCAGGCAATAGTGTTACATCGTCACATAACGTTACCACTTCTTCTGATGCTGTAGGTGCTGGGATTTGGAAAGGAAAGTGGTGGTGTGTTCCTGTGGGCACTGACCCTGGCTTCTATGTGGTGGGCCTGTATGTCATTCCTTTTGTGCGGTTATAGAGCAAAACAGAAGTAGAAGAAACTACATGGGCCTACTCTGCAAAGAAGGAAAACTCGACGGGCAAGGATGCTTTAGAAGTTAAATTTGTTAACTAGTCCCATGCATAATCCTTACGTATAAGTATCATTTTTATTTGAACAATGATCCCTACGTATAGAATAGTTATACCTTTTCTGCCAGTTAGTTATTTTGCTTGTCCCAGTGGGGACTGATCATCAGTCAGTATTTTTCTACACTAGCCGTTCTCACGACAGCATATTGTCTTACCTAACCTAATGACTTATTACACTTCACAGTGTTTGTTAAGTCATTTCCCATTTATGAGCTTCGTAGTAAAGCCAGACATAAATAGCCTAATGTATGTGTAGCACTTAAATGATTTTAATTATATAAGACTGTAATGTTTTATAAGCTTATTGACCACTACCCAATTGAAAATGAGTATTTCGCTTCTTATGAGAAAATAAGTATCCTCACATAATTGTACATAACCCTAAAAGTTTAATAATTCTTATGGCATTCTCCCATTTTAAATATTGTCTGAAGACTAATTTAACCAGCATAAACCATGTAAATGTATAGGATAAAAGGAATGCTTTCAGTTTGTGAATTAGGAAATAAGAGCATAAATTAGTACATGCCTAATATTTCCAATGATTATTGTTAAAGCATAAGTGAAGCAGGGAGATTTATTCAATATTAGACCTTGGGAAATACAGAAGCTGTTCTAAGGACAACCTCATTTAGTTTTTTCTTCAGCAATTCCTGGAATAGTTTCTATAAAATGCTTCCTGAAGCAATAAAATGCTAAGCATCATTTTTCCATTACACTGTGTTTAGGGAATGAAGTCAATAAGGAAATTCTCTAAATGAACTCTTTGCAGGCTTACATTTTACACTATCTTACATGGCCAATCTATTCACCACTTTAAAACCTTCTTTTTTTCCAAATAGAGATTAATAATATTCAACTTTTTCAATCTTTTACTGACTCTTCATAGAGGCATTTAGAATTTATTTTATGATTCCTATTTTCAACTTCTATTTTCCATTCAAAATTGCTTATCACTCCAGAGGTTTCATATCTATCAGCAGCTTGCTAGTTGTGGAAATGTTACCTTAGTGTTTTCCTAAATCTATCCTTCCCCACCATCATTTATAGCAAACTGTGAAGGCATGAAGTAGGCAGGCCACTTGTGGGAGGTAACAAACTTGGTAGAATTAACTATATATCTGTAACCATGATTCGCCCATGTGCCAATGGTCAACCACTATGGTATATTGTCTCAATCTATATTTTCTGTTAATGTGGACTAGGCCAGGTTTACCAGGGCTCTGGCGTTTGGATTAGCTCTCTTGTCCAGAAGGAGTTTGGTCACACGGTAGTGGCCACAGTGTGCAGCAACATGGAGGGCCGTCAGGTAGTCTAGGGTGACATCATCAACAGGTGCCTTGTGCTGTAACAGGTGCTTCACACATTCCACATGGTCCCCCTGTGCAGCCATGTGAAGCGGAGACAGCCCATTCTGCACATCAAGACAAAACGAAACCAAGTCTACATTTCAGTCATGATTTCCAGGTTGTAAAACACAGCAGAGTCAATTCTCAATATTTGGTACAGTTGGTAGGAGAGGAAAAAATAATCTCCATTTAACATCTAAATGTCCAGTGGGTTATGTATGGCACAGAGGGAAGCTAAGAGAACATTATATTTCATAATTAAGCTATTCTTAGGCAAAAACAAATTAATATGCCCTTTGTGAATGAATGCATAGTATTGTGTGACAATTTAGACGGATCTCACAATTATTAAGGCAATATTAGATATATAATACAAGTGATAGCTGAGGCTTTTTGATTCCATTCAATTCATCCCTCTGCAAGAATTTTTTTAGTTTTAAATGACGGGGAGTACAAATGAAGGAAGAGCAAGTGGGTGCATCAGGGAAAGAAAAATATTTTGATCATCTCTTAGAGCCATGCTGCCCTGAAATCCTATGATTCCTTTTTCTAACATGAGACATGAATTGGACTTGGACAAAGCAGTCAGGTAAGAGCTAGAAAAGTGTGAGGCAAATGTAGACCACATGGTCAATGATCTCCCAACTTTTAAACTTTGAGGATAATATAAATTTATCATTAGTGATACTGCCCAAAACAGCTTTAATCTTAATTCTTAGAGAAGGACAACAGCAGGGTAATTCTCTGAGAATTATCAGTCTAGGTAAGACTCTTATTTTTTTTTAAAGTTAAATAAATAAGCTTATACAAAAAAATATGTAAAATTAGGGAAGAAACTAAGTGAGAATACATTCGCCCATTAAGAGGAGTGGAATATGGTCTTTTCTTAACAATCAATGCAAATAATGCAAATACAGTCACTAGGAAATAATTGTTGACCAAGTACCCAGCATGGCGGTCATTACATTCAAAGAAGCAAAAGCTGGGTCTGAATAAAAAGCCAGAATCTGCTAAAGGCCCAATATTCTCAATAAGGAAAGTGATTTCAACAATGAAGGGCAGCTAAAATCAAATACAGCAAAATCTTAATTGTGGTGGTCTCTGGGAGGTAGAAGTATATGTGATTTTGAAATTATTAATATACTTTCTTGGTTTTTGAAGTACTCTTTACTCATAATTATTGCTTTTATATTAATAAATTCCTAAAATGAACTGAGAAGGCACAATGGATTGATAAGGTATTTATGCATGGGGAGAGGGGAAGATAGTGTAAGGACAAAGTGTAGAAGAAATTCAGGTTGTAGCCATGTTTAGACGGTTAGTGTGGCATGTTTTTCTGATATTCTATCAATCTTTAATGTTGTTTGATCCAGTTAAAAGTTATGTGTAAAATAAAATCTTCACCACTTAATTCTTTATTACATTTTACAAATATTTGCTAAGCACCTACTCAAGCCCTGATCAAGTACTGAGGATACAACAGGGAACACAACAGACAGGGAGCCCCTGTCTTCATGAAGGTCATGTTTTGGGTAGTATTCAGACAATGCAAAGAGAATAAGAATTAAAATATATAGTATGTTAGAAGGCCACCGGTGTTAAGAAGAAAACTAAAGTAGAGGATGGCCAAGCAAGTCTGTATATATGGGCGCATTATGGATAGGCTAGCCAGAAATGGGCTGACTGAGAAGGTGAGTTTTAATGAAAGATATGACGACAGTACGAGAGTGGGTCCTGCTGATCTGGGGGAAAAACATTTGAGGGTGAGGAAAATCAAATCCAAGCATATCATGTTGAGCATGACTGATGAAGAGTAGGGAGGAGAATGCAGCTGAAGGCAAGTGAATAAGAGGGTAAATAAGGAGGGGAACTCAGGTGAGAGAACTGCGAGTTAGAATAGTCTTTGATTTATACTCTAAATGAGTATAAGTGCTTATGGAAGGTTTAGGACAACAGGATTACTCTGTTTGCTGTATTGAGAATATACTGAACAGGGTTAAAAGAGAAAAAGGAGGGCCAATTAGTATCTCTTGCAATCATCCAGGTACAGTTGATGGTAACTTGGACCAGGGTGCTGAATTATGAGATAGTTTGAAGGGAAATATGACAAGGTTTAGTGACAGGATATGAAGAGAGAGAAGAGCCAAGCACTGCATGAGGTATTTGACCTGAGAAACTGAAAGAATGGAATGGCCATTATTTAAGATAAGACTGTAAGGGGGTTAGGAATAGGGGTGGGGAAAATATCAGCAGCTGAGTTTTGAACTTACTAAGTTTGATATGCACAGCAGACTTCTACACAACAATGGTGAGTTGACATCTATATAATACAGAATTCTGTAGCTACACAGTCCTGTGTCATCAGTGTCTAAGTAGTATTATTTAAAGATGAAACTGGATGAGATTTCTTAGTGAGTACAGACAGAAAAACATACAAAAAGAGCTCCAGAGGTTCTAACATCCAGAGACCTGGGAGTGAAGAGGAAACAGGAAAGGAGGCTGAGCAGAGGGAAGACAAAGAGGTGTAATGGTCTAGGAGGCATATAAGGAAAGGAGACTATTTTTGAAAAGGGAGGAACAAGGAACTGTGTCAGGGATAGCAAAAAGAGAGAACGTAGACTATATGGGCTGATTCACATAACTGGGTAGATAGGAAGATAGGCGTCTATAGAAATTTCCTCCTGATTGCTTCCATTTTTTCCGCATCATGGAAAATAAAGACAAGGAAAGGAGTCTAAGAAGTCTAAAAAAGAAAAAAAGTATAGAATAGTCAGGTAGCAGGGAGTGAGAGTGAATACGGTTCAGAAATATATTGATTGTTAAGCAGCATTAAAGGCCAACTCGAAGTTAGCAATCATAAATTTAAAGTGAGCCTAGGCAGTATGATTAGGTGTTTTCAGCCAGCACACTCAGCTACAAGAATATGAGTTGGATCTAATCAGGGTAAAATACAGCAAGTGACCCTTTTACAGTGGCTCAGTCTATGAGTATGTCAGGGAGTGATATGAATAATTCTGTTGGGCAGAGGTGAGAGCATAAGGTGAATATGGGATAATAAAACAATGGATGATGGACTCAGAAGAAAAAACACATTTCTGGAGTTGGGGTCTCAGAGAAAGGTAACTGAAACATTGAGGCAGTGTCTGGAGAGTCAGAGATTAGAGGAGGAATTCCATAGGGGTTACAGCTACCAAAACTGACCAACTAAAAAGATCCTCTACTGCTCTAAGATCATTAAAATCATCATGAATTAGAATAGGGGTTGTGGAGAAGAGTCATAGTTTGCCAAAAGCTAGAACTTTCAAAAAATGAGGTGGAATGATAACTAGATAGATGAATATTTGCTTCAAAGGGGAACAGTGGATGATTCAAAACTAAGAGTTTTTATGGAATGAGAAGAATAGTCTGGCATTAGGTGCCTATTCCACTTTCGGGTAAAATGCTATCACTTCACCAACCTGATTAGTTCATTTCTTGGTGTTCTTTACCCTGAATATAGCTCTACTTTTTCTTATTATCTCCTTATCTCCACTCAATTTTGAGCTTCTTGAACAAACAGACCGTGTGTCATTTATCTTGATAGTTCCTTAGTGATCAGAACACTGCCTAATGTACTATAACTACTTACACTATGATAGTTGGATGCTTAGATGAATGAATGACTGAATAAATGTGGCTATAATCATGTAGCCACAGACATTTTATGCTAGATCCTTACGTATAAATGATTTTGCTACAAGAAGGCCAGCAAAAAAATTTCATCTAGGTAATACATTGTCTTCATTAGTAACATAACAATTATAGGTGAACTCTGTATATAAGATTATTTTATAGTTTGTGGGAAAGCAAATCAGCCCATTCTCAATTTGATATATACTTTTTATTGGTTATAACATGACTGGTGAAATTTTGTTATTTCCATTTAAATTTCAACCAGTTTTCTCAACAAAACTTTCTACGGGGTATCCTTCTACAGTGGCTCAGTCGGGTAAGCCTCTGCCTTTGGCTCAGGTCATGATCTCAGGGTCCTAGGATCCAGCCCTGTGTCAAGTTCTCTGCTTGGCAGGGAGCCTGCTTCTCCCTATCTCTCTACCCCTCCCCTAAGCTCATGTGTTTTCTTTCTTTCTTTCTTTCTTTCTTTCTTTCTTTCTTTCTTTCTTTCTTTCTTTCCTCTCTCGCTCTCTCTCTAAAACAAATAAATAATATCTTTAAAAAAAACTTTCTATAATTATCCCTGTATTACTCAGTCCAAAATGTCATATTTTAAAGATAAAACTCTACAACAGTTATGGTATCACTATGAGAATGAAAATAAGACATATGATTTGAAGTCATTATTTCCTAGCCTATTGAGCCCATCTTTAATGATTAAGTTCATTCTACACATATTTTAAATGCATGGTTTAATTTTTGCTCCAAATAATTTCAAATAAATATTCAATTAAAATACAAATTGAAAAATAGTTGCTTATGTTGGCTGTCTATTTTTCTCAATTTACCCTAGTAACATCATCAGTTGATGCCAGCCCTGTTCCGGGGCTATAGGAGAGTCCTAATACAGAGAAAATGTAAGTCCTTTGTACTCAATTTTTGTTGTATTAAGGATACAATGGTTGTTGCATATCCCATTAAATAGTTCTGTGTGATTATCTTTTATTTATGTTTCGTGATATTTTTTGGAAACCCAAAGTATGGCTAGAAACTGGGGACTTAAACAGTAATAATGCTTGTAAAATGCATTTTATAATGAAAACCTCCAATAAATCAGCTTCTGCGGGGTTTTCAGTTAGTTTTCTTCATGGTTGAGCATATTGATGAAATAAGGCAAGAAATGCTAGATGTACTGAGCCATAGAGAACATTATACTTCTTTAATTGTTCTTTGCAGATGGCCTGTCCTAAATTGTGCTTTCCATATTACCTACTAATTCTAAATATAATCACCCATACCACCAGTAAGTCATTCTTTTTACTAGTATTACCTAAGAGGTAAAGATTGGAGAGTTAAGGAACACCTGGTTGGCTCAGCAATTGAGCGTCTGCCCTTGGCTCAGGGCGTAATCCCGGAATCCAGAATTGAGTCCTGCATCAGACTTCTTGCAGAAAACCTACTTCTCCCTCTGCCTATGTCTCTGCCTCTCTCTCTCTCTCTCTCTGTCTGTCTCTCATGAATAAACAATCAAAAAATCTTTAAAAAAATAAGATTGGAGAGTTAAAAGATTATCTTGTATTGCTAATTGTGCTACTTTAAAAGACAATTTTATATGTATTTTACAGCCTCTTAGAGAATCATTAAAGTATAAACCTATAGAATATAAGAAATATTCTCATGTATATACAATATACTCATTTATATATAACATAAATATGTTCAAATATCCATCTGTAGTAAGAGTAGCAGGCAAAAATATAGAAAGAACAGGAAGGTATACAATCAATACATCTTAATGCATGGATTTGTTAATTTTAAATAAGTTTCAAACAGCTTGATGTATATTCCTCATTCCCGGCACACAATTACTGAGTAATTAGAAAACATTTGATGCTTCGATTTCAAGAACAAAGATTTGCAAAAGAGTGGCTTAAAGAGCTTTGTAGATCCCCTCTTACTCAGAATGACCCACCTTAGTCCTTGCCAGCAAGGGAGCTCCCCGTTCCAGCAGAAGTTCTGCGACTTGATCGTGCCCACTTCTTGCAGCACAGTGAAGTGGTGTCAACCCATCCTGCCAAAAGAATGAAAGAATGAAGCCTGAGTTAACTTTAAAAAAAAAAATCAAGATTGTTTCTTTTGCCACTTTAATGAAAGCTGAACTCATTCCTACTGACTCAGTAGATCAGTAATACAATTGCGACTCGTTACTTGATAGAGGAGAGAGTGAGAGAGAAAGTAAGACAGTGAGAGATCCTGACAGAGAGCAGGGGAGAGAAAAAGAATGATAGGGATGAAACAGAGAGGGCAAGGGTGAGAGAGATCTCACATGTGGAGGTTCAATGTAAAAAAAAAAACACATTGCTGGTCCAGTGTCTTAATTTTCAGGAAGATGGAAAAGCAGTTAATTGCAGCTGTTGAACTTGAAAGTACTACTTGCCTGGAACCACAACCCCGAGATTATACTGTCAAGCTATTTTCATTTTGGATGTCCTAATACAACTTTTACCGCCCCCCCCCCAGTTCTTCTTAATATAACATGCCCATCTTTGATCTCTTGAATTGTCACTATTTTCAGAAATCCTCCTAAAATGCTCCCTGTTGCTCATGGAAATTCTTTTCACGTTCTTCCAAAGGTTTCCACACGTACTTCTCAACATTTTACAAACTACGTAATTATTTCTCAGAGATTAAATTTGTTATTAACAATAACAACATTAAAACGGTGTGTCAAACAAAATTATGACACAACTATATGTTACAGTTTTTATAAAACTTTCTGATCTTTATACTTTGCAGGTAGTTTCTGATTCCAGAGCAATCCTCAAATTCCCTCTGTCTTTTGGATTTATTTCTCATTAAGATGACATGGCCAGAAAGCAGAGTAGGTGGGTAAGATGAGACAAAAATGTAACATTGGGTAAGAAGTGAGAGAGAAAATGAAATCCTGAGTATATAAATTAGCTAAAGATTTCAAGTTTAAGACAAAAAAAAACTGTCATAGGGAAATATGTTGAGAAGGTAGGTAGCAGTCAGAGAAAAAGATGAATGGTGAGCAGTTAAGAGGACTTCAAAAGCTTCTGATTTATATCCAGAACTCTATCTAATAGCCTATCTTTTGTGTCTCTGTTTCCAGGACCATCTTTGTGGGTTATGCTTTCCTCTTAAGAAATATAAGTATCTGGGTTACAGTACTCTTCCTGTCCCAACATTCTGGGATTTCTATGCTAGATATCTTCTTCCCTTAGCCCTCCAAGATCCATGCTCTGGCTTTCTCTACTCTGCTCCATGTCTGACAGGAAAAGCTCTTTGGATTGTATAAGTGGGCTACATTGCTCTCTGGCTTCTGGTTGGGTACGGGAAATGCAGCAAGACATGGGAGCCACTCTGTAAAGGATGTCCTTAGTCCTTAGGCTATGTGTCTTTACCAAAGGGTATGCTGCAGCCAAAATCCTCTCCTTGGAAGTGCTGGTACCCTACTTCTCACCTTGGCCTGGGGTTGGTAATGAGTCCTGCTATTGCTAGCTCCGGGAACACTGTACTTCCTCTTGTGCCTTCCCTACAGTCCACCTACAGTGTTAGAAATAGAGCCTTTAATAATCTGTATTCAAATTATCAAATGCAAGCCTGCTCTCTGTTTTCAGTTAGACCCTTGAGTTATAATGATACTTTGTTTTGTTAAATCTACTCAACTAGTATTAAGATACTGAACATCCAAAATAGACCTTGCAATTTTGAATATGTAGGAATTAGCATGAAAAGACTGCATTTCCAGAAATTTTTTTACAAAAGGATTTAACTACTGTAGTTGGGATACCGAGTTATTTTAAAGTTTGCCAGAGAGGAGCCTAAAAAAAGAAACCGTGCAGACAAAGTGATCAGGATAATTATGCTTTTGTATCTTGATAACATACCTTGTGGTGGAAGTATAGAGCACTGGTTGCTATTTAAGTTATATAACTATTAGCTATAGCTTGATTTCTCAATCATATTCTTGGTGGGGGCTTCATGGAAAACTAGAGTTTGAAGAAATCCAACATCATGAATAAAGGCATTATAGGCAACTGTTCTGCATTTGGGCTCTGGAATCAGGGACTCAAGTGTGAGTCTCAGGCAGGCTACCATGGATGATGCTTTCTGATGCTCAGTTTCACAATAAACATAATGGGGTAATTTTTCTTATCCCATTTAACTTACGACCTTGTTTGAAAGATGAGGGGACTCTGCCTTAAATCATTTTTAGGAAAGGTATTGTTTTTCTATGGAATACATGAAATATTCATTGTGTAATTATGTGGAAACCTTCAAATACTCTCAGAATACAACAGGAAAATATGGAGAACCCTTAATAAATCCATAAGAACATCAAAGAGTAATAAAGATTGCATTGATTCTAAACCTGATGCAATTTATCTGCCCTTATATCAAATTCAACTTTCCCAGCATGCTCCATCTGAATAGATCTTAGATATTTTTATTAGTATCTCATTTTTGTCACACACAAAAAAATCTTACCAAGGTTTTGTATTCAAGGACTTTTTTACTTAATCTTTTATTAACTCTTAGGGGCAATGATCTTTTCTCTATCTTTAACTTAAATTTTTAAGACTCTACTTGAAGGTTACTTGCCCTCTACTGCCCAGAGTCCCTTTTCTTGTGTTCTTTTTTTTTTTCCCTTCACTAGAATCAGTTCATATCACACTATGATGTTGATAATCCTTAAAAGATTAGATCAATCAACAGTACAGGGACACCACTTTTCCAGCTGGTAATCCACAGTATTAGCTTTGTACAACTTTCTTTCTTTATCTTTTTCCTTCCTCCCTCCTGCTTAGATTGTAGATGTATCCTGAAGTCTGTGTATTAACATGGGCTCTTCTAATTACCACCCTGTGTGTGGTAGGTCAAGTTACATAATTCCTCTGAGAATCATTTTTCCCCTTGGTAGTCTCATTTCTCAAATGAAGACCTCCATATTTCCTCTACAAGCAGATAATACATACTTTATTGTTAATTGTTAATACATTGTTAATTGTTAATACATACTTCATAAATTGAGGAAATAAGATGATCTCTACAAATATGTAGAGTACGTAGCAGGGTGCCTACAACATCGTATGTATATGACAATTGGTACCCACTACTGTTGCTTAATTATTGTGATCCCTTTTTCATGATATATAGTTTTTGTTCATTATCTTTTAATATTTTTGTAAACTTTTACTGTTTGCATTGCAACATGTATTTCAATATTTCAATCTTATGTGGAGTATCTCCACATTTAAATAATATATGTTTAAAAATAAAAAAGAATAATGCTATTAATAAAACCTGAATTAATAATATCATTTTTAACTAGCTATGAAGTTTCTTTTTTAACATTAAAATGAGGTTTTCAAATACCAGAAAAGCAGAAAAGCAGAGCTCTGATAATAGCATCTTAGTTTCACACTAGATCCTCATCAATAGTGAGAATGTCAATGAGATGTAAAATGTCTCAATGATTGACAAAGTGCTGGTGAAAGTGGGGAAAAAATGGTTAAGATTATTTTTTAATTATCCCTAAGCCTTTGCATATCTTGCTTTTCTCCAGAAAATGAAAATCGTATAAATGAGAAAGATCAAGTGGAAACTTCTTGATAGAATATACTAGATTCAGAATGTTTATGACTAACATGATTGGAGGGAAAACTGAGACCTCTATGATAAAAAAATTAAAGAAAAATATTTTTATTTCCTTATATAGAAGCTTTATTCTGCTACCTAAAAAGATAGTCAAAAGTACATGTAAATTTTTCTATTTTAAAATATATTTTCAAAGGCAAAAGAAAAGGCTAATCAGATTCCTTTGCTTTAATAATAAAATATTACACTTCCAGAACTAGCCTCCCAATTCCAGACCACAGTCCTTGATTTCAGTATTACCTGATTTTGTTTTTGGTAAAAAAAAAAAAAAAAAAAGATACAGGTGTTTTAGTTACAGCCAGAATTAAAAGAATTAAACTGCTTTTAAAATCCTGTTCCTAAAAAAAAAAAAAAAATAAAAATAAAATAAAATCCTGTTCCTTAGAGGTGAGGAAGGACTTTAACTTACATTTAAGGAGTAAATGAAGAGAATGTCCACACAATATACACAATTATAAAATCTATTTTTGCTTTATAAATTCTTGAATGAAATTCAATTTATTTGTATATCTAAAGGCTTCTCTGGATGAAATACAGTCCAAATATTCCCTTCACAGAAGGAACCAAGGCTTACATTTGATCAACTTGCTCAAGGACAATTATTTAATGCCAGAACTAGCATGAGTCCATTTTTCCATATCTTAGTATTCTTTTTATGAAAACGCACTGCCTATTTGGAGTTAGACTTAAATTACATATGCAAATGTATGTAGGCCAGGAAATATTTTGAATAACTAAGGAAATATTGCAATGATCAATAAAAACAAAATCAACTGCTTCAAAAATGAATGAATACTCCAGAAAAATATTAATAAGAATAATGTGAATCTTAAGACACTGGCTAAGATAAAATTCTGTTGATTTACTAAGTGCTTTCTTTCCATTGATACTCTCAATTATTAGAGAGTATCAATAGAAACAGAGATGTAAGTGTAAAGGGAGACATAATGTTAGTAATGTACTTAAAAGAGCAGGCACACAAACTCTTTCCTTTAAACATGAAAAACAAGTGAGCAAAGCATGCAGTGTGTGTGCAATTGTTCCAACTTCTGCATACCTACAACACAGCAAGGGAAAAGGCATGTCAACAAAGCAAAGGGTAGAAATCAGGTAAAACTCTTATGAAAAGACAGTAGACAGTACAACAAAGATCTTGACAGACAAAGCAAACCACTCCAGAACTCCCACATGATAATATGACATAGATACTCTGGACCAAATGTCGTAGAGAAATGGTATTAAGAAAGCAAAATTTTCTGAGGTCTTTAAAAACCAGATTTTATGGGGGCGCCGCCTGGATGGCTCTGTCTGACTCTTGATTTGGCTGCGGTCATAATCTCAGGGTTGTAGGATCCAGCCTAGAGATGGGCTTGGTGCCCAGTGGAGAGTGTGCTTGAGATTCTATCCTTCTTCCTCTCCTCCTCCACCCCTCCTCATGCTTGTGTGCATGTGTATACTTCTCTCTCTCCCTCTCATAAATAAATAAAATCTTTTTAAAAACCCAGAATTTATAGTCTGGGACTGGTGTAGTCCCTTAAAACTCAGAGATGATAAAGCTTATTAAATAAAAACATTTTCTAGCCTCAAGACTTGCAGAGGAATTAGATTTGATCCTTAGTCCTTAGACTATGAGAGTATAAAGTCCCAGGATTAAACAAAGTGAAGATAAAATATCACAAGGGACAAATCTTATCTGCTATCTTTTACAGACTTCTCACATCATATAGTTCAAAATGTTTCACGGAAGTCTATGATTAATCAAGGCTACTCCAGAGAACTAGAGTTGAAGTACTGATTAAATGTTTAAAGAAGTAACAACATATAATTTCAGTAACATAATAAAAAATTATGAGTAGATAAGTAATTGATCCATCCTATTTTACAAAGATAAATAATAATAGCTAAGAGTTAATTCTCTTATAACCATATGAGATGGGTACTGATATTAGCCTAAGTTCAGAGAAGGTAAAAAGAAACTGCCAATATCATACAGCTAGTAAGTAGCAGAAGTAAGTTTGAAATCAAGTAGTCTGCCTTCAGAGGGTACACTTCAAACAATTTTATTTTCCTGCCTATTTTATTATCTATTGTTGGGAGGAGATAAAACTCAGATTTATATTTGACTTTACAAATTTGAAATGAATGAAGGGCACTGCCTCTTACCAAACTGGAATGAGCAAATTTGCAACGTAATAACCAGATGCCTTTGCTCCATTAGCATATAGCAGATCTCCTGCTCAAGTCAGTATAGCATAATCACTTAAGAAAATGATTTAAAAATTGGAAAATTAGAAGCAAAAGACTGTCAACATGTATTTTAACATATTTATGTAAAAGCCACACCCTTATAGCACAATATATGCTTACAAGTTTGGGTTTTTGAAATTTATAGCTAGTAATCAGAGATGCTTCAGTTCAGTCTTTGATCTTTGTCCCTCAAAATAAACAAGGACTTGAAAAACTGTCTCATTGAGGGGCTAGCGTTCCATTCCCCCAGCACTGATAAGCAAATATTAATTCCACTTTACAAGGAGAAACCTTTAAATATTGCATAAGATTTAAATTGAATCCAGGAAAGCAATTTCCTTGAAAACACATTGCTTATATTTAGGGATTGGTATTTTAAGGTGCCTCATTAAAGAATACAAAAAAGCAAAATTGGTAGGAAATTGAAAGAACAGAGACACTCACCCTAGTTTTGGCATCGATCTGACCACCACGATCCAGTAAGAGCTTCACCATGTTTGTGTTTCCCCTTTTGGAAGCCACATGCAGAGGAGTGATTCCATTCTACACCATGGAAAGACCAAACAAGAGCATGTTGGGTATGACAGGGCATGATGCTAGAGACTGCGTTGGAGGGCATAAAGAAGGCTGTGACCCACAGTAATTTGATTCAAGGTTACTAAAGTTTCAATGTCTTTGATTTTTATGGGACAGAAAAGCACATAAACCACAAAGCACTATAGTTAGAGAATGAAAAATGGAATGAAACTGCATAACTAAGTTAGTCCATAACTACGACATATGTATTGAATGCATACATTACATTGTACACATTGTCAAGAGACAAAGGGAGCACTTTTGCATAATAAATATTTCAGATTCTACTTAGGACAGAGCCAGTAGTCCAAAGTCTATCTCTCTTTCTATAGTATCCATGTACCGAAAGATTCTATCTGTGCTTTAAAATAGAATACAAATATACATATTCAATAACCATTAGAAAAATGATTCTTAAAAACACCTTCTTCAGAATAATTCAGTATGAAAAACAACTTGAAAACAACTCAACATAGTTCCAATACAGAAGGTTTCTCAGGACAACACCATATATATGAATTATGGTTATTTATTTTATTGGCTATCCTATATCATCATTATGGCAAGAATATTACCTGACTCTGTATCATAATTTTGCAAATATTCAAATATTGCATTTATTGATTCATTTTAAGTACATTGAGCTTTGTAATTATCATGTAAGTGAATTCTTTCCAGTGATGCGTATCATTAAACATACAATGCAACATGATGTCTTGTAATGTATTTTGGTAAGACACTTTATATGAATTCTGAATTTATTAAAAACATTTTTCTGTCACATTGTGTGCCCCATAATCATTAAAACAGAATAGAAATGTACTTAAACATTTGATTTCTAATGTTCTAACAGTTTATTTATTGACTCGAAGCTGCTCATTTATGATTCATGGAGTGATCTTTAAGTATAACTACTCACACTGATGTCAGAATTAATATTGTCCTTAACTACCGCAAGTGATTTGTTTGCGTGTGGATTTACTCATGCTTATTTTTCATTTATCGAGGCATTATAACTTCATGTGATTCAAAGAAAAAAATGAAAAATCGAATATATCCAACATAGATCCAGACAAGGAAAAAGAAGCAAACCTTTACTATTGTTCATTTTTACTTTAGTAAAATGTCCATTCACTGCTATTTAAAATGAGAAACTATTTTAATCCATACCCTAGCTGTAAAGTCCACAGCAGCTCCCCGGTTTAGAAGAAGAGTTGCTACGTTGACATTTCCATAGTGGGCAGCAATGTGCAAAGGGGTAAAACCACTCTACGGAAAGCAGAGAAAATGACAGTCAGTAAAGCATTTCACTTCCATATGCTGCAGTCCCTGGATTAGTGAAGAAAATCACATGACCTAATATGTGAGCAATACAATTATGATAATAAATGTCTTAATAAGGCTCTTTAAACTTTAGTGCTATGAGGTAGTAAATAACTAGATAAGCAGGTAAATAAATACATTTCTTGGCAAGATTATTTCTAATTAGCTAAATGATTTATCTGTTTACAAGATTTATTGTTTATACAAAACGATGTTTCATGAGCTGGTTTAGCTTTAGAGAAAAATAGAATATGTTTAACAACACAAGGTTTCAGCCATAGGATTAACATAATTAAGAATACAATTTTTTTTTCTCCAGAGAAAGGCTCAAAAACTGTTTTGTTTTATTTGGGGATTTTAATAAAAACAAACAAACAAACAAAATAAATCCCCCCAAAGTCAGCATAGGTTGGCACTGTGTTTTTGGAACTATGAAAATGTTGTGAGGAACTCTTATAGAGGATATACTGTTCATTCCACATCATTTACACTGTCATATTTCTGTCTTCTTTAACTGTGTTTAGTGAGACTATGTTGTTAATAATGAAAAAAAAAAGTTAAAAAACAAAATTTAAACAATACACCTGGCATCGATGTAAATATAAAATAAAGAAAAAAAATTCAGCTGAACACAATTTTAAATGTTAGTTAAAACAAATTTTATCAATAAGATTGTTATAAAATAAAATATGCAGGTTAAATCAATTACATAGGCATTAGAGAACTGTTTACTCTCAGAATGTTTAAAAAATGAGTCTGAAAACCTTCATGGAAGAAAAGTATACTTCCTTTCATTTCTTTTTCTGATGAAATTTAGTTAGAAATTTTTGCCATTTTCACAAGAGAAGTACATTAACTTTTCTTTTTAAAGTATGAAAAATGTATTATCCCTGCTCTCCATAATTTCATAATTCTCTTTACTCAATGAAAGATGATAGGAACAATAAAGTCTGGTCTTACAAAATTGGATATGATATCCTGCAGTTTTGAAGTTATTTTGTATCATTCCCTTTTATTTGAAATGAACTTTGATTTATATAATACTGTTTTTAAGAAATATTATCTAAATCACAACCATTATTTTACTATTCACTTGATAAATAGTTTTTGGTGACTATGTTTTTAAATGGCCTAAATAAGCATTCAGATATCTTACATAGAAATCCCTCTGTGCTATCAGCCAAATTAGCTACAAATAATTTCTGACTATAGAGAAACAAGACACAAAATAAGAATAGTAACCATCAATCCAAATCCCACACTCGTGGTAAAGATATTTTTGTGTCTACAAGATGCCAAATATTCATGTCAAAATGGAGGGAAAAATCAGGTTACAACCTTGCTGTTATTTTTATAAAATGTCAAATTTTTGTATTTTAGGAAACAATTGACGAAATTTTTCATTTTTATGTTGATGTTTCCTGTCATATAGACATATCCTGAGTGTACGTCCATCATTTAAATTGTAAGTTAATTTCAGAAAAAAACAGTGATTGCCGGTGAATCATTTTCAAACTATTATTCTCATTTGCAAAAATAAACCAATTTATTGTGTGACACAGCTTCGTCAACCATCCATGATGATGCCTCAGACTATGACTCTCAGAACAACCAACACAAACCTTCTATAAGTCCCTCAGAGGAACCCTTGCCTCTCTTGAAGGTAGAAAGCTCAGTTTATTTTTCTACAGGGCTATCAATGGAAAGGTTCTCCTCTTTGTTATTCTATTGTCCTTAAAGAAATATTTCTAATTCAGTAAAGCCTTCCCAAACTGTTTTCAACACAATGCTTTAGAGCCAAAATTGCTTTAAAAAGATCTTTTTTTCCCCAGAACAGTATCTTTATTTTTTTTTTACATTTGTTTTTATTTAAGTTCAATTTGCCAACATATAGTATAACACCCAGTGCTTTCAGGGATAATTTCTATAGTTTTTTTTAAAAAAAATCTCTTCAAAAATCACCAAAAATCACCTATAAGTTACAAGTATTAAAATCAGTAGTTAAGATATAATCTTTATGGTTCCAGTATTGAGCAATTTCATCAAGCAATTGGGCCTTTTATAAAATCTATGTCCTAAGTTCCATTCACAGATATAAAACAGAAGAAATAATATGACTAATTCAAGTATATTCACATCTCAATAGGTAAATTTATTAATAAACAAGATATTAGTTTTATAAATACACTACTCTCAGTAAATACTAAATGAATGCTCAAAACCTCTCCAGCTCCACAACTCAGTGATCACCAGATGTTAGTCTAAAGAGTCTTCTTAACAAAGTGAAAATCAACCTACAGAGTCACTTGTCTTTGACTACAGGTTAAATTTTACAATACACTTGCAACAATGTTCGTGTAAGTGCCTCTCTGTAGCAATGGTGGAGGAGTCCGCTAAACGCTCTCTCTCTCTCTCTCTCTCTCTCTCACACACACACACACACACACACACGCACACACACGCACACACACAACCACACACAGAATACTGATAGATTTCTGAACTGAATATTCCTAGTGATCAATGTGATTTACTTTGGTATGCAGAAAATAGATGATTTTATGTCAGGTATTGTTAAGACTTAGCAAGATAAAAGCAAATGCTTTGATTATGATATGCTCAATATCACTATTGATTATATACAATGCGGTTTTAAAAGCACGGAAAAAAAGGGCAACTGCAAGATGAAAGGATAAAACACTGGCAAAGATATCTCCTTAAATTTCACTTTGCTAATCTCTAACCTGAGAAATCTCATTAAGAGATCATATTTCATATTTGCAAAAAGTTAATAGTAAAGCTCGCTCAGAAAATACAGAGTAAGGAAGAGTTTCATTTCATGCTCTATTCTAATAAGCTATTTAAATAGTTTCCCTGATAAAAATAGCTTCCAATACATGTTACATTAAATTTTTTGACTAATTCATTTGCCTTAATTATGGGAAAAGTTTTTAAACTAATTTCCTACTCATGAAAATTCCAACCATTAGTATGAATTAGTGAGCATTTATTCTAATTGGGTAAAAAACTCAAATCAATAAAAATAAGATATATTTTGGTATAACCATAATACCATACCTCAGTTGTCCTATTCACCATCATCTGAAGCAGTGTGGTGTGAGAAAAAGAGGGAAGATATTACACAGTGCAAAATTAAGGAAACCGACAACCTGCCTACTGCAATTGGAGACACCGTTTCAACATGCCAAAATACATTCTACCGAGAAAAGACATTCATAACACTATATAATTCTATTTTATCTAATTTTGTTTCTATTATTTTTTAATACAAATAGAATAAATAAGCAGATTTCTAGAAAGCTGAACCTCATCCTTAAAAGAAAAGTATCTTTAAATTTTTTGTTATTATACCCAATAGACAGTCCCCTTCTTTTTGAAATACCTCTGAAAGTAATTTAGCTCTTTTGATGACCGGAAGTAATTTTGCATTATCACCATGGCCTACTTCTTTCTCATTCCCCAGGAGGAACCTGGCAGCCGAAGAGTTCCCTTCCACAAATGTGTTCAGCTTTTACCTTGGATTGTACGTCAGCATTGTGATCGTTCTGAAGCAGGAGTGCAGCAGATTTGGTGTCATCTTTCCGAGCTGCAATATGCAGAGCTGGCAGCCTCACTTTCCCTTTGGTATCATTCTCTAAGAGGATGGCCACTGCCTGGTTGTGTCCTTGCTGAAGTGCCACAGCTAGTGGCGTGAAGCCATCCTAGCAAAATAGAAGCAGAAAAAAATCTTCCATTGACTTTGGGAAGCATGGGATTCAACTCTAAGCAATGTCCCTAATTTTAAAACAATAATTAAGACAGAGAAGAAAGCAAAAGGATTAAGTATTACTGTGAAGATTAAAGCATGGCTAAAATTAACAACTCAGGGATGCCTGGGTGGTTCAGTGGTTGAGCATCTGTCTTCGGCTCAGGGCGTGATCCTGGGGTTCCAGGATCGAGTCCACATTGGGCTCCCTGCATGGAGCCTGCTTCTCCCTCTGCCTGTGTCTCTGCCTCTCTCTATGTCTATCATGAATAAATACATAAATAAATCTTTAAAAAATAAGTAAAATAAAAAATAAAATCTTTTAAAAAAATAAATAAAATTAACCACTCAGGAAAACAACAGATGTTGGCGAGGATGCAGAAAAAGGCGAAGCATCTTACACTATCGGTGAGAATGCAAACTGGTGTAGCCTCTCTGGAAAATAGTATGGAGGTTCCTCAAAAAGAAAAATAGAGCCATCCTATGACCCAGCAATTGTACTACAAGGTATTTATCCAAAGGATACAAACATAGGGAACAGGCACCTTAATGTTTATGGCAGCAATGTCCAAATAGCCAAAGTATGGAAAGAGCTCCATACTTTGTGTCCGTTGATAGATTAATGAATAAAGAAAAGGTGGAATATATGCATCAGCCATCAAAAAGAAAGAAATCTTGCCATCTGCAATAATACGGATGGAACTAGAGGGTATTATGCTAAGTGAAATAAGTCAGTCAGAGAAAGACAAATACCATATGATTTCACTCATATATGGAATTTAAGAAACAAAACAGATGAATGTAGAGGAAGGGAAAGAAAAATAAAATAGGATGTAAACAGAGAGGGAGGCAAATCATGAGAGAAGCTGAACTCTAGGAAGCAAACTGAGGGTTGCTATAGGGTAGGTGAGTGGGGGAAGGGGTAACTGGGTGATGGGCATTAAGGAGGGCACATGGTGTAATGAGCATTGAGTATTATATGCAACTGATGAATCACTAAAATCTACCTCTGAAACTAATTTTAAAAAAGATGAAAGCAACTGATAATCTGTCAATTGCCATACTATGGACTGGCTCCATCAGATTGTTTCCTTAGTTTCTGTTCTTCTTTGGAAAAACATCTGCATTCCTTAACAAAGCATACTATACATAAGATGTGCTTAAATGTTTAGAATGGGAAAATAAAAATTAGAACCAACCTTAAGTAATACCATCTTACAGAAAGGAAAAGGTGGGAAGGATAGAAATAATGGAAATCAAGCCTGACTGAAAATCAAAGACATGGTAGCCAAGACAAAGAAATAAATTATGTGATTAACTGAGTTGCTAAATAACCCTGTTACTAAATATCTCTGTATTGTTTACAGGAGAACAATAATAACTATCAATGGGATGGTCTATTACCAATTAATTTGGCAAATTTAGGACATAATGTAATCTAACACCTTTTGGTAGATAAGGCTAATTCATTAATTTTGCACTTAGTTAGATTTTATATTACTTAGATCATTTAGATACAAAATTACATGTGCTAGGTAATGAAAAAAAAACAGATTTTTAATTTTAAACTTGGGAAACAACTTAAAAAAACCAATAACACAGATCATCAAAGTCAAAAGAGTTTTAAGATAGATAGATACCATGCTAGAAAAATTAGAAGCTATGTTTTCTCTCTAGAAATAAGCATTCAGTTAATGGAAAGGTGGCAAATAAATACAAAAATAGATATCTCCTAGGCTCTATTTATATTAAAACCTCTCTTACTCCATAAAAGCTTGAAAACAAGTCTCAGAAGGTTCCATTCACAGAAGAGATGAGGCTAATAGGATCGTACATTAACGATACATTTTAGGGACAACAGCAATTTACCATAATCTAACCACTCAATTTGTTTTCAGCAATGATCCTTTAAAACTTTAGATTTTTGAGAGAAAATGATTTCCTATTGCACAAAAGACTTGAATTTCTTTTAATAAGAATTGAATTTTAAATAAACACATTACTGAATAGAATGGAAGAGTAAACCACGTAGGGCTGTAAAAGCGAAAAATAGTAGCCTAAATTTAGAACTTTGGCACAAATTAAGCACTCTGTTATGGAGGAAAGAACAGGCTCCTTATAATATATATATTTGATGATCCACTGCAACACTGTGATAGTTTACATAAAATGAGTGCAAACTTCGTTTTATCTTAAGGATAAGGCATTTGATGACAGTACAGAACCTAATTAAAAAGTTTTTAGCCTTCAATTTTGGTAACACTCAGAAAGAGGAGGAGAGTAAAGAGTTATAAAAATGGTACTGAGGGGACAGAGGATTCCCCTCAGAGAATTTAATTTTGGGTGTCCACCACAAGCATTTTATTCTAATCCATAGTTCATGGGGGAAGGGTGAATATTTGAAAATATTCAAGCACCTCAACTAACTTTATGAAAAGAAAACTCATATTAAAATTCAGTAGCTTCATTTTCCATCATTTATTTACCAATACTAATTACTATAATTATGGGAAATTTCAAATATTTAAGTATTTATTTTCAAAGAGGAGTTTCATTGACATATTGAATAATCTCATAACTATCTGATTTTTAAAGGGGTCACAGTGTCTTGATTAGTAATTAATCTTTACAAGTTAGGTCTACTAATAGGTTCAGAGTAAATGTCTTCTTCGGGCATATTCACACGTGTACATAAGACTGTAGATGGTAATATAACAAAATATCAAACCATAATCAGCCATAAAGCCCTGTATAGATAGTAGGTATTTTTTTACAGAATGATAGATTAAAAGGGAATATAAAGAGGTCAGTCCATAAGTGTGTTTCTTTATAATCATGAGGATGAACGGTGAGAGATTAATCAACTAAATTTATATATGTCTAGCCAGGAAAAAAAAATTTTAGTTATTTAAATGATTAAACAATGAAACAAAAACAAGCATATATGTGTCTAAGCTATGATTCAAAACCTCATATGATTCACTTGTGAGAGTTTCATTTTTGTGTAGAAATCAGAGAGGGTTTTAATTTTCTGGGAATCACATTGTAACATGGGCTCTGCTGATGCAATATACATAAAGGGATATTTGAAACCACACGAAAATGCTACAGAGGGCTAGACCAAATGAGCCTTGAGACAGCTAAGAATACCAGCAATCTGAATTTTCCTAAACCATATGATAGAAATAATAAGTCTATTTGGTAAATAGGAGAACTCTGTAGTGCAACAGTTTCTTTGGGTAAGTGATGCTGCATTCAAGAAAATAAAATAAAATATGCACAGATTGCCTTATTTTGGTATATTTCTCAGTGGTCCTGATACAGAAATAGAGTCTCATCTAGTACTCAGGTTTTGCCTGAAGATAATCACATCCTACTCATTGACATAATTAGTGTCTCAGAAAAAAAAAAATGGCCCCAAATCAAAATTCACACTGTACCCATGTGGTAAGAGTGTAAAATCTGTGTATGTTAAATAGAGAACCTGAAATCATTTTTACATTGGGCAGCTGTGTTTTCCAATCATAAGAAAAAAAGAAACATGGTTCCATTAATAGTGATTTCTTGGGATTTTGTTTTTAACTAATGAGAATAAGCTGTTAAAAAGTTATTGCAATTGGCTCCATAAAAAGTTTTATGCCAAAAGGACTGGAAGTGGATTTAATAGATTACGATGATCTCTTCCCCCAGTACAGGGTATGAGGAAATCCATGTTTATTTCACTGAAAGACTTAATTGTTCAGAAAGGAAGTCATATTGGACATTAAAAATTCTCCAGTTAGTTTCTGGGTAACAAGCACCAGTCATCTTTCACTCCAGGTTGAGTTTTTAAGTTTCATCAGTGGAGACACAGAATATGAAAAAGGAAAAAAAAAAAACATGATCTGGTTAAAAGGGGTGAGGAGAAGCATGGCCCAATGGAACTCTTTTGCCTTCTCTTCTGTGACACCCACTTCCAACCATTTGGTGGCCCCTTGAGGCAATGTCTTCAAACTCAAGGGTTTCTGGGCATCGCTTAAAAGTCACTGTTCTAAGCAACCACTGAACTTGTTCCTTAATCTGCCTAGGTAACAATGAGAAGGAAAATAACAAAGCACATTCTGTTTACTGGAGGATATGCAGAGGAAAAAGAAAGCCATGTTCTAAGTTAGCCCACGCTAACCCCTTCTTATGTCTAGATGTCCTGAATATGTTGATATTGAATTGACTTTGAACATTCTATTTAGTTGTTGCTATAATCAGTCACACAACTATGTGCCATAATTTGTGCTTCAGAAAATCTGAATTTTTTTTTCGTGACATACTCCTCATAAAATTGTGCTAAGACAAATATCTTACAAATCATTTCTGATCATTAAAAGTTATTCCTTTAAAAATTGAATTGGATCTTAACAGATAAAATATTGATGAAAAGAGATGGATAGAATTTACTATAATCGAGTTTTAGAATAGTATAAAAGCTCCTAAAACCAAGAGAATGGCAAATTGATGGAAGCGTGAGTTCATGTAAGAGTAAATGACATGAATCCCAAAACAAGGCATAAGCTCATTGAACTATGTGCATTGGGTCATTCATTCATGGCCACTGTTGTAAATTGTAAAAGCAATGTGAACATTCATAGCATAATTTAGACAAGACAATGGAGATCCTTTGCAGCTAGATATAAAGAACATGGACATTAAGATCAGAGAATTTGAACCTATAGGGTTGCCAGTCTCACCTCGGTAGCGGTGCTCTGATTAGCTCCATTTTCAAGCAGATATTTTACAACATCAATGTGGTTCTCTTGGGCAGCCATGTATAAAGGAGTGAAGCCATTCTGAGGACAAAATATAAAAAATACATCTTTAACCATTTATAAAGTTTAAGCTACGGAAGAATACCAGACAAGGAAAAAGAGAATACTATGGAGTAAGCTTTTGAAATGACAAAACATATAACATACCTCCACAGTAAAATACATATATTTACTATTATAAAACTAACTACAATCAAAGTGAACCAATCCCCACACACAATTCCTAAAAGAATGAGGACAAAGTGATATGGAAGCAGTATTTTCCTCCAGTTCCAGAAATTTACATTTCCCATCACCTAATCATTTCGGTGTCTTCATTTCAGTTCCAGAGATTTACATTTCCCATCACCTAATACTTTGTTAAGGCTAAAAAATATTTAGTATCTTAATGTAATCCTTAACATACATAAAATTCTCACTATATGTAGTATTTTTCTAAGATTTTTTTTTAAAGATTTTATTTATTCATGAGAGACACAGAGAGAGACAGAGACACAGGCAGAGGGAGAAGCAAGCTCCATGCAGGGAGCCTGATGTGGGACTTGATCCTGGGTCTCCAGGATCAGGCCCTGGACCAAAGGTGGCGCTAAACCACTGAGCCACCAGGGCTGCCCTAAAATATTTATATAATATCATCTGTATTTATTAATTCATAAACTAACATTAAATGGACCACCATTAATTGAATGTACTGTTTACTTAGCACCATTAGAGGTATAAATTATTACTCATTCCAGAATAGGCTAGGAGAGATTGCAAATCTGATTGAAAAAGTTTTTATAAAAATCTATCATTTCAGTATTCCAATTGAAGTGTCATAGTTTATACTGAACATCTACGTTATTTTCTAGAGCTATTCTGAAATTCTATCACTCATTAATTCCCATATTCATTTATTCAGTTATTTACTAAAATCTGACTACTGATAGCTGGGATGTCACTGGAATACAATAATAAATAAGACAGACCTCTGCCCTCATGAAGCACATACTATAGTAATATTATAACATTATTATGTAGTCCTATTAAAAAAATCACTGAAATTGAATGACTTGAGTTTAAAATTAAGTTTAAATTGGCAAATTTTCTTTTTATCAGAAACTTTGCAATAGATAACACCTCATTTTAAAAAAAAGTAAAACTGCAAAAAATAGAAAACATGGAGTAATTCATAAACTCTCAAATCTAACAACTTTCTTAAAACAATGTAAGGATCTTAAACATTGTTGATTCCCTTAAAGATTCCATGCATTGATGAGAATAAGCAAAAACACAGACGCGACCTCAGGGATTTTCAAAAACTCAAAAGGAGAAAAAATAAACTTTATAAACTATTTTGAAAAGTTCTTGTATATGCATTGTGTAGGTGTGGAAACATTATTCAAAATGGCCAGGGTCCAGCAAAATATAAAAATACAGAGTATCCAAGTAGAGCAAGAAAAGAAATTTTAAATTTGATTATGAAAGAAAATCTGCAGGCTTCAAATGGAAGAGGAAAATTTAAAACTAAGAAATACTGTAAGAGGAACGAACAGAAAATTTTTTTGGATTTGGGAATAACTTGCTAGCTGGGTAGCATGTTTTTTAAAACACAGCAAACAGGTGAAATGTTGGGTATTTTAAGAACACTGAAGAGGTGGCGGAAGGACAAAATTAGAGATTCATAGGAAAGGAAAGCCAGTGAGGATGGTTAAAAACAAAGAGTGGGTGTGGGATGGGGCTTTTTCATGACAAGTAAAAGGCAGGATGCAAAAAAAAAAAAAAAAAAAAAAAAACCCTTTATATAGAGTAAAACAATTTCCTTCCATGTTTTCCTCTGACAGAATCTTGTGTATAGACCAGGAGAAAGGAAGATAGACTGGTGGCTGGGGGCTGGATCAATAGGGAGAAGAAAAGTACCATTCTTAGACTCCTGGGTCCTGGGCTTTAGAGGGGCCTCCTCTAGCTGAATGGGGCAGGGGATCCAGAGGCCCAGGGGCATATACCCTTCCTGATCCTACAGCTCCTCTGCTTCTAGATCACACACTAGGGATGCAGCCCCCAGGGAGGTGCCAGTGCTTGCTCAGACTCCGTCTTTGGGTTCATTCTCCCAAGGGTCCGTTGTTGCCATGCCTAGAAAGGCCGACTAATGGCCCCCAAATATGTCATCTTAATGTCTGGAGGTTGTAAATGTTACCTTAAATGGAAAAGGAACTTTGCAGATGTGATTAAGGATCTTGAGGTGGGGAGACTATATTGGATGGTCCAGTCGGGTATAATGTGATCACAGGGTTTTTATAAGAGAGAGACAGGAGTTCAGGGAGGAGAGAAGATTCTGCACTGCTGGCTTTGAAGATAGAAGAAGGGGACGTGATCCAAAGGAATGAGATTTTCATTTAGAGACTCCAGAAAGAACCAGGAGTGCCAGCACCTTGGTTTTAGCCCCGTCTGACTAATTCAGAATTCTAAAATGAGAAAATGACAAATCTGTGTTATTTTAAGCCACTGAATTTGTTGTAAATTGTTATAGCAGCAAGAGGAACCAAACAGACACCCCTAGAGTTGTTTGCTAGAGAGGGTGGCAGTAGTAGATGCACAGAGCTTGAATGTGTAGGTCAGGGTGTCCACACCTTCACACGTGATGTTCTTGTGGTATGGATGGAGCCAAGGTGGGCCAGGAAGAGGAATCAGCTACAGGCCTGGGTTTAGAATTACATATCTCCAGCCACAATCCTCCAAGGTTTCTGAGAAATCTAAATTTGGACCTGTCATGTTGTTATGAAGATATTTGTCAAGGTAGAAAGATAAGAGATACATATTTAACAGTTTGATAGACAGCTTTTAATTTAAAAAAATATATTGTAAGTAAGGCTCTTTTTCACTCAAGCCCTGGGCTCTGCAAGTTCAATAGGGGGGCTAGTGATAGAGATAAAAAGGGGGAAATATCCACAAACAGTCCATGGGGAAGGGGAAGAAGGACAGTGACAGACAAACATTCAGGATCTTGGTTAGTCTATATGATGAATCCCATTTGTGCCTGGTGCCACAGCCTCGGTATGCAAGGGTTTTCAGCAGTGTAGGGGTTGTAGATATGAAGAACAATAAAAATAAAAATAATTTACTGAACGTCTGCTATATGCTATTCACTTTGAGAGATGCTTTGAAAATGTCACCTCAAATTGCAGTGACCATGTGTCTCTGTTTGCCTGGGACAGTCTAAGTTTATGTGTAATATCCTGAAGTAATTAACAATAGTGTCTCAGTTGGGATGATAAATTAAATGGCCTAATACTATCTCTAATACTTAGAATAGTGCTGCACATTAATACTATCACCCCCACTTGTTTTTTTAAGTAAACTCTGCCCACAATGTGGGGCTCAAACTCATGACCCCGATATCAAGAGTCACATGTTCCACCAACTGAGCCAGCCAGGCACCCCTAGCATCCCCATTTGAACTGAGGTGGCTGAGGCTCAAACATCTGGGTACCTTGACCCAAATCTCACAGCTAATAAGTGAACTGAAAGTGATGGAAAAAAACCATTCATGAATAGTCTTCTTCCCTGTATAAAAGTTGGGACTTGATCCTGTAGATGCATGGTCCCCAGCCTGGCCCTGTGACAGGACCTGCTGTGGACACTTTTAAGAATGCCTAGGCACTACCTCGTCCCCTACTGAACTGGATTCTCCATGTGTGAAGCCAAAGCACCTGCAATTTTTAAAAAGCTCAATTTCTGAAATCACCTGAAGAACATTGTTACAGATGATGCAGAATAACTGAATGGTTTGGGACAGGTAGTACCATGATCACATCTGCATTTCTGAGAGTTCCCTCTGATGAGCACTGAGTGAACCAAATCCACCCTGGTTTGGAGTGGTACAAGACAAGAAAGTTGGGGTTAATCTGCTTTTGTAGTATTTGCAATAGTGTATTTAAAAGATGGAGGAAGCATGAGCCAAAACAACATCTTGGTGAGGTGAGGGAGAGAGTATTTACTGTTAAAAAATATGTGAAGTACAAAGGCAATAAGATTTACGACAAGTCCTAAAGATGTGGGATATTATCCTTTCCTAACTTACTGATGCTACTTAACAAGAAATCCTCCGCCAGAGAATGTGAAACATGCCTCTGGGTAATTAGGACAGGGCATCGCAGCATTTTAACGGCATTGTAAATTTTATAGGAAAGCTTTTATCTCTTCATATAAACAGGTTAACAACCCAAGATTATTGCCTTTTGTCCATGCATCTAGGTGTTTTCCAATGTATTATGTCTATTTATCTTTCTAAAATAGTCTGGCTGGATGTAGGTATAAAAGTATATGTATTTTCTTCCTGTTGGTATACAAAAGTCAAAAACATCCACAACCTGAGCTGATGCTTGGAATTTGCAAACAAGCACATAATTATCAGCTGTTATAGTAGCTTCCGTGGGACTGACAAGTGCCTCAACTAACCGGTTATTAAATATTTTTAACATGATTCCTCTCCATAGCAAATTATTAATTATTTGCCATTCATTTATTTCATTTATATTTATTTAATAAAAACGTGTTTGGTGACTCTTTACTGCTAGGCATTGTGTTTAGCATAGTGACTCAGAGATGAAAGGCAAAGTCCCTGTTAATTAGGAGCTCACAGTCCAGAGGTTGAGATAGGCAAGTAATATGTCACAGTTCAGTGAACTCATATATAATTAGTTTCTTTTTTTTAAAGAAAGAAAGAAAGAAAGAAAGAAAGAAAGAAAGAAAGAAAGAAAGAAAGAAAAAGAAAAAGAAAAAGAAGTGGGGCACCTGAGTGGCTCAGTCAGTTAAGAATCTGACTCTTGATTTCAGCTGAGGTCTTCATCTCAGAGTCCTGAGTTCAAGTCCTGTGTTGGGCTCCACGCTGGATGTGGAGCCTACTTAAAGAAAGAAAGAGAAGAAGCAAAAGCGAGAAAGGAGGAGGAGGAGAAGTTGTTGTTGATGAGGGATATAGAGAGCATTGAAGGTTACAGAACAAAGCTGGATGAGGAAATTATATCCAAAGGAAGTCTCTAGGA